TTATCATGTGTTTTAATTGTACTGTTGAAATTTATCTAATAAAATTATATATTTAATTTAGTGGTCGAGGTAAAAAGTGTGAGACGGTGCTAGTAATAGTGTTTAACATTTTGTTTGGAAGAAAACGCTAGTTTCCCTTTAGTAGTTACAGTGCCATGTGTCTTCATATCATTAGTGCATATCACCACTGGTAGGTGCCATGTGGTACTCTTGTACCATTGTATAATTTCTCAATAGGAGGGGATGATGATTTTTTACACACATATTACTAAGGTACCATGGATATGGGGGTTTGAACCTAAGACCACCAGTCTGCAAGTCAAAACTCTTTGCCACTGGGCAAGACCCCATTGGTAGGAGGTGTACAATTCTTAAATTATGTGTTATAATCCCAAATCAACTAAATATTTCACCGAAATTTCAATTCTCGGAACTCTCCACAAATACTTTTGCCGGTGCTTAATTTATCCCTTAAACTCCTTTAAATTTGTTTAAAATCTCATACACCCCTAAGAGAAGAGCTAATGGTACCTATTAGAGAATTTTTATGAATATGAACTTTTAAAATGATTTATTTGTTGTTATGTTCACATAAGTTAATGGATAAATTTGGCACCTCGTTGTTGCCCAAAGATAACAATATTGTGCATATTATTTTTGCATATGTTGCACAATCGAAAGGATAATAGCATTAACTCATTATGAAAGAGAAATTGAAAATCTAAATCAAACAACACAGTAGATGCATATTGTAATTCAAGGAGAAGAAAATAGATTTTGTCCACTTTTGCTAACATCATAGGGAAGCCCAACACTTCCAGCAATGCTACCTCCAAATAGTCCAGGAGGGAGCCCTGAATCACTTCCATCCTTTGTTACCTCCCAAAAATCTAGGAGGAAATTCTATACGACTCCCAGCACCGCCTTTATCCGCCATGCTGCCGCCAGTGCCCAATCCTGTATCCTCGGTGCTACCTACAACATTATTCCCATTATAAGGGAACATCCCAAACCCCATCTCAATTCCACTAGTAATGCCTCCATAATTCACCATAGACATCCCCATATCACTTCCAGCATACCCTTGACCTTCAGAGTTGTCAATTTGCATGGCCAACCCTAAATCACTTCCATCATAATTGCTGCCTCCAAAGTTCCAATTGGGCAACCCCATCTCATTTTCATGAGTTAAACTACCAAAATATGCAGTTGAAGGTACCCCTAGGTCACTTCTAACACTGCTGGTAGGGCCATTAGTGTTCCCAATTTGCTTCCCCAAATCTTTGTACCATAACAAAGACTCAGTAAAATCGCCTTCAATTTGGCTCGTGTTTTCTGACTGGTCTCCACTTTCCTCAGGAGGAATTCTGACTGGATGACTAGGATTAGGTTTCGCAAAATAATCGATTCGTTTTTGAATCCCTTTCATCCTGTCCTCTAATGACAAAACCAAGTCAGTTAGATCATTATCTTCAAATGCAAGCAACGACTTACCTTTTTGAATACTTTGGTACAAGATCTCATTTGTGTTCAGCTCATTGTTCTTTTTAAAAATATTCTTGATTTGCTCCTGCATTTTGGCTACCCTATCCTTCAGGTAAGTCTCTTGGCTCATCATCTTCTTCCACCGCTCGAGCTCCGGTATGCTTTGAAACCTTGCAACCAATTGTTCCACCAGTGGGCGATCCGGCCACACGGTAGGCTTTTCACTATCAGGGCCATAAACAATGATAAAGGCGCTAACATCGCATAAGGTGTTTATCTCACTCATTTTCTTTAACAAGCATGCCTTCCTCTTTCTAAAGCTGGATTTTCTAGCAGCATCATTCACAATCCATGCAAGTTTGACCTTATTCCTAGCCATGGTTGAAGCTATAAATATTTTGGATGACCTCTCTCGATCTATTGAATTCTTCTATACACTAAAATTCTAATGCTCTACACTACACCCACCAAGGGGGTATATATAGATATATTGAAGGTAGGATTTCCAAATAATACAAGTGGAGATGGTAAGTTATCCAAACACTTTTAATGTTCTATATCCCCTTAGAATGGAGAGTATTCACTTTTACTATATTACCATTTTATGCCATTCCAATACACCTCATTGTCATATTTATACTCAAGCCATATATAGCATGTTACTAAACAACGTCATTATTGTTTTTCTATCTTTGACATTTTCTTAGTCAAACAACATAATCATGTCGAATATATTCTTCACATTTAAAAAAAAATACAAGTCATAGTCTAAACTGTGAGGGGAAGGGGGTTTCTCATAAACACTAGGCCCTATTTGAAATTTCTTTTTTTCACCAAAAATCGGCTTCACTTTAAAGTTAAGGAGTTTAAGGTGTTTATTAAAAATAAAATATGCTAATTATTTTAAAAGAAATGGCCTCTTGACAACAGCTTTTAAAAGCAGCCTTAAGTTTAGCTTTTAATGAATTTATTCAATTCCCATAATATCATCATTAATTTTAAAAATCACATCGTCTACCACTACTATCGTCACCTCCACCTCCATCACCACCACCACATCCTCCTCGACCACCTCCTTCACCACCACCACCACCACCTTCGCCGCCACCTCCACGTCCATCACCAGCCTCACCCACGTCCACCACCACCACCTACCTCTACCACTCCATCATCACCACCACCATCACTACCACCACCACCAACACTGCCATCACCACCACCACCACCTTACCTCCACCTCCATCACCACCACCACCACCACCTCCACCTCTACACTACTACCACCACCACCTGCACCACCCACCACCCAACACCTCCACCTTCACCACCTCGACCACCACCACCACAACGACCAACTCCACCTCCACCTATACAACCACCACCACCACCACCACATAGTTAGCACATAACACTTATAACATCATGTTCGTTTTATTCATTATCAACAACTACAATAGTTTTATATTAAAATTTACCAACAATATCATGTCCATTTTAGTCATTATTCACAGTTACAACAATTTTGTATTAAAATTTACCAAACGGTTTTGACATTGCTTTTTTATACTAACAACACTTTAAAAATATTGTTTACCAGACATGTAACTGCTTTACTTCACAACTCATTATTTTCAAAGCACAACAGAAGAAGCTTTTTAAAAAAGTCTCATGGGTTCGAACCTGAGACCACTAGTTTGCAAGTCAAACCCAATTTCAAGTTTAATATGCGTATTTTTTTTATACACATTTTTCAATAATGCATGTGAAATTCACATATTATATACATATTTTTTCACATATTATTGAATAAAAGGAATATTCATTAATAAATTTCAATAAACAACAGTAAGTATTATATTATGGCCAAATTGTTCATCATATATATATATATATATATATATTTTAAAAATTCCCTAAGAAATAAATGCACATATTTTAGTCGTATTTTTTTGTCCCTTATTTTATTAATATGCCTCATACCAATTAAACATTCTAAAAATTACAAGCAGGCTCTCTTGAATTTTCTCAATTCTAGATACATAATTAGGTCATGTTTAGGTATACTTTTGAAATGGCTAAAACCCTTTTTGAAAAAGAAAAACATGGTTGTTGTGGTGTTTGACAAAAAACTTATACGTGCTTGGTTACAAAAGCACTCCTCGGCGCACGGTACTTGTTTGATTTGGAAGCCAAATTTCTTGAGGTGCAAATTATTCAATCTTTGAACTTATTAGGCTCTTTACAACACTAAAAAGGGCACATTCACAATTTATTTTGGCAGACGTAGGGGATATTACTAGTTCATAATCCAAGAATTGAATTATGAACAAACTCAAGTGATGCTTACAATTTCAGTCAATTTGATCACCATGACTATGATTTGGAATATGACAAAGATGGCCGCGAAAATATGGCTATGATTCAAACATTATTACTCCGATAATAATAATAATGGCCAATGTCTACAAGCTAAATAATGGCTACAAGTCAAATTTTGAATATAGTCCGCACATAAAAAAATTCTGAATATAGTCAAAGTAATTATTCAACAAATAGGTTTACAAGGCAAGTTATGGTTGTGAATAAGATTTTCATCACAAAAGTAATATTTGAAGACAACTCTAAAGCCATATCTAAATTCCGTAATGAGATGTCTAAAACCTTTGAAGATTTGTCCAAAAACATGGAAGACGTAACCAAATGATTAAAGTGTGTGGAAAAAGAGGACGAGGATTGTTGTAAACTTCGTCGAAGGAACAAAGGAGCACAGTCAAAACTCTATCACCCACTGAAATTGTTCATTTGGTTTCAAGTTGACTGCCAACTCTTCCAATATTGTTGAAAAAGAAAAAACATTGTGAATGAAGAAAATTTGTTGGGCAAACAAAAGAGGAGGAGATCCTAGAAAACCTACACATAATTTTTTGTGAAGTCCAAAACATGGCCCAAATTGAAAATTTCATGATTAACATGGTTGTTGGTGACAATGCCAACTTGACAAAGTTGTCGTCGGCTAAGTTGGTAGTGGTCATGATTGAAAAAATTGTTGACGTGAGTCTCCTAATTAATCAATGAGATTTATTTCCTTGATTAATTAAGGGATTTACTTTTCTATTTTTTATATAATTGATAAATCATTGTACAACTAGGAGATACTTTCCTAATTCTTTATTGTATCCAATTCCTTGTAAAGTACACATGTAAACTCTTATATATACCTCCTTATGGAGAAGAATAAAGTTAACCTAATACATTCAAACCATATTCATATTTTAGCATGGTATCAGAGCAATCGATCCTTGGTTGTCTCTAAATTCTCATATCAAATTTCTTCACACACAAACCCTAAATCCTCATATCAAATTTCTTCAAACACAAACCCTAAATCATATTCCTTACCTTTATCTTTCCTAAATTCAGATCTCCATACACATCCCTCATATCTTCATATTCCTAAACACATACCAAATTTCTAAACACATGCTTTTCTTTTATTCTTACATCCTTTCGCCGTCATGAATATTGTCTCAACTTCAAAACCCACCGACTCCACTCCACCATCCTCCCAAATTGTTACTATTCATAGTGACAACACTCCGTTTCCTACCAGCATCATCTTGACAGAGACCAATTATGCCTTATGGTCTCAGGTCATGGAGATGCGTATTGCTGCCTACGAAAAATTGGGGTACCTCACCAGCAACGCCCCACAACCTTCAAAGCTCTCCTCCACCTACAACAAATGGTGTACGGAGAACTTTCGAGTCAAGAGGTGGCTCATCAACTCCATGTCTCCCGACTTGATGAGTCTTTTCATATGTTTAAGTACCGCCACAGAAATATGGGATGCCGTGAAGAAAACCTACTTTGATGGTGGGGATGAAACGTTCCTTTTTGGTCTCAACAAATAGGCGTTCTCCATTAAACAGAATGGTGCACCTGTCCACAAATACTTCAGCCAGTTGCAGACCATCTTTCAGGAGATTGATCACCGTACTTCAAATCGCATGCACTACGACGCTGACGTGACTGAACGTCAGACCGAACTGGATCGTCTTCGTGTTCACCTTTTTCTTGCTGGCCTCGACCCTCAGTTTGATCAAGTCCAGGGGGATATCCTTTGCCTATGTCCTTTGCGAAGCTCAACAATGATTGACCATGACCAGTACTCCAGACACTGTGGTCTTGGCCACTCAATGTCCATGGGGCCCTCCGTCCTCTTTCAGTGGTGCTTCTCAGACTCAAGTCACAAGCTCTCGTCAAGTCACAAGCTCACTGTGGTGGAAGCAAACATACCCGTGCTGGTTGTTACGAATTGATTAGGTACCCGAATTGGTGGGACCACTCTAAAGCTCCCCGCAAGAATAGGAGCAAATCACTCAACACATCATCCGCCTCATATCCTGTATGTCCTGTTGTTTCGACTACACCGGCTCCCGCCTCTGCCTCTATAGCCACAACAAGTACCCAAGGTTATGTTTTGCATAGTTCTTCAAAGAAACACACATGGGTCATTAACACTGGAGCCACTGATCATATGACCTTTGATTTTGGACAAATTACCTCTCATACACTGTCTTCTCAATCAGTGGTGTCTAATGCCAATGGTACCCCCCTCTCCAGTAATTGGGGAGGGTTCTCTATCTCTCTCTCTTTGACTCCCTCACTTTGGATTCTGTGTTGATTGTTCCATCCTTACACCATAATTTCTTGTATGTTGCCCAAATTACTACGGGTTTGAATTGCACTATAACTTTTTGGCCTACTCATTGTGTTTTTCAGGACATTCTCAACAGCAAGACAATTGGTTGTGGTACTAGGACGGGCAAACTCTACTATTTGGACTTGGCATCTGATAGTGAAGCCAGCCTAAGCCAAGCTTACACAATTTGGGGTGTGAGTGTTGAGAAGAAGACTTCAGAAGTATGGTTATGGCATCGCCGTCTTGGACATGCTTCATTTGGATATTTACAGAAGCTATTTCCTTCCTTATTTTTTTATTTAGATATTTCCAATTTTAAGTGTGACATTTGTGAACTGGCCAAGAGCCATCGTGTTCCTTTTCCCTTAAGTTCAAATAAAAGTTTGGTTCCCTTTTCTCTTGTTCATTCTGATGTTTGGGGCTCCGCTAAAATTACCACACCAAGGGGAGTTAGATGGTTTGTCATATTTATTGATGATTGCACATGCATGACCTGGGTTTCCCTTCTCAAAACAAAGGGGAAGTCAGTTCCAAGTTTCAACAGTTCTATCAAATGGTAGAAACACAATTTCATACTCGAATTCAGGTTCTTCGTTCCGACAATGGCAGAGAATTTCTCAACCATGATCTTAATCAGTTCTTACACTCCTTAACAGAATAGTGTGGCTGAACGAAAGAATAGACACTTATTGGAAGTAGTTCATGCCTATCTTTTTGGTGCCAATATACCTAGGCCCTTTTGGGGAGAAGCCGTCCTATTTGCAGCATACCTTATCAATCGGATTCCCTCCAATATCCTAAATTTCAAAACCCTCTTTGAAACACTCCACCACCATATCCAAATACCTCATACCCAAAACCTGGAACCCCGAATTTTTGGCTGTGTGGTCTTTGTCCACTTACATGATCACTAACGCAACATATTGGATCCTCATGCCGAAAAATGTGTTTTCATCGGTTATGCACCTCATCAGAAATGGTACTGGTGTTATCATCCTCCTAGTAAGAAGGTCTATACTTCTATGGATCTTGTGTTCCAGGAACATGACTTATATTTTTCAGTTATACAGGAGGAGGATCGCGATGCCAACACTTCTCACATTTCAGAATTTTTTCCTTCAGAATCATCACAAATTGAAAACAATTGGTCACAGGATGCGAGCGACTGGTCGCCCAAGACTCTGCCTGAAGACGACTGGTCGTAGGTTGTGAGCGACCGGTGGCCCCAGACTCTGCCTGAAAGCGACTGGTCGTAGGTTGAAAGCGACCGGTCACTACCTGGAAATCCGAATCTACTTCAAAATGACCAATCGCCAGAGGACCGCGACCGGTCATCTCCCTGCTATCAAACTCAAAAGGAGAAAATTGAGGAGTTTTTGACCGCTCCGGAGAATTCTTCAGCTCCAGTACCAGACTAATCACCTGCTGAGGACGTCATTCAAGTAACATCTTTTCCTGAAATTGATAACATTAATGAAATATCCCATGATGATTTAATTTCAGAAGGCACAAAGCCTGCATATCAGATTCCAAAACGAAAGAACCATGGAAAACCTCCAGTTCACTACGAAGTAGATGCGAAAGGGAAATATCCCATCAACAATTATGTATCCACCAACAGATTATTAGAGTCACGGATGCACTTTGTGAAGCAGTTGGCCGAAATACCTGTTCCCAATAGTGTAACTGAAGCACTAGAAGACTCAAAATGGAAAGAAGCCATGAATGACGAAATGCGAGCTCTCCAGAAGAATGGCACATGGGAACTCGTGCCATTACCTCATGGAAAGAAGACAGTGGGATACAGGTGGATTTATACTGTGAAACTCAAAGCATATAGATCCATTGAAAGATATAAAGCTAGATTGGTGGCGAAAGGATACACACAAAGATATGGGATAGACTACCAACAGACTTTTGCCCCAGTCGCCAAGATTAAAACTATTAGAGTTCTTCTGTCTCTAGCAGTAAATCTCGATTGGCCATTACATCAGTTTGATGTAAAAAATGCATTCTTACATGGAGACTTGGAAGAAGAAGTATATATGGACTTGCCACCAGGATGTAACTTAGCTCGCGACAAGGAGAATCAAGTTTGTAAGCTCAGAAACTCATTATATGGGTTAAAGCAATCCCCCAGGGCATGGTTTGACAAATTCACTGAATCCATGAAGAATTTTGGATATATATAGAGTAATGTAGATCACACTTTGTTCTTGAAGAGTGATGGAAAAAGACTTACTGCAATGATTGTTTATGTGGATGACATAGTCGTAATTGGAAATGACATAGAAGAGCAACTGAAACTGTAGAAGTATTTGTCTTAGGAATTTGAGATGAAGGATCTAGGTGATCTGAAGTACTTTCTAGGAATTGAAGTAGCCAGGTCCACAACTGGTATATTTCTGTCGCAAAGAAAGTATGTATTATATCTGCTCATTGAAACAAGAATGCTTGGATGCAAACCTGCGGATACACCCATCGAGATGAATCACAATTTATATAAAGACATGGATCAAGAACCAACCAATAAGGAACAATACCAATGCCTTGTTGAAAGGTTGATATGTTTAGCTCACACAAGACCAGATATTGCATATGCTGTGAGTGTGGTTAGTCAGTTTATGCATTCACCCAATATGTCCCATAGAAATGCAGTTGATTGGATCTTAAGTTACTTAAAGTCAGCACCTGGAAAAGGATTAATGTTCTAAAAAAATAGAGATCTTGAAGTTGTTGGATATACAGATGCTGATTGGGCTAGCTCCGTTATTGACAGACGTTCTACTTCAAGTTACTTCACTTTTGTATGAGGTAACCTAGTCACTTGGCGGAGTAAGAAACAAAATGTGGTTTCTCGATCTAGTGCTGAAGCAGAGTATCGAGGAATGGCTCATGGAGTTTGTGAATTACTATGGATTAGAAGACTATTGATAGAATTGGGTTTCAAGCTAGGAAAGCCAATGGAGTTACATTGTGATAATAAGTCAACCATTGATATTGCCCATAATCCAGTTCAACATGATCGAACTAAACATGTTGAGGTGGATAGACATTTTATCAAAGAAAAAATTGAGAAGAAGATCATCCGCCTACCATTCATAAGATCAGAAGATCAATTGACAGATATCTTAACCAAAGTTGTTTGTGGAAGAGTATTTCATGACTCACTTACCAAGTTGGGCATTGGTGACGTATATGTGCCAACTTGAGGAGGAGTGTTGACGTGAGTCTCCTAATTAATCAAGGAGATTTATTTCCTTGATTAATTAAGGGATTTACTTTCCTATTTTTTATATAATTGATAAATCATTGTACAATTAGGAGATACTTTCCTAATTCTTTACTGTATCTAATTCCTTGTAAAGCACACATGTAAACTCTTAATATACCTCCTTATGGAGAAGAATAAAGTTAACCTAATACATTTAAACCGTATTCATATTTTAGCAAAAATAACCATGTTTCAGGGCTATGTATTCATCTATTATGAATGTAAAGAACAAGAAAGTTTAAAAAGTCACTATGCTGCAACACTTCACGACCTAAAATGGGTCTCATTCATGCTATTGTGGGAACACATATTTTCGGCAACAAATCACAAGGTAACACGTCGAAGAGGAAATATTTATTAGGTCAACTAATTGTGCTAATTAAATATAATATAATTAGTCAATTATCTTTGATTTAAGATAGGAAATATCTCCCCAAATTAAGTATGAGATTTCCATCAAATATCCATGATTAATCCTACCACCTATTTTTGGGTAAGAATAATTCCTATATTTGGGTAAGATTTCTATTAAATCTCCACGAATATTCTCCCGTGAGATATTTGCACAACAACTACATCATCATTTTTAACGGATTTCTTGACGAGACTTGACGGTGAGTGGGAAAGTGAGATGCAAAATATAGGTCAATAAGGCAAAGTGAGTCACTTTGACTTTTAGGGAACAATGTGAAATTGACTACACTTTATGAGGCACTAGAGAAATTAACTATTTCACTTATTATTGCAACTGTATTTTTTATGAACATTGGAAATGATAGTAATTGGTCTTTTCTCTATTCATGTCAATCTTTATGAGGCACTAGAGAAATTAACTATTTCACTTACTATTGCAACTATATTTTTTATGAACATTGGAAATGATAGTAATTGGTCTTTTTTCTGTTCATGTCAATTGAACACATGTTTGTAAAAACTTGGGGCTCTCTCTCTCTCAAAAGTTATTTTCCTCTTTTCTCATGAAAAACTAGGGACCCTCTTCAAAACCCAAATTTCTTTTTGGATATGGGGTTTCCCTAGATCTCTGCTAAAAAATAACGAATCGTTGGATTCCCGGGAACCTTTTAACCCCCCCTCTTCCGCCCAAAAAAAAACTTACGTTGTGGAGAACGTTTCCCTTCTAGATTTGGCTAGAGTTTTTGTCATCCATTTTGTACCATATTTGACCGGACCCACAAGAAATGACACATGGAAGGAACCTAACACTGAACGAGGTCCACGAAAGCCTACGCTGGCCAACCTAGCTGCTAAGGCCCATATCCGCTAATCGGTGGGTGCTTGCGATACCCCATGCCAAAAGTACTTCGCAAGGCTTTGTGATGAATACATTCACTAGGACACGTGGTAGCCCCCTAGGGCACTACCACGGGTCCCACATTGAAAGTTTACACCAAGTGAACACCCCCAGATAGCTCTCAGCCTGCCGGAGGGAGGAACCTACTGAGGGTAGATCACATATCATCTTTAAGTTTGGGCCCATTATTGCTCATCTAGTTTTGTGCACAAATAGATTGACGTCGTCTGTGGGAATCGTCACTGATTAACCCATACTCTTACCCAACGAAGATGGACCCTCCACCACTTCCACAATTCTTCTTGCCTGAGAGTCTGATCCTCGGCAAAAAAAGTGGAGCAAGCCTCGCTCCTCAGCCTCACACACCGCAATTGGATCCCATTGCCCGACACATACCTGTCGAATCTAACCTCATGGCAGTTAATAACGATGAGAGATACGGAGGCCATGAAGGGAAGTCGTACCGAACGGCAACCCTTGAAAACCAGGAGTACAACGCTCACTAGAGATAGCCCTGTCATTCAGAAAGCCGATCATATGACGAACTACCCTATACCGATCCTGCAATCCATCTCTCATTCCAGAATATCAGGGAAATATAATAAGAAAAGAATAAGTCCTAGCAACAGGCCTGGGGCAGGCTTCAGCCAAGCCTCGACATTGTCTCTAGGTGGACGATCGTCTACACTTCTTTCTTGTTCATTGATTACTTGACGACCCACAACACCATCATCTGCAGACCATCGTTAACCAAAATGAGAGCCTTTGTGTCACCTCACATGCTTCTACTCAAGTTCCCAACACACTCTGGCATCGGCCAAGTGCAAGGCCATCAATTGAGTGCCCAGACATGTTACACATCGGTAACACAAGATTTGACGAAAGCAACACCGAAGGTAACCATTTCAGTCTCCACCGTCTCCGAGGACCTGTAGAACGGCGGGGTGCTGAGCTAGCTGATGATCCCAGAGAAGAAGTTGTCACCCCACGAGGCTCAAACTATCAAAGAACTTGAACACATCACCTTAACAGAAAATTACCCGGATCGGCAGGTTAGAATCGACACCTGCCTCAGTAACACATCTCTCGCGTAGTTTATGACCTTCCTTAGGAACAATTTGGAAGTATTTGTGTAGTCATACAACGACATGCCAAGAATCTCTCCCGATGTCATCAACCATAAGCTCAGCAACAATTCCTAAATTCAAACTGGTTCGTTAGAAGAGATGAGCCTACGACGCCGAACGATATGAAGCTATGAAGGCCGAAATGGATAAGTTAAAGATAACTGGCTTCATCCGAGAAGTAACATACCCAATTTGGCTCACTAATTCGGTAATGGTGAAAAACACATCCGCGGCATGGCGCATGTGCTAGGACTACATCAATCCCAACAGGGCTTGTCCCAATGATAGCCTTTTCCGAGGATCGATCAACTAGTAGATGCAACAGTCTGGTATGAGTTCCTTAGCTTCATGGATGCCTACTAAAGCTACAAGCAAATCTCCATGCATACTGCCGATCAGGATCATATGACCTTCATCACCGACAAAGGCTTATACTGTCACAAACGCTCAAAGGCAGCAAGCGGCAAATTGTTTGGACTATCTAAGCGACCAAGCCTTCCAAGATCTGAAGGAATACTTGAGCGAAGCACCTCTATTATCTAAGCCTCTCCTATAAGAAAACCTCATCCTCTACCTCTCGGTATCGGGAACTGCTATAAGTTCTATCGAGCTTCAACCTTACTTTCAGGAACACATCATAACAGTGCTCACAAATCAGCCATTACCCTAAGTCTTGCAGAATCCATAAACATTTGGAAGATTGATTAAATGGGCTCGACGAGTTTGATGTTCACTATCAGCCTAGACCTGCCGAAGAGGACCAAGCAGTAGCTGATTTCATCTCTGAATTCACACTACCTTCAGTAGACGAAACACCGCCACAACCAGACCATCCCTCAGCCAAAGGGCCGCTAGACTTGAAGATCCGTCTTTGGAAATTACATGTTGATGGCTCGTTCAACCAACATCTCTCCTCCCTGTCCCATATGTCTGTCTTTCCTCCCTCTCTCCATGCCTCTCTCTCTCCCCTCCCTTTCTCATCTCTCGCCCTCTCACCTCCCTCTCAGCTCATATGGCAACCAATTGAACAACATTTGGTTTCAACCAGAGGAGATCTTCCCTAGAGATGGAACTATAGAAGAAAGGCTTCATGCCTTTTGGGTTGTTGTTCCTTCTTCTCTCTCTTTCTCTCTCTTTCTCTCTCTCTCTCTCTCTCTCTCTCTCTCTCTCTCTCTCTCTCTCTCTCTCTCTTCTCAAGCTATCTTCCTGCTTAGATGTAGAGTCTAAAGCAAAAATTGGGAATCTAGGGTTTCTAATTTTCTAATTTTAATTTCAAATTTTTTTAGATCTTAAAAATAGTTTGGAGTTTAATACCAAACATGTTTTTAGATCTTAAAATTAGTATTTGAAAACTCATGTTTTTAAAAAGAATAATTGTTTTTTAGTTCACTTTTTTGAGTAGGATACCAAAAGGGCCCTTATTTCACCAAAAAAAAAAAAAAAAAAAAAAAAAAAAAAAAAATTTGTATTTGCATGTCATAACACACCCTATTTATTTCTTTAGTTTTGAAATTGACTGCTTCATATTTTGCCATTAATTTGGGTTGATGGTGGTTTGTTTCGATTTTTTGTTTTCACAATCTGGTACGTACCAAACATCATTTCAGAATTAAAAGCAAAACCTAGTTTTTGAATCAAATACCACACAGGCCCAGAAACATCTTGTGCTTTATGCATAATTGTTTGTCCCTCTGCCTCCTTTTAAGCACAAAAATGCCTTTTGGCTACCAGTAAGGTTGGCATATATAATTGGCTACGATGGGTGAGATGATAATAGACATGGACGGAACAAGAAGCTTCCATATATGATGTAATAGTATCTTCTCTTGTTATCTTTATTTTCTTGGCTGTCCCTATCTAAAAATGTAAAAGTTACACGTCAAAGCAATTTCTCCATCATAAATGTGACTTTTGGGGCCATCTATTGCAAGTTACATCAAATTAAAAAGGATAATTTTCACTTCATCGAGTTTCAGTCTTTAGTACATGAAATTTTTTTCATCTCAATCGCATACATAAAATTGGTTTTCCTACCACTTTCATACCTACCTTCATTCTTTCTACGTCTGTTAAGTGCTAATGTGGCAATAAATATGTCATCTATACCCACTCATATGGTGCCACATGGTCGGACAATATTATTTTTAAAAAATTATTAATTAAATTAATAAGAAAACATTATTAATTAAATAAAGAAAATTTAAAAAATTAAATAAGTTGTCGTCATCTTCTTCCCTGAAACCCTAGCACCCTACCATCTCCTCACTACCATTAAATTAAAGATTGACGGTATGTATGAAAGTGGTAGGAAAATCAACTTTGTGTATGTGACTGAGATGAAAAAAAAACTTCATGTACTAAAGGCTAAAACTCGGTAAACTTTAGGGTAGTAAAGTGAAAATTACCTCACTACTAAAAAAGTGAGCATTAGGGGCAAAATTATGCATATGCCTCTATTAATATTTATTAGGGACGGAAATATGGATTTACCTGTATTAAAGTAATAGGGGCAGGCGTATAAAGCGCCCCTATTAATTTTGTTACTTTTATAGGCAATAAAAAAGAGATATGTAAACCCTAATTCTGCAATACCCCGTGGTGGAGCCACAATGGGGTCAAACAACCCCTTGGCAGCCATAGAAATAGGTATGGAGGTCCTTCTTTACTGGTGGTGTGACCCTATGAGGTGCACATAAGCTTCTCGATAAAAGTCCTAAAGGAGAGTGCAAACAACCCCTTGCATGCAGTAGTGCTGCGAGGCTAGGCTCTTTTGTTTTTAAATTGCCTGGAAAACGACATCATTTTGCAGGCTCCTCAACTTTTTTTAATGACTTGGCTTCAAAACTAAGTCATTTTGAGCCAGGCTTTTTTAAAAAGATGGTCCATCACTGTGAAGTTCATTCTTTCAGTATACTTGTTCTTGTTGTTTATTGTAACAGAGAGAACAACTTGAAAGTAGGTTTTGTGTTTTGATTTGTTGAAAGTGCTATCGTTTATTTTTTTCAATGTTATTTTTGTTTAAAAAAAGATTCGAAGCTTTTGTGGAGAACACTCAGAAGAAACTATAGCACACAACCTTGAATGAAAAGTTCTTATTGTCATTGGTAACAAACTGCAGGCTTATAAAGCATTTTACAAAGAGATAAAATCAAAATAGCAGCCCACGTTTGCAGCACCCTAAAACGTGGTAACATACTAATAGGAATTTGTTAAAAACACAAACAACTAGTCCCTAAAGGATAGGACTTATTAACAGACTGATTAGCTAAAAGATCTGAATAATAAACTGTTAACTCTAACAGTCTTATCATTCCCTCCCTTAAACTGTATGCAGAATGCATTCAGTTTATATTAGGAACTTCACACACGCCCAGCAAACTATGAAGCTTCAAAAACACCTCCAACCTAAGCGGCTTTGTCATAATGTCAGCTACTTGGTCTTAAGTATTACAATGACTCAAATCCATCACACCATCTTTTACCAGGTCACGAAGAAAATGAAACCTGATGTCAATGTGCTTGCTTCTGCCGTGAAGAACAGGATTCTTGGAGAGTTTTATAGTTAAACTGTTGTCACACAAAATTGTAGTGCATTTCTCCTGTACATAACCAAGCTTCTCTAAAACTCTTCTTAACCAAACACACTGACAAGCCCATGAGGCAGCAGCGATGTACTCTGCTTCAATGGTGGATAAGCTAACCACAGGCTATTTTTTGGATGACCATGACACTGCTCCAGAACTAAACATGAACACACTCCCCGAAGTACTCTTGTGATCACTACTACATTTTAGGCTTTGCGCGACGAAGGGGCCTTCGTCGCGCAAAAATGATTTTAGTCGCACATAATTATGCGTGACAGAAGTTTCGTCGCGCCTGGTCCGTCGCACAAAGTTCGTGAACAAAGGATTTGCGCGACGAACAGATATCATTTGTCGCGCGACGTATAACAACTTCGTTAAAAAAAACATTTTGGGACGACCCTATTGTTCGTCGCACAAATATTTGCGTGACGGACTCTTCCGTCGCGCGAGATACATGAACTTTGCGCGACGAAATAATATTCGTCGCGCACGTAGTCCTTGCACGACAAAATAGTCGTCGCGCATACAAATTTCGCACGACGAGATAATTCGTCGCGCATACAAATTTCGTGCGACGAAACAATTCGTCGCGCATACACATTTTGCGCAACGAAATTCTTCGTCGCGCATGATTAAAATATATTTGTCAACGAGTTATTTAAATGTTTTTGCGCGACGAATTACGTTTCGTCGCGCAAAAGAAATATATATTATTTTAAAAAATATATTATTATTTGATTTTTAATTTTGTAAAAAAATAAATTTGGTTTTTTTTATATAATTAAAATGAAATTACAATAAAAAGATTAATCGCAAAGAAAACATTTATTATATAAAATAAAAGAAATGTATACAAGAGAAATATTGTAAAAGTAAATATAAAAATAAAAAACTAATCAAATAATGTTCCAAAATCTACTTGGTCATCTGCCACATGCGGCTCGGAGGTATGGGTGTCTGCAGGGGCCGTGGTGTGCTGGGGATGCTCGGGGTGGACGGGCTCGGAGGTCGACGCACCAAAATTCGGGATTGGAATGCCGGACCGCGCGAGGGACTGCAGAATCACCGACATCTGACCCTCAAGCTCGGCAACCCGCGATGTCAAAACAGTCACCTGACTGTTTGCCTGCGACGATGACCGCGGTCGAGGTTCCTTCTGTCGGGCATTCCCCATCCCCTTACAATACGTTCCCGGCCTCCTCCCGAGAGTCTGATCCAACGTCTGCGTCAAAATCTGAAATCCAGCATCATGCGGAGGATCCACAGACTCGATTGGAGTCTCGGGAGGAAGTTGGGAGGCGGACTCTTAAAGAACCAACTGGCTCCTCTCCACCATCGTCGTCTGTTTAACATTACATAAAATATAAATTCAAAAATGCATCTAAATTGAAAGCGTAACATAAGAATTAAAATTAAATAATACTTACATGAAGGGACTCGGCCAACTCATTCCCAGGTCGAACATAAACGTCACCAAAGACGTCGATCTCTGGGAATTTCGACCCCCTCTTAATTGAACAAGAGAAGGAAAATATTAGTATGAACAAAATAAATTAATAATAATGACGTATTAAAAATTAAATATAAATTATATTATTCTTACCCGACGCCGTGCATCCATCCTATATGAGAAGGGCCTGGAGCCGGAATGGTGGAGAAGAGTCTTCTTCTTCCTATTGCCCTTATTCACTTGGGCTTTATTCTGTTATACAAAAAATAAAACGTAATAGTTGAAATATAAATAAATTAAATAATAAAGAGATATAAAAAATAAAATAAACATTAATAAGAAATATGTAATAATTAAACAAATATTATTAAAAAAATACCACATAATCGGGCGCCTGAAAATGAGCGCAGAGCCACGCCCAACTATCCTCCCGCCCCTCAAGCTCCTTCGGGCAACCCTCCTGAAGAGCGACTTGCGGATCATCAAACGCCTGAAAATGGTGGTGCAAGTCGCTCTTCCACTGCTTGTACCTCTCACCGAAGAGTCTGTTGACGTACGCCAAGGTCTCCTCGTTGATGTCCTCTAAGTGGTAGTTCGTCTGCAATAAATTCATTACATACATTAAGTAATAGAAATATATAAAGTTTGAAAGAAAAATAATTAAAAGATAGGAAACATACCAACAACTGGCCGCGAACTTGCATCTTGATCTCGTCAGGCATGACCTTCCAAGACTTCCATTGCATCGGGCAATGGGTCCGAACGACGTGGCCAATGTCGTGGGCCAAGGAGCTATGCAAGTCCGCCGTCGGTGCAGCCCGATGGCGCTCGTCATATCCGATGCTGATACGACTGTTGGTCACCCGGGTGACCTTCGCTGTCTTCAGCTGCCGACACGGCCCTGGGTGTTCCTCTTGGCTGCAAAGGGATATGACAATACTGTAACATAAATAACAAATTGAACCATAAAATTCCCAATTAAAAAAATGTTAAAAACAAAAAAAATGAAAGTGGAAGGGTATTACCTGGAGGTGCCCCCGAGGCACCAGTACAGTCAGTCGATGTGGTGTCGGTGGTGGTAGCGGGCCGATGTCGCCGCCTAGCGCTAAGAGGCTGCACCACCGAAGAAGATGATGATGCAACCGCCTGGGATCCCCCAGGACCAGCTAGCACGTGGTCCTGCTCCATTAGTGCTGGAGCAGTCCTGCTCCATCAGTGCTGGAGCAGTGGCAGCTGATACCGGGGCTCCGAACTCGGTGTAGTCGTCACCGCCCTACGACGTCTAATCAAGTCTGACATCTGCACAATTTCATTAATCAAATGTAGCACATACAATGTCATTAAAAAATTGAACTAACTAATTAAAATCATAGTTTGACCTAGGGTTTGCGATTTCGAAGTATCCGGGACTCCGATCCACGATCCGTCGAATCCTAAACGATCCTATAAATACATGGTACCACATACATGAGTTTCAGCTCAATCCAACGGTCCAAACATATCAAACCTGAAAATCGCACAATAGGTTCGAACTGTTCGAGACTCAAACGATAACCAAATTCCAATCCGAGCACACCTACGCGCTCGTGACAACGAAATGTTTGCACTGGGACAAAATGCCCTATGCCACAGTACCCCACGCGCGTGGGTTCCCAAAGCGATAACAATCACCGGGAAATCCTAAAAATTAAAGGCCAAGGTTCCTACCCTAGGTTCAAAACATCAATTGGAGGCACTTTTGTTCTCGGACCTACCCCGAAAAAACGGCCGGAAGTGGCCGGAATTTCAATTTCAAAACCGGCCGAAACCTAGGGTTTCAAATTCACTACCCTATGCACACAATCAATCAAATCCTACCCAACCATCAGCTAAAGCATCAAAAATAGTCCATAAAGCATACCTCAATTGCCGGATTTGGTGCCCGGAGGAGAGAGAACAACGGCGGCGAAGATTCGGCCTAAACGGAGGAAATCACGGCGGCAGGATGGACGGCGACGGCGGAGAAGCTCCAAGGTTCGACGGTTGTGGCGGCAGGGTCTGAATTGGGGCGGAGTAGGGGCTGAGGTCACGGTGGAGAGAGAGGGAGGTTTTAGGGTTCCGTTTGAGAAACTGGGGAAGAAGGAGAAGATCGCAATTTTCAGAAAACTTATTCGACTTTGCGCGACGAATAACCAAATCCGTCGCTCAAAATTCATTAAAATAACTTTTGCGCGACGCAAAAATGACTTTCTGTCGCGCAAGGTTCTGAAAATATGACCTTTGCGCGACTTAACAACTAGTGTCGTCGCGCAAGTTTGTCCAGCCGCCCAAATTTTGGGATTTGATTTTGCGCGGGGAAGATAAATGAAATGATATTGCGCGACGAATAGACCCTCGTTCATCGCGCAATCTAGCTTTTGCCAAAAAAAAATTCGCCAAGTGTTTTGCCTAAAACCAATACCCTAAGCCCTAAACCCGAACTCCTGAACTAGTTTCAATGATCCAACTGGCAATCTTCTTTCTTTATAGTTCAAGATCGTATACGTCAAAAATCATAATGAATGAACATTCAGAGATTGAGTAACGGGACAAAACTTTTCGTCGGTTCTAAACAAATTGTCCCGATTCAACGGTGATTTTAACTCCGATCTTGAAATTTTTTTATAGCTGCAGTTCTTGACCCTATATGAATACAGAGATGTAATTCGATCTTTAATTTCAGATATTTACAGTACAGGACATCACATAATCTTATGTTATACTGAATGAATGTGTAATGAAATTCTTCATTTTTTATGAATATTGTGTTTTGATGGAATACGCATTCTAGGAAACTAGTTTCAGTAATCCAGCCGTCAAATATGTTTGTTTATACTTCGAGATCGTATACGTCGAAAATGAGAAAAAAAAAACATTTAGAGATCAAGTAACGGGACAAAACGTTTCGACGGTTATAAACGAAAAGTCATGATTTAACGGTTATTTTGACTTTGATTTTGATGATTTTTTACAGCTACACTGTTTAACCCTATGTGAATACAGTGAACTACTTCGATCGTCAATTTCAAATATATACGTGTGTATATATCAGAAATATATATATGTATATGTTTGCGCGACGAGGTCTTTGTTTCGTCGCGCAAAAGGTACTTGCGCGACGGAATTATTTGTCGCGCAAATAATAGAGTATGCGCGACGTTTATATTTTCCGTCGCGCAAAAGGTACTTGCGCGACGGAATTATTTGTCGCGCAAATAATAGAGTATGCGCGACGTGTACGTTTTCCGTCGCGCAAAATGTGCGCGACAATTATGCCTTCGTCGCGCAAGGTTATTTTCATCCACATATTATTAAGCTGAATTATTCATCATTACATATAATTAATTGTATGATTTATTCTATTTTCTTTTGATTTGAGAATTGAAGGATTGTTGATAATCTTATTTTCTTTGTATTCATTTTTTCGGTTATATGGTTTTCATTTTTTAAAAGTTTTTTGTCAAAATAAATTTAAACTTTATTATTAAAATTACTTGGATATATTTATTTACCAATGGTTTATAACTACATTTATTTTAATAATGTTTCATTTCTGCACATATATAATGTTTGGATATAACAAGTACATATATGAAAACATTTGCATTACACAAAATATGTCCACTAACATAATAAAATTACAAAAAAATTCATCATTCATCATCTGAACTATAATAACTTTCGTTATCGTCGCTATCATCACTTTCGGTCTCCCAATCCTCTTCCTCCTCCTCCTCCTCCTCCGCCTCCTCTATAACTACATCATCGTCGTTGCTCGGGCCAACTGCAACATCGTATCGCGGAAGATCACCGAGGTCAATTGTAATTGACTGAATCGGTATTTCGATTGAAGACACTCCTTGTATTTGAAATGGCTCTTGTATAACATTAGTATCTCGAAGTGTTTCCGCATCATTTTCCATTGAAGATTCTAAACGTTGGTCAGCCACATTGTCGACGTCGTTGTCAGTTGGGTCTAGTTCTGGTATAGCATACACGTTCCTGTGATCCATCTTTTGAACAACGTTCCAACCGCTTCCGGCTTTAGGGTCATCTAGATACACAATTTGTGTTGCCATGTTTGCCAAAATATAAGGGTCGTCATCATAACAAGTTCTGTTCATGTTCACAGATAGTAAGCCATGATCGATTTTAACACTTCCCGGCCTATTTGGGTTGGTGTCAAACCATCGACACTTAAACATGATCACTTGGTATCGATCTTTGTAAAGCAATTGCACGATAGTTGTGAGTTTGCCATAGAAATCAATGTCCGTACTTTCGCCTCCACCTGGGACATGGACACCACTGTTTTGCGTACACAACTTGTCATCTCGTGCTTCGCCCAAAAATTTGACGCCGTTGACATTACAACCCGAGAACAATTCAACGCGAATCGGGCCGAACGCCAAGTTATATAACTCATCACTGTAAGTTGGGGAATTCGATGATTTCAACTTATTCACCTATTATTATACAAAACCATTCATATGTTAGTCTGACAAAATTAAAAACTACAATTTATATTTCTCAAATAACAAACACTGATAACTTACAGAATCCAAAAACCATTGTGGAAACAATTCACGGTGTTTCTGGGCAACCAAATGTGATGGATGTTCTCGCTTCATCATCTCTTCATGCTCATAGAAGTTGGAAAGAGGTATGCAAACCAATTTGAATCATTACCCCCACCTACTAATAAGGTTTTACCTTCTATTGTGCAGGCACCAGAGTTGGAATTAAAGCAATTGCCAAAACACCTTAAATATGCTTGTTTAGGTGAAAATGAGACTCTACCTGTTATCATTGCCTCACACCTCGAACCAAATGATGAGAAGAAGCTTTTGAGAGTTCTAAAAGAGCACAAAACTGCAATTGGGTGGAGCATTACAGATATCAAAGGCATAAGTCCAACACTATGCATGCACAAGATATTATTGGAAGACAAAGCAATGCCTAAGAGGGATGCCCAAAGACGTCTCAATCCGAACATGAAGGAGGTGGTAAGAAAAGAGGTAATGAAGCTTTTAGATGTTGGTATTATTTACCCTATTTCTGACAGTAAATGGGTGAGCCCAGTGCAAGTTGTTCCCAAAAAGTCAGGTATCACAGTGGTGAAGAATGAAGCAAATGAGCTTGTACCTACACGGGTGACCACGGGCTGGAGAGTTTGCATCGATTATAGGAAGCTCAACACAGCAACAAGCAAGGATCACTTCCCTCTTCCATTCATTGATCAGATGCTTGAGAGATTGGCTGGCCATAGCCACTATTGCTTCCTTGATGGATATTCAGGCTACAACCAAATCGCCATAGCCCCAGAGGATCAAGAGAAGACGACCTTCACGTGTCCCTTTGGTACTTTCGCTTATAGGAGGATGCCTTTTGGTCTCTGTAATGCCCCAGCCACTTTTCAAAGGTGCATGATGAGCATTTTCTCCGACATGGTAGAAAGGTTTATTGAGGTATTCATGGATGACTTCTCTGTCTTTGGTGATTCTTTTGATCAATGCTTGCATAACTTATCCAAGGTGTTGGCTAGATGTGAAAAGACTAACCTTGTGCTTAATTGGGAAAAATGTCATTTTATGGTTAACCAAGGCATAGTTCTTGGTCATGTCATCTCTAGTAAAGGAATCGAGGTAGATAAAGCTAAGATTGATTTGATTGCCTCCATGCCCTCACCTACTTCTGTCAAAGAAGTACGTTCTTTCCTTGGCCATGCAGGTTTCTATAGGCGTTTCATTAAGGAATTTTCTAAGATTGCGAGGCCTTTGTGCAATCTCCTTGCCAAGGACATGGATTTTGTCTTTGATCAAAACTGTGAGAATGCTTTCAATGCTTTGAAGAAGATGCTCACAACTGCCCCAATCATTATACCACCATATTGGAGCTTGCCTTTTGAATTGATGTGTGACGCCTCTGATTATGCCGTTGGAGCTGTTTTGGGACAGCGAATTGATAAGAAGCCACATGCCATCTACTATGCTAGTAGAACCCTCAACGATGCCCAACTCAACTATTCCACCACAGAGAAGGAGTTATTAGCTGTCATATTTGCTTTAGAGAAGTTCAGATCATATTTGATTACTAACAAGGTTATTGTTTACACTGATCATGCAGCATTAAAATACTTGTTAGCCAAGAAGGATGCCAAGCCACGACTCATTAGATGGATTCTCTTGTTGCAAGAGTTTGACTTAGAGATAAAAGATAAGAAAGGAAGTGAGAATGTTGTGGCTGATCATTTGAGTAGATTGGTGCATGTGTCTAACGAAGAGGAGGATTCATTGCCATTGCGTGAAAGCTTCCCTGATGAGCAACTCTTCTCCATTTGTGCTTTGAATTCTCTCAATCCATTATCTTGGTTTGCTGTTATTGTTAACTATTTGTGCACTAATGAACTCCCTACAGGGTTATCTACGTTCCAACGTGACAAGCTTAGGAAGCAAGCAAGATACTACTTTTGGGATGATCCATATTTATTCAAGCATTGCCCAGACCAAGTAATTCGAAGGTGTGTGTCTGAAGGTGATTTTAAGAGCATTCTGGAGTTTTGTCACTCCCATGCATGTGGAGGACATTTTGGAGCAAAGGAGACTGCCAACAAAGTGCTACAATCAGGTTTCTTTTGGCCTACCCTTTTTAAGGATGCGTATGTTTTTTGTGCTTCATGTGATAGATGCCAACGGATGGGTAATTTACATGCTAGAAATCAGATGCCTCTCACCAATATCCTAATCATTGAAATATTTGATGTTTGGGGAATTGATTTCATGGGCCCTTTTCCTACCTCTTATGGATTTGAATATATATTAGTTGCTGTCAATTATGTTTCTAAATGGGTAGAAGCCATTGCCACTAGAACTAATGATGCTAAGGTTGTGATCGGTTTTCTCAAAGGAAATATTTTTACAAGGTTTGGCACACCTAGAGCAATCATTAGTGATGGTGGCTCCCACTTTGTTAACCAAGCTTTTGCAGCACTCTTGAAGAAATATGGAATCACGCATAAGGTGGCAACACCCTATCATCCCCAAACTAGTGGGCAGGTTGAGATAAGCAATAGGGAGATTAAGCACATACTTGAAAAGACGGTGAACACCACAAGGAAGGATTGGTCCATGCGTTTGGATGATGCATTGTGGGCTTATAGGACTGCTTATAAGACACCTATAGGTATGTCTCCGTATAGGCTTGTTTTCGGTAAACCTTGTCACTTACCAGTGGAGCTTGAGCACAGGGCTTATTGGGCAATCAAGGCCTTCAATTTTGATATGAAAGCTGCTGGTGAGAAGAGGAGGCTTCAACTCAATGAGTTGGAGGAGTTGCGACATGAAGCGTATGAGAATGCTAAGCTTTACAAGGAGAAAACAAAGCAATATCATGACAAGAAAATTCTTAGGAAGACGTTTGAGAAAGGGCAGAAGGTTCTCCTATTCAATTCACGCCTTAAGCTCTTCCCAGGTAAGCTTCGTTCTCGGTGGATTGGCCCTTTTGTTATTACTAATGTGTTTGATCATGGCGCAGTGGAGATTCAAAATATTAAGGATGGCAGCACCTTCAAGGTGAACGGACATCGGTTGAAACCTTACTTTGATGCCAACTTTGATGCCAATATTGAGTCTCAAGCACTCAAGGAGCCTCCACCACTCTCTTGAAGCTCACCAGTGTTTGGACGTCTGGCTGAAGACATAAAACTTAGCGCTTCTTGGGAGGCAGCCCAAGGTGACGAGGAGAATTTAGAACATGCAAGGAAGCCTACTTGCATCCTAATCGCTTCAAATGGGAGTTTTTCTGAACTCTTACCTTTGGTTATATCTTTCCCTTATCTTCTTTCCTTTCATTTATGAGGCATTGCTTTTTCTTACACTCTAAACATTGAGGACAATGTTTCATTTAAGTTTGGAGGGAAGGATTTAGTTATGTTGTTTCAAATTGTCAAATTTTAAAATTTTGAGTGTGTCTAATGGCCAAAAATGCAGGATTTTGTGTGTTGTTTTGTCATCCTTCCAAACACCTATGATAAAACTTGGATTTGATACTAATATGGTTTTTCAGAAATTGATAGTCATTGTTTAAGGACTTTGTGTGGTTCTGAGTTAACTCTGTCTAGCATGCCATCCTTGCACTTATTGAGCACTTTGCCAAGTTAGTCCAATTTCTTGCTACTTGGAGACGTTATGCAATTCTACTTATCTCATGATCTTGTTTTCGTACTCTAGAACTTATTTGAATATCTCTTGAGACATTTTGTTGCCATACAATGCTTAGGAAGTGATTTAGGCCATGTTTGAACCGTTTGAGCCTTTCTAACCATCCCTCTACATGTATTCATCCCTAGTCAACCCATTTGAGCCTACGTTAAGCCTTTCTTTGTGTAAACCCTTCCTACCATAATGAACCTTTGTTTTCTTATTCTTACTTATTCTATGAGCAATTAAAGCTATCTTCAAAAGAGAGTTATAAAGAAGAATGCAAGGTTTTTGGAGCAAAAGTGAATCATTAGTGCCATAACCCAAGTGTTGAAAAGAAATAGTTTGGGGGTATTGGTAACTCATCAAAAGAGGTAATGAAGTGTGACCAATGTAGTCACGGCCCTAGGGTGTTATAAAAAGAGAAGATCATGGTGATCTAGGGTAAAGAGCCACAAAATTAGGCCAAATAAACAGATATGAAGGTGCTGAAATTATGTTGAAAATCTGCTCATGTATGTGTTCCTTGCTTGTTACAAAGTTCAGTAATCTCTTTTGCTCTTACCTATGCTTTAATTATGCTCAAAATATTGTATATCTCATATCCCTTCTTTCATTCAACCACTACCCTAAACCTCATTACTACCCTTGTAAAGTCCTTTTGATCCTTGGTGTTGCATGGTATTATGTGGAGAGCAGATTGGATAATGAGCTTATGGGGTTCGGAATTTTTGATTTTGCTCTAAGTGTGTGCGCATGTACTTATTTGAGTTGCAGGTGTTGTTCTGATTTGGCATTCACACACTACACTTAAGGATGTCATTGGGAGCCTTGGTTACCCTTGAATCATGTGTGGAACTTAGATTGTGATTGTTGTGTTTCTTTGGAACCATATATTTCGGTGATTCTTTGAGGATGTTGTTTGGAAGGCTAGCAGCTTATTTCCTGTTTTCTAAATAGTTTTTTTCCTTTGTTTTGCTCGAGGACTAGCAAAATCTAAGTTTGGGGGTATTTGATAAGGTCATAATTTCACACATTTGCATGCCTTCTTTGCTTAGTAATTTTGTTTAGCTTCTCTTTATTTTGAGTCTCTTACCTATGTTTGTGTGTTTTGTAGGTTAAGACAGCAAGAGATCACATTTGATGCAATCCATGCTTGATAAGGGCTGATTGGGATAAGAGGAATATGAGCTTAAGGACAAACCCAATTTGGGCCACACTCCTTGTCAGTCCAGTTTCGTGGGTCATCTTGCAGTCCTCATTTCAGCAACTTACACAGGTCGGATGAGGAGACATCCTTGATAGAAGTTGTTCCAATTGGTGTCTATTATAACATATCCAAATTTCAGCCCAATTGGATAAATCTGGAGCCCTCAGCACGTCAAAGACTGAACCAAGTTCACAGAAATGTCATGATTGGCTGCCATCACATCTACATCCCTAGAGCCATGTGCTAAGTATGGGCAGCCACACATGGGAGTCAAATCAGCTCAGAAACTCAGAAGGATGAACAAAAGTCAAGTTTTCCATTAAAAAACCATACCAAAGCATGTATTTGGCAGCTGGAGCAGGTGGCAAGTATGGGCATCTGGAGCAAGTGGCAAGTATGGGCTGCTGGAGTTGTTGGGAGCAGCTAAGAGAGGTGTTCTTCACCAGCCAAAGGGGAGGACGAAATTGCACTCTATAAATAGAGGGCTGCACACTCATTCAAAGGGAGAGAGTCATATACACATTTTCACTTCACCCATTACTCTCATACACAAATTCATATTCACCACAAAGAGAGAAGAGAGCTTGGAGCTGTCCTGGGAATCCCTTGCTGCCATCATCTAGTTCTTCTCCTCTCTTTATCCTATCTATGTATTTCTTATTTTCTGTATTCATAGTTATGTCTAACTAATCCATTTAGTTAGGGCTTAGGATGAAGCCCTAGTCATGAATATTCAATGTTATGGATGATTTTATAGTTAATTGATTTCCTTGCTTTCATTATCAAGTTGTTAATCTCCAGTTTATTATGTGCTTGATGTATGTTTTCTTAGAGTAGCTAACTAGGATTTTATGCATCTAGCACAGGTTGGGAAGGGGTTTAGATTCACCAATTCTACTCTCCTTTCACAAGCAACACATGAATGGCCTAAGAATTATTCAAGGGGTTAATAACCATAGGTTGACTAGGACAGATACCATGTTCTAGGACTTGTGTGATTATCATATTCTCAAGGAGCTTAATGACTCTTGTATGCTTTATTCTAAGTAGATACCATGCTTAGGTTGCATATTAGAGATCACGTGTTGTGTAGATACCATGCACAATTACATGCCTTAGGAGAATCATGCGTCTTGCACCTAGATACCATAGGCTTGTATGCGATAATCTGTTGTTGATGAAGCTTGAGTCAATTTCTATGCATTCATAACTTGGATAGGAAAACTAGTGGTGGATTCCAAGGCTCTAACACCTCTCAATTATTGTTTCACAATCTGTCCAGTGTTTACTTTCGAGCACTTTCATTTCACTTTCTTCTTTTTCATTTCAACAACAAAACCCCCCATTTTGAGTGCGTGTGTCCTAGACCTTGAGTAATTAGCAAGAGGAATTGTTGAATTCGACCTTGCCTTTAGCTAGTTAGTCAGTTTCCTTGTTCTATGTTTTTCTAACATTCTAAGTAATTTAACTTGGAACCAAGTTTTTTTTTTTTTTTTTTTTTTTTTTTTTTTTTTTTTTTTTTTTTTTTTTTTTTTTTTTTTTTTTTTTTTTTTTTTTTTTTTTTTTTTTTTTTTTTTTTTTTTTTTTTTTTTTTTTTTTTTTTTTTTTTTTTTTTTTTTTTTTTTTTTTTTTTTTTTTTTTTTTTTTTTTTTTTTTTTTTTTTTTTTTTTTTTTTTTTTTTTTTTTTTTTTTTTTTTTTTTTTTTTTTTTTTTTTTTTTTTTTTTTTTTTTTTTTTTTTTTTTTTTTTTTTTTTTTTTTTTTTTTTTTTTTTTTTTTTTTTTTTTTTTTTTTTTTTTTTTTTTTTTTTTTTTTTTTTTTTTTTTTTTTTTTTTTTTTTTTTTTTTTTTTTTTTTTTTTTTTTTTTTTTTTTCACCAACAAGTTTTTGGCACCGTTGCCGGGGAACCGGTAACGATGGTGCTATAATTAGATTACTTTGATTGTTTTGTTTTTGTTTGTTTCATTTGTTTCTTTTCGTTGGTTTTTCTTTTAGTATTCAGTTTTTGTATTTAGTTGTTATCTCCATTGAAAGCACTGAATTGAGTTCCTAGGTGTGTGCATGTCCGAATCTGACCAGGAGCAAAGTTCACCTGAGCCACTTTCACCAAGAACCGCTGCTATACGTGCTGGTTTGAGGAGGAATTATAGTTCTTCAAGCACTGATTCTAGAAGTTCCGAATCTGAAGGTTCAAGCACGATGGCAGAGATTCCGAACAACAACAATAATGTTGAAGGAGGTGGTGCGCTTGTTGTCCAACCTCGAAAACCCCTGTGTGAGTTTTCCATTCCCAAAGTCACCGATCAACCTTCGTGCATCGTCTATCCTCAACTCACAGTTGACAGGTTTGAGCTTAAAAGTGGTATGATTCATCTTCTTCCAACTTATTATGGTAATACCACCGAGGATCCTTACATGCATATTAAACAATTTTTTGAAATATGTGCTACGATCAAAATTCATGGCCTTGATGATGAGCAGATTAAGATGAGGTTATTCCCATTCAGTTTAAAAGATAAGGCTAAGTCTTGGTTATACTCTTTGCCTAATGCTTCAATTCATACTTGGGAAGAGCTTTCTAATAAGTTTTTGCAGAAATTCTTTCCGGCTCAAAAGACTAACAAGATTAGAAAGGAAATCCTTGGTTTCACACAAAAGGAAGGAGAAGCTTTTCATGAATGTTGGGAGAGGTACAAGGAGATGATAAGTTCTTGCCCACACCACAACATAGAGAGTTGGATGCAAATGCAATCTTTCTATGAAGGTTTGCTTGATTCCGAAAGGATGATGGTAGATGCAACAAGTGGAGAAGGACTGATGAACAAAACAGCAGATGAGGCTTTTACTCTCTTTGAATCCTTGAGTGCTAACTCTCAACAATGGAGCCACAATAAAGGAAGAGGAGCTCCTATGAAAGCTGTGGTCTCTGAGGTAAGTACTAATAATGAGATTGCTGCAAAACTTGATGTTATGTGTTCTTTGCTTCAACAGGCAGTGACTGGCCCTCTAGGAAACAAAGTAGAAGTTCAAGATCAATCTTTTGCAGAGCACATGCTAGAACAAGCAAATGCCCTTCAAGCAAGGAATCCTAATAATGATCCTTACTCAAACACGTACAATCCGGGGTGGAGAAATCATCCTAATTTCAAGTGGAGCAATAACCCAAATGTGCAACAATCTCAAGGACCTCCCCCAGGATTTCAAATACAACAAAGGCAATTCCAGCAAGCTCCCCAACAAGTGCAAGAGCAAAGGGGTGATCAAATGGGAGAATTGCAAGACATGTTCAAGAAGTTCATGGGGCAACAGATGCAAACCAATCAGAATCTTCAAAATGCAGTGAACAAACTAGAAGTGCAAGTTGGGCAGATTGCATCCTCCATGAGCAATAGGGCATCCGGAACATTTCCAAGCCAAACAGAGGTAAATCCAAGGCATCAAGAGCATGCTAAAGCAGTACACATCTTGAGAAGTGGTAAACAAGTTGATAACAAGGTTGGAGATGTCAACGAAGAGCAAGAAGATGGAGAAAACGTGGAGATCATTCAGCCACCACATGGGCAGCCCACAGCTTCCAACAAACAGCCCCTCAATGCTCCTGGAAAGAGCACGGGCCCTAAGGTATCATCTAATGCTAATCAAGTTCCAATTTCAACTAATGCTTTTAGGCCTATTGCACCCTTTCCCAGCAGGTTATCAAAGTCAAAGAAAGATCAAGGCTTGGATGAGATAATGGAAACATTCAAGAAGGTGCAAATCAACATCCCATTGTTCAATGCCATTGCCCAGATTCCAAAGTATGCAAAATTTTTGAAGGATCTATGCACTAACAAGAGGAGATTCAAAGAGCATGAACAAGTTGCATTGAGTGAAGAGGTAAGTGCAGTGTTACAAAGAAAGCTACCTCCAAAGCTAAAGGATCCAGGTTCGTTTTCTATACCTTGCATAGTTGGTGATTTTAAGTTTCAAAAAGCTTTGCTTGATCTTGGTGCTTCTATAAACCTTATGCCATATCATGTTTATGAGAAACTTAACTTTGGTGAGTTGCAAGCCACATCTGTGAGCATTCAATTGGCAGATAGAACTATTAGATATCCCAAAGGGCATTCTAGAAGATATTTTGGTGAAAGTGGAAGAGCTAATTTTACCAACAGATTTCGTGGTGTTGGAAATGGAAGAAGCACCAATTCATGACAATCAGTTACCACTCATTCTAGGTCGGCCATTCATGGCAACTGCCGGTGCTACGTTACACACAATTTAACAACATAATATAAATATAACTTCACAAGAAAATTTTAAACATAACAAATTAACATTATTAATATATAAAACGAATAAAATACATTCTCAATCGTTCTCCACAAATCGCTAATTACAAATATCCCTAACGAAAACAAAATAAAAAACCTTAGTACGAACTTAAATTAATACTTTTAAACTAATGACGAAAAATGTTTACCCAATCAATGTATTGAAGTCCCAGCAGCAGCAGAGAGGTTGAGAGAGAGGCAGACGCAGAATGCTTTGTTTTTCCATTCTGCCTCTGCAATGGCAGAATTCTAATATGAAGAATAAGGACTTTGCGCGACGAACATATAAGTTCGTCGCGCAAACTTCCGTCGCAAAAAACCAAATCGGCTGTCGCGCAAACCCTTTTTTTCGTCGCGCAATAACCTGCCGACATCTGACTTTTGCACGACGCTGGTATTTTCCGTCGCGCACCCTTTCGTCGCGCAATATTGTCGCGCAAACACAAAATTACGTCGCGCAAAACAAGATATTCATCGCTCAAACTTGGAACTTTACACGACGAACAGTACATACGTCGCGCAAAAAAAAATATCCCAACCAGGTAATTTTGGCGCCAAAATTAAAATATCCCTCGTTCTCTAAGCTGTCTTGTGCGACGAAGAATTTCGTCGCACAAGTTTTTACCACCAAATAAGGGGACCCACTGGGTTCTGTCCGTTTTTGTGCGACGAATCAATGTACCGTCGCGCAAGGTTGTCTTAAGCGACGATATTTCTCGTCGCGCAAATGTTTCGCGCCAAAAAAATTTCCCCCCGCTTTTTTTAACTCTGTTTGCGCGATGACAATTTTTTTGGTCTCGCAAATTTTCAGTGGATTGCGCGACGAATATTTTCTTTCGTTGCGCTAGTATGTTTTGCGCGACGACTTATTCTTCGTCGCGCAAATGGTGAAACGTAGTAGTGGATCATCTACATCTCCAGCAAAATCACTATTTGAATAGGCTATGAGTTGCTTACAGCCTCCTTTCTTGCGAAAGTACTGACATTGATTTCTATGGCAAACTCACAACTCACGTGCAATTGCTTTACAAAGACCGATACCAAGTGATCATATTTAAGTGTCGATGGTTTGATACAAACCCAAATAGGCGGGGAAGTGTTAAAATAGATCATGGCTTACTATCAGTGAACATTAACAGAACTTGGTATGATGACGACCCTTACATTTTGGCAAACATGGCAAGACAGATTGTGTATCTAGATGACCTTAAAGCCAGAAGCGGTTGGAAAGTTGCTCAGCAGATGGATCAGAGGAACGTGTATGCTATACCAGAACTAGACCCAACTGACAACGACGTCGACAACGTCATTGACCAATGGTTGGAATCTTCCATGGAAACTGATGCAGAAACACTTCGAGATACAGATGTTATACAAGAACCGTTTCAGCTTCAAGGAGTGTCTTCAATTGAAATACCGATTCAGTCAATTACAATTGACCTCGGTGATCTTTCGTGCTACGAAGTTCCAGTGGGCCCGAACAACGAAAGTGATGAGGAGGAGGATTGGGAGACCGAAACTGATGATAGCGAGGATAACAAAAGTTACTATAGTTCAGATGATGAATAATGCAATTCATTAGCGACTACCCATGTAAAACATAGTAAATGAAATTTGTTGTAATTTAATTATGGTAGTGTAAATATGGCAATCACAAATTAAAATGAAGTTGCACACAAAATTTGCAATCACAAATTAAATTACAACATATAATATATAAATTAAAATTTAGATATATACCTAAATTTGAAAACATATTTGAATATAACACATATATACCTATATTTGAATATATCTATTTGAATATACCTATATCTATTTGATTTTCAATGAATATGTTTTCTCTTTTTTGTGTTTAAAATCTTCAAATTGAATGAATACCACATGTAGATGATTTTTTCATTTTTGGTTTTGTTTGAAGGATATTATAATATTAAACACTATTGTTATAAATTTATTTTAGAACCATGTATATATATATATATATACATATAATTTAATCACATAAATTATGTTAAATTTATTTTATCATAATTGATGTTAACATTTTAATCTAACTTACACCTTTCACCCAAAGAAGAGTATATATTTTTTGCCAATAGTCTTAAATTAATATACTCCTATGTTTAGCATATGAATATATGAATACTAACATAAAACATATATAACACCTATAAACAAAAAACAATGTAATTATAATTAAATTTTCGGAATTTTCAGAATTTCTGGCGGAATTACAATCTTGCGCGACGAAACAAAAACTTATTCGTCGCGCAAAGTGCACAGAACTTGCGCGACGCAAAAGTGGTATATTCGTCGCGCAATCTCATTCAGGCCTTTTACAAATACGGAACACTTAACATAAGTTTTTGCGAGAGGTTTGCACAGAACAAAGACTTGCGTGACGAATACACGCTGTTCGTCGCGCATTCTAAACCATAAACCCTAAACCCTAAACCCCACGGTACACTTGGTTGAAATTTATTATCTTTGTGCGACGAATATACTACCTCTTCGTCGCGCAAGCTGCCAGCTAAAAGGCTTGCGCGACGAAAACTTCATTAGTTCGTCGCGCAATGTCATTCAATTCTTTTAAAATTGTGTAAAATGTGTATAAAGTGATCAAAATATAGTACCATGTTTGTTTCATTTAATTCTAGTCTTAGATGAGATTGCTAATACCGGGCCCGCCAAAAACACCTCCTTAGGAGGGGACTACTAATCCCATGTTGAACGGGAGGATTAACTAGTCCTATGTTCAAAATGTATAAGTTGCATATATTATATTGTAATACTAATAACATGTATTACTATTATTATTATTATTATTATTATTATTATTACTACATACACATATACTATAATGTACATATATACACGTATATACACATATACATGTGTATATATATAAACACATATATACATATATAATACATATATAAATACATATAGATATATACACGTATATTATTATAATAATATACCCATATATACATACATATTAATATTATAATAATAGCATACATGTATATATGTAATATATATTATATTATATATTAATGTACATATATACACATATACATGTATATATATAGACACATATATACATATATAATATATATAAATACATATAGATACATACACGTATATTATTATTATAATATACCCATATACACGTACATATTAATATTATTATAATAGCATACATGTATATATGTAATATATATATTATATATTATAATACATATACATGTATATATACATATATGTGTATATATAATATACCCATGTATGTATTATAATATACATATACACATGTATATACACATATATATTATATATTATAATATACATATATACATGTATTATTATTATTATTATAACATACCCATATATATTATCTATTATAATATACATATATATATGTATATGTATTATACCCATGTATATATTATACTATATAGATACACCTATATACACATATATTATATACATGTATATACGTATATACATGTACATTATAATATATAATATACATGTATATATGTATATATATATATGTATATTATAATATATAATATATATACATATGTATTTTATAATATAAATAATATATGTATATATACATACATATATAATACATATATACACGTATATACATGTATATTATTATTATAACATGCCCATATATATTATATATTATAATATACGTACATATATATAAATATATGTATATGTATTATACCCATGTATATTATAATATACATATATACACCTATATACACATATATATGTTTACATTATTTATAATATATAATATACATGTATACATGTATATACCCATATATATTATATATTATATATACGTACATATATATAAATATATGTATATGTATTATACCCATGTATATTATAATATACATATATACACATATATATATGTTTATATTATTTATAATATATAATATACATGTATACATGTATATACACATATATGTTATATATATATTATATGTATGTATATATACATATATATTTTATATTTTATAAAATACATATATACATATATAGATATTTTTGAAAAAATAAAAAAAATCTAGTCCTAGTCCAAGCATGCACCAAATGCAGGATAAGTGTTATCCAACTTAGACCAAGCCAAGCCAAGCCAAGCCAAGACAGTCCCTAAGCATAGTCCATGCCAAGACAGTCCTGTGTAACAAACAAGCCCTAAAATTTCTGTCGGCATAACAAGCTTGCGAGACGAATATGTTATTTATCCGTCACGCAAGGTTGTCATACCTTTCAATAAACCCTAAAATTTCTGGCGGCATAACAAGCTTGCGCGACGGTTTTGCACCTCGTCGCGCAAGGTCTTCAAAATTTTGGCGCAATGTAATAAAAATTTGGGGGGAAAACAACCTTGTGCGACGGTTTTTTTATTTTTCCGTCGCTCAAGGTTCATTAAAACGGAGTATACGCGCAAGATCCGAGAAATTTTTAGAAAAATCGCAACAACCTCCTTTCTTCCTCACTTCCTCTCTCTCTGCCCTAAACACCCTCTCTCTCCACCGTCACCACAGCCCAGTGCTTTGTCGGAAAAAGGACCGGGCCGCCACCACCGTCGAAGCCCAGAGGTTCCCCCGCCGTCGCCGTCGAAGATTCCGTCGGAAAAAACTTCGTTTGGCAGATTCTGCGCCGCCTATTTTCTCTCTCCTCCAGCCACCAATTTCGACGCCTGAGGTACGGTTTCTGGACTACTTCTTGTGCTCTAGCTGATGGTTGATTAGGATTTGGATAATTGTGTGAATGGGTGTCTCGAATTTAAACCCTAGGTTTTGGCCGGTTTTTGAATTTAAATTCCGGCCACTTCCGGCCATTTTTTGGGGTAGGTCCGAGAACAAAAGTGCCTCTAAATGATGTTTTGAACCTAGGATAGGACCCATGGCCCTTAGTTTTTAGAAATTTCCGGCGATTCTTATCGCTTTGGACACCCACGCGCTGCCAGCGCGTGTGGTGGTGCGTGGGGACTATGGCAGTGGGGCATTGGGTCCCAGAGCAATCCCCTATTTGTCACGAGCACGTAGGTGTGCTCGGATTTTAATTTGGTTACCGTTTCAGTCTCGAACAGATTTCGCCTATTGTGCGATTTCTAAGTTTGATATGTTCAGACCGTTGGATCGAACTCAAAATCACGTATGTTGTACCTTGTATTTCTAGGATTGTGTAGGATTCGACGGATTGTGGATCGGAGTCCCGGATACTCCGAAATTGCAAACCCTAGGTTGTTCTTGTAATTAATTATTTAAAATGTGTGTGTGTACCCTTTGGAAATTGTGCAGATGTCATATTTGATTAGACGTTGTAGGTCGGTGACGACTACACCGAGTTCAGTTGGCATCTGCTGCCACTGCTCCTGCACTGATGGACCAACTGCTAGGGGTGTCCCAAGCGCCTGCGTCATCAGCTTCATCAGTGGCGCAACCTGTTAGGGCTAGGCGGCGGCACCGGCCCGCAAGCACCACCGACACGACGTCGACCGACGGTACTGTTGCCTCGGGGTCACAGCCAGGTATAGATATCCCTTCAACTGTAGTTCTTTTTTTAATTTTTTATATTCTGAATTTTATAGTTAAATTTGTTATTTATTGAACATTATTGTCATATCTCATTGCAGCTAAGAAGAACACCCAAGGGCCGTGTCGGCAGCTGAAGACGGCGAAGGTCACTCGGGTGACCAACAGTCGTATCTGCATCGGATACGATGAGCGCCATCGGGCTGCACCGACAGCGGAATTGCATAGATCCTTGGCCCACGACATTGGCCACGTCGTTCGGACCCATTGCCCGATGCACTGGAAGTCTTGGAAGGTCATACCTGACGAGATCAAGATGGAGGTTCGCGGCCAGTTGTCAGTATGTATCCTACCTTGTAATTATTTTTCTTTCAAATTCTATATGTATCTATTACTTAATGTATGTAAGTAATTTATTGCAAACGAACTATAATTTAGAGGACCTCAACGAGGAGTCGTTGGCGTACGTCAACAGACTCTTCTGTGAGAGGTACAAGCAGTGGAAGAGCGACTTGCACCACCATTTTCAGGCGTTTGATGATCCGGAAGTCGCTCTTCGGGAGGGTTGCCCGAAGGAGCTCGAGAGGCGGGGGATAGTTGGGCATGGCTCTGCACTCATTTTCAGGCGCCCGATTATGTGGTATTTGTTTAATTATTTCATATTTTTTTTATTAATGTTTATTTCATTATTATTTAATTTTTTATATTTAAACTAATATGTTTAATTTTTTATATAACAGAATAAAACCCAAGTGAATAAGGGCAATAGGAAGAAGAAGACTCTTCTCCACCATTCCGGCTCCAGGGCCTTCTCATATAGGATGGATGCATGGCGGCGAGTAATAATAATATCATTTCTATTTAATTTTTAATATGTCATTATTATTAATTTATTTTGTTCATACTAATATTTTTCTTCTCTTATTCAATTTAAGGGGGGTCGAAATTCCCAGAGATCGACATCTTTGGTGATGTTTATGTTCGACCTGGGAATGAGTTGGCTGAGTCCCTTCATGTAAGTATTATTTTTTTTAATTTTTATGTTACGCATTCAATTTATATACATGTTTTAATTTATATTTTATGTTATGTTAAACAGACGACGATGGTGGAGAGGAGCCAGTTGGTTCTTCAGGAGTCTGCCTCCCAACTTCCTCCCGAGACTCCGATCGAGTCTGTGGATCCCCCACAGGATGCTGGATTTCAAATCTTGACGGAGACGTTGGATCAGACTATCGGGAGGAGGCCGGGAACATATTGTAGAGGGATGGGGAATGCCCAACAGAGGGAACCTCAACCCCGGTCATCATCGCAGGCAAACAGTTAGGTGACTGTTTTGACATCGCGGGTTGCCGAGCTTGAGGGTCAGATGTCGGTGATTCTGCAGTCCATCGCGCGGTCAGGCATTCCAATCTCGAATTTTGGTGCGTCGACATCCGAGACTGTCCACCCCGAGCATCCCCAGCAGACCACGGCCCCTGTAGACCCCCAGATCCCCGAGCCGCATATGCCTGACGACCATGTAGATTTTGAAACATTATTTGATTAGTTTATAATTTTCATAATTATTTTTTAAATATTTCTCTTGTAATCTACATTTATTTTATTTTATATAATAAATGTATTCTTTACAATTCATTTTTGGATTGCAATTTCATTTTATTACCAAAAAAAATAAGCAAAAATTTATTTTTTTACAAAATAAAAAAAACGTAATATTAAATTTAAATAATCTGTATAAATTTTGCGCGACGAAATGTTTCTCGTCGCGCAAACTTACTTAAAAAAAAAGCCATGAAAATAATAATTTATACACTTTAATTTATGCTTGTGCGATGAATGCTTTCGTCGCGCAAAGTATGTATGAGCAACAGATTATTTTTCGTCGCGCAAGGTTTGCACGACGAAGTGTCCTTCGTTGCGCCAATTTAGCGCGACAAAGTACTTTCGTCGCGTAAAATAGTGCGATACTAATCTTGCGCGACAACTTTTCCATTGCACAGTGTTTGCGAGACGAAAAGCCTTTCGTCGCGCAAAAATTCGTGCGTCGCACCGTTGTTTCGTCCCTATAACTTTTCTGCAACGAAGGTGCTACGTCGCACCGTTTTGCGCGACGAGTTCAATTATTTGGTCGTGCAAAGTCTTTCTTCACGATCTTTGCGCGACGGAATATGCGCGACGAATCTTCTGTCGCGCATAATTATGTGCGACGAAATGTTACTTAGCGCGACGAAAGTCTCTTCGTCGCGCAAAGTGTAAAATGTAGTAGTGCATCTCTTTCTCCCCCATCCTAACATTTAAAAAACACCTTTCGCCCTCTGTCCCGTCAACCTCCAGCCACCGCCTCTCCAACAATCGCACCTCATCTCAAGATCTCCTCGGCTCAATGCCAGAAAACAAATCTGGGTGGGTGTAGGTGTAGGTGTTGGGTTGGGTTTGTGAGTAGGGATGGTGGGTTGGGTTTGTTGAAATGTCGGAAAAATAATTTGAAGAGATGAGAGTGGGAAGACAAAGCTACAAAATATCGATGGTATCAGAAATATCGGTAGTCCAAAAACGCGGAAATTTCGATAAAAATATCGGGATATTATTGCTATCAATAAAAATTGAATAAAAACCACAGAAATTGTAAGAAAAACATGGAAATTTTTATTGAAACGTTGGAGGATGTTTATTTAGTTAATTATCTATTAGCTTTTCAGAAAATAAAATTAAAAAAAAGGAAGGAAATTCATTGCATGATGGGTTTAACTGATTTAAGTTGATTATATAGCGAGCTGACAAACACTGTTAATGTAGAAAATATGTAGTAATTAATTAAAGAAGATTAAAGACACCATAATCATTTATATATAATGATTTACTACAATATTTTACACTTTATACATTACATGGTAAGATACATGAGTGACTATGAGGCTAAAAAAAATTCAATATCTTCATCATCTCTATGTGTGGAGTGAGTGTATTGTGAGTTATCATCACATGATAAATCCCTAAAATAGTTTTCCATGTAATTGTTAACATGTTACCCATATGGATCCGAGATTAGTTGACGTTGTCCATAAGCAAAATCATTTGAGCATTGGGTCTCTGATTCTTTCTATGAGCTGCTCGATTCCATTCCAAAATGAAACGTCAAAGACTCACATTCTCATGTGAAATTCTAATTCTTGTAAAAACAGTTCAAAACAAAACAAAATAAATATACATATTTTAGCATATTATCACAAAATATAAGCAACATGGTGGTTAAGGCATTGGAGGAGTCAAATGGCAAGGGTTTGAATCCCCTTCACATGTGTTCTTTGTGTTTTTTTTTCCCATTACATCGATATTTGGACAAAAGATTGCTGAAATATGAGCGAAATTATCGACATCGATATTTATACGATGTGTATGGATACGCTCCGAAATATTAGCGACCCAAAAAACTAGGGGTGGTTGCGGTTCGGTAACCGCGAATTTTTGCTCAAATCGCAAACCGACCGACTATTTGCGGTATGGTGATTTTTGAAACCGCAAACCGACCGCTTTTACAATTTGCGATAAACCGCAAAAAGCAGTCGGTTACCGTGAATTAGCAGTTTAAAACCGCAAGTTCTTTTTGTGTCATAAAAATTCAATCTTCCACATTTTAGGCCTAATTTTGATGCTTCTTTTTAAGCCTTTTGATTTCAAGCATACTTTAACTCAAAAATATTAATTCACAACCTAAATAAATAAATTCACAACCTCAACTTCTCAACAATATATAAATTCTCAATCTCCTCAACTTCTCAAGCATTCCAATTCCAAATTCTTTAAAGTTACAAACCAAAAGGAAATGCAATGTAAAATGAATTAAAGTTACAACCCAAATGAAAAATCCAATTCAAAGTTAATTAAAGTTACAAACTAAAAGGAAATGCAATACACCAATGTTACAAATTAAAGTTACAAACTCAAGTGTTGGTGGTGATGAATGGATTTGAACGACCCCGTTGTGTTGTTTGAGCATCAATGTTATATACAAAATGCAAATTTTATTTATTTATAAATATAGTCGCAGTTTGTGATAATCGCAAGTTTTGAAAATCAAATACCACAACTACAACCGCAAATGCTGTTCAGTTTCCCGCGATTACGGTTCTATTGCGGTAAATTATCGATTGATTTTTGCAATTTTTCGGTCTATAATGCCACCCTTACAAAAAACAATACGGGCATATTGAAACATTCATTAAAGAGCTCTGCATGCTTCCATCCACAGCAGCTTTTAAACGCTGCATCTCAACTGCTTTTAAAAACTGTTGTCAGTGACCCACAATTTTGAAAAAAAGCACTTTTGTCTTGATTTATCAAACCCCTTTTAATTCAGAATTTTAAAAATAAGTTGTTTCTTTTGAAAGCACCTTAACTCCAAACGGAGCTCCTAAGATTTTTGGTAGTACCCAATTAAAACATTTAAAAGCACAATGCGCAATGAATATAGTAAAGGTGACAACTACAGACCATTGGGATGTTTGGACTGGCATAGATTTTTAGTGTATTCCCAAATAGTCATACGTTCAAACCCTTATAATACATGTGTGTGTACATTTTCTCCCTTCCTTTCTTAACTTTGGCAATTACAGATTTTTAAAGGAAAAAAGTTCATTTAATTGTATATGCATGCAACCTGACAAGACAATTTATTAAAGTCGACCGGTTGGGTTTTACATTGACAATGACAAGACAATCACAGTCTAAAGTTCTAAGCAGCCAGCTACCAAACCAAGAAACAAAACATTCACAACCGTTCATTAATTTCAGACCATATCCCTTCCATCTTAGCCATACCATAATTTTGACTTTTTCCTTCATTTTGTTTTTCTCATTCTATCTGATCCAAGAAAGCCTTTAGATTCCTTTGGGAAGACCCACCTTCACTCACAGCCTCTCTTGCCAAACCCTTCCATTTCTTAGCATTTCTTCTCAACTCTTCACCAACCTCCCCACTTCCCATGACCAATTCTACGCACCTCTTGAGCTCCTCACCTACAACAATCCCCTCATCATTTGGTGTCACCCTAACTCCAGTCTTCCACGTGTCCTCAATCAACTTGGCATTGGTCCCTTGGTCCGTCCACTGAGGAAACGCCACCACAGGCACCCCAGAAACCAGGCTCTCCAAGCTTGAATTCCACCCGCAATGTGTCACGAAACAACCCAATGAAGGGCTTGACAAAACCTCCACTTGGCTACACCATGGCACTATCTTCCCAAGCTCTTCCAACTCCTCTCTGCAGCTCAGTTTCTCTTCCTCCTTCTCAGCCTCCTTATCTCGTCCATTGCTTCCTTCTTTTTCTCTAATCACCCACAAGAACGGGCGCCCACTGTCCAGCAATCCTTTCGCGATTTCCTCCATCTGGGGCTTCGACAGAACGGAAATGCTTCCAAACGACACGTAAACCACGGACCCTTCGGGCCTTGAGTTCAGCCACTCGATGTACGAAGAGTCCTCTGATTTTTGGTAAAGATCGCCGTGGAATGACTTGTCGGATGGATCCTTGCCGTCCAAGAAAGCCGATGGAATCAATGGCCCGATTCCAATCAGATTGTACTTGTCAATTGCTTTCAAGGCCTCTGGCTCCAGCGCATCGAACGTGTTCACCAGAATGATGGGCTTGGTTTCTCTCTCGAGCAGCTCAAATTGCTCTTCAAACAAGGGAAGCGCGAAACCGTACGGATTTGACTCTACCATGAAAGAGGGAAGGTCACGGCTGGCGAGGGATAGCGGCAGTCCTGGTAATTCTATTGAACATAAAGCGCCATTAGTATGAGTAGTACTAGTACTCTCCCGGATGAGGTCTTTGTAACCGCTAAAATAATAGTAGTAGATGTCGAAAACAGTGGCTGGCTGAATCCACACGAGCACGGATGGGAGGTGGAGCTCACGCGCCGCTTCAGCGGCCCAAGGGAGAAGTATTGTGTAGATTAGGCAAGTGTAGGGGCGGCCCTCCTTTGCACTAGACACAATAAGGTCAGTGATGGCTTGTGCACCGCGACGCCTAAGCTCTGACATGTAGTGGTCGATATCATCGCCATCTTTGAATCCATTGTCATAGCCGTCAGAGTAGAGCGAATAAGTCAAGCCATGAGGAGTTGAGCCATTCCCTATGCGGCGATGGGCAGAGAGGCTCGTGACATACGTGACATGTGCCCCAGTAGTGCGGACGAGATTCTTTGCGAACTGGAGGGAAGGATTGATATGGCCTTGGGCTGGAAATGTCACGATGAGGAACCGGTGTTGCACCATGGCGGTCGTTGCGGTAGTGGAGGCGCGCGGCAGAGCGTGGAGTTGTTGGGACAATATTGGGGGTTTTTTTTTCTTTTTGGTCTGAAGACAATATTGGGTGTTTGTGTGTGGGCTTAACTGAATGAAGTGAAATTGTTGTGGGATAATACTGTGAGAGGGAGAGAATGTGGAGACTTAAATAAGGGATTGGGGAGAGAGAAGTGACGTCTGTGGTGACGAATTGAAAACGCTAATGACAAGAGAGATGACATGGTTGTTTGTGTGATTTGCAATTTGTGGCCCTGCATGCATGTCTTTTGTATATATCATTTTCAAATTTTTCATTAAGTCCAAAATATATATAGCACATGATATGGACTATATGTCTAAGATGGTCAGAGAGACAAGTAGTACATAAATTCATGATCATAAAACTGATTAATATATGATTTGTCAGTTTATTATTAAATGTGGTTTCATACTCTGGATTGGATTGAATTGTAATATATTAAATTACTTTGTAATATTTAGGATTTTGTATTTTTGCTCAAATTCTGTACTGGAGAAGTTCAAAATCTTTGATTTTGCTTAAATGAAAGACAATATAACTCTCAATAGCGTAATTTACACATGTTACCTTGTCACATATATAGCATAGTACGATATATCATATTTTCTTATATGCGAACGTCTGAATGTTATTAGCATTCGGAAGTCATATATTTTTTATTTTATTTTATTTCTTTTATCCCAACTGGGACACTCGTGCTGAAAGTGTCCTAATTTGTGACACTTAAAGCACTAGATAGTGGCCTTGTTGAACGGTTGTCTGCCATGACCTCTTCCTCTTCCTCTGAACGTCCTTTGACCCCTTCCTCTGCTAGTGTTGTCTTCATGAGTGACCTTGAGAGCTTGCTCCTCTCCTTGATGGCCATTCATTCTTTGTTCATGGACCAACAAACTGCTCTGCAGCTCGTCAATGGTCAGTGTGTTCAAATCATTGGACTCTTCAATGGAGCAAACCACATAATCAAATTTTGAAGTCATGGACCTCAAAACTTTCTCATTGATGATGGTTTGGCTCATTGTCTCACCATGAGCCTTCATTTTGTTGGCTATAGTGAGAGTACGAGCAAAGAAATTATCAAGAGTCTCTCCCTCCTTCGTGTGGAGAGTCTCAAAGTCCCTCCAAAGTGCTTGCAACTGTGCCCTCTTCACCTTGGTAGAGCCTTGGTATTTATGTTTCATGGAGTCCCAAATACTCTTTGATGTGTCTCTGTCGAGTATAGTCTCCATGATATTCCGATCTATAGCTTGAAAAAGGTAATTCTTTACCTTTAAGTCCTTCAGCTTCTGCCCCTCGACCAATTTGCATTGTGCTTTTTCTTGTTTTGTTTCCACCCTTATAGAGACAGATTGTGTCACCATCACCGAAATCCCATTCTCTACGAGATCCCAATATTCCTTGGAATGGAGAAAGTTCTCCATCAACATTGCCCAATGATCGCAATGTCCGTCAAATTTGGGAATGGCCGACTGCACAAAACCACTGCTATTGCTCTCCGCCATTCTGCTTGACTCCCTTACTCTGAAAGAAAACTGCAGTTTCTTTCCACACACACTCACAATCAGCCTCCCCTGTGATGGAGCTCTGATACCAATTGTTGAGAACACTCAGAAGAAACTATAGCACACAACCTTGAATGAAAAGTTCTTATTGTTATTGATAACAAACTGTAGGCTTATAAAGCTTTTTACAAAGAGAAATCAAAATAACAGCCCACATTTGCAACACCCTAAAACGTGGTAACAGACTAATAGGAATTTGTTAAAAACATAAACAACTAGTCCCCAAAGGATAGGACTTATTAACAGACTGATTAACTAAAAGATCTTAATAATAAACTGTTAACTCTAAGAGTCTTATCAGCTTTTACATTATGATCCCATGACCTAAGAATTCTGGATCAGCCACTGGCAATACCCATGCACCCATTTCCCCTATTTCTCTCCTTCCCTTCTTATTGTGCCGCACTCATCTCCATTTTTCCCTTTCCTTCTTGTTCTTCTTTGTCTTCCTTCATTTTTTATCTTGTCTAGTTCTGAAATCATTCTTTCTTATTTTTTTTCATTCTTCGTAATATTTTCTTACCCATTTCTTCTTAATATTGCCTTGCAATATTCCCTTGGTGTGTCCAAGAGAGCGAAAGAAAGAACAAAGTAAAGGTCTGTAATATACAAATAAAAACTCGATTTGTATTGTTGAGGTTTTTTTTATTGTTCTCTAAATTTTCAGTTTTGCAGGTACATCTGATAGGTTCTCAAGAAATTTAATTTTATAGGTAATGGTCTTATGGTAATCTAGTTTTTGCTATTTTGTTAATTAACAGATGCTAATCAATAAAAGTACAAGAGATTGAGTTGTGTGATATTAGGATCTCCAGCAAGGCCATGGGTATCATGAACAGCTCCATTACTGATATATTTGAGTTTTGAGAAGCTCGCTCAGGAATCTTCGACGCTTGCAAGGTACAACAAGAAACCGACTATTACTTCAAGGGAGATCCAGACTGCTGTGGGACTTGCTGTCTGTTACCAAGTTTACTAGCTCTTCAAGAGTTAGGGCTGTTTCTGTGTATTTGTATTTAGGAAGGGGTGTGAAGAAATTAGGGTTAAGTACTGATCTTGCTAAAAACTATTTTTCTTTTTGGAGGGATGGAATGAAATATTTCTTGTACATTTAAACTCAACCCCACCCATCACGACCAAGAGATGCTTGGTAGTGACTTTGCACATTGAATTTCATCATCCCCTATCCTCCCCCATATCCTTTTCTAATTATTTTATTTTATTTTTTAAACAACACCCGAATTATACAAATGCAGTGCCATCAAGATTCAGAGGAGATTGGAAGGCAGAGGAGGAGGAGGATTGCCCAAAATTAAAAAAACACCCTAATTTCATCATCCCCTCTCCAATCCATCTCTTTCTCCCCCATCCTAACATTTAAAAAACACCCTTCGTCCTCTGTCCCGTCAACCTCCAGCCACTGCCTCTCCAACAATCGCGCCTCATCTCAAGATCTCCTCGACTCAATGCCAGAAAACAAATCTGGGTGGGTGTAGGTGTAGGTGTTGGGTTGGGTTTGTGAGTAGGGATGGTGGGTTGGGTTTGTTGAAATGTCGAAAAAATAATTTGAAGAGATGAGAGTGGGAAGACAGAGCTACAAAATATCGATGGTATCAGAAGTATCGGTAGTCCAAAAACGCGGAAATTTCGATAAAAATATCGGGATATTATTGCTATCAATAAAAATGGAATAAAAACCATAGAAATTGTAAGAAAAACTTGGAATTTTTATTGAAACGTTGGAGGATGTTTATTTAGTTAATTATCTATTAGCTTATCAGAAAATAAAATAAAATAAAAGGAAGGAAATTTATTGCATGATGAGTTTAACTGATTTAAGTTGATTATATAGCGAGTTGACAAACACTGTGAATGTAGAAAATATGTAGTAATTAATGAAAGAAGATTAAACACACCATAATCATTTATATATAATGATTTACTACAATATTTTACACTTTATATATTGCATGGTAAGATACATGAGTGACTATGAGGTTCAAAAAATATCAATATCTTCATCATCTCTATGTGTGGAGTGAGTGTATTGTGAGTTATCATCACATGATAAATCCCCAAAATAGTTTTCCATGTAATTGTTAACATGCCACCTATATGGATCCAAGATTGGTTGACGTTGTCCATAAGCAAAATCATTTGAATATTGGGTCTCGGATTCTTTCCATGAGCTGCTCGATTCCATTCCAAAATGAAATGTCAAAGACTCACATTCTCATGTGAAAATCTAATTCTTGTAAAAACAGTTCAAAACAAAACAAAATAAATGTACATATTTTAGCATATATTATCACAAAAACATAAGCAACATGGTGGTTAAGGCATTGGAGGAGTCAAATGGCAAGGGTTTGAATCTCATTCACATGTGTTCTTTGTGTTTTTTTTTCCCATTACATCGATATTTTGACAAAATATTGATGAAATGTGAGTGAAATTATCGACATCGATATTTTTCGATATTATCGATATTTATACGATGTGTATGGATACGCTCCGAAATATCAACGACCCAAAAAACTAGGGGTGGTTGCGGTTCGGTAACCGCAAATTTTTGCTCAAACCTCAAATCGACCGACTATTTGCGGTATGGTGATTTTTGAAACCGCAAACCAACCGCTTTTTACAGTTTGTGGTAAACCGCAAAAAGTAGTTGGTTACCGTGAATTAGCGGTTTAAAACCGCAAGTTCTTTTTGTGTTATAAAAATCCAATCTTCCACATTTTAGGCCTAATTTTGATGCTTCTTTTGAAGCCTTTTGATTTCAAGCATACTTTAACCCAAAAATATAAATTCACAACCTAAATAAATAAATTCACAACCTCAACTTCTCAACAATATATAAATTCTCAACCTCCTCAACTTCTCAAGCATTCACAACCTTTACTTCTCAAGCATGCCAATTCCAAATCCTTTAAAATTACAAACCAAAAGGAAAATACAATGCAAAATGAATTAAAGTTACAACCCAAATGAAAAATCCAATTCAAAGTTAATTAAAGTTACAAACTAAAAGGAAAATGCAATACACCAATATTACAAATAAAGTTACAAACTCAAGTGTTGGTGGTGATGAGTGGATTTGAACGACCTCATTGTGTTGTTTGAGCATCAATGTTATATACAAAATGCAAATTTTATTTATTTATAAATATAGTCGTAGTTTGTGATAATCACAAGTTTTGAAAATCAAATACCGCAATCGCAACTGCAAATGCGGTTCGTTTTCCCGCGATTACGATTCTATTGCGGTAAATTATCGATTGATTTTTGTAGTTTTTCGGTCTAAAATGCCACCCTTAAAAAAACAATACGGGCATATTGAAACATTCATTAAAGAGCTCTGCATGCTTCCATCCACAGCAGCTTTTAAACGCTGCATCTCAACTGCTTTTAAAAACTGTTGTCAGTGACTCACAATTTTGAAAAAAAGCACTTTTGTCTTGATTTATCAAACCCCTATTCAGAATTTTAAAAATAAGTTGTTTCTTTTAAAAGCACCGTAACTCCAGCTCCTAAGATTTTTGGTATTGCCCAATTAAAACATTTAAAAGCACAACGCAATGAATATAGTAAAGGTGACAACTACAGACCAATGGGATGTTTGGACTGGCAGAGATTTTTAGTGTGTTCCCAAATTGTCATACGTTCAAACCCTTACAATACATGTGCGTGTACATTTTCTCCCTTTCTTTTTTTATTATTTTTAATTTCCAGATTTCTCCCTTCCTTTCTTAACTTTGGCAATTACAGATTTTTAAAGGAAAAAAGTTCATTTAATTGTATATGCATGCAACCTGACAAGACAATTTATTAAAGTCGACCGGTTGGGTTTTACATTGACAATGACAAGACAATCACAGTCTAAAGTTCTAAGCAGCCAGCTACCAAACCAAGAAACAAAACATTCACAACCATTCATTAATTTCAGACCATATCCCTTCCATCTTAGAGCATGTCAAATACCAAACATTAAATTTAAATTTGATGGTTGATGTGATAATTTGACATTTACACAGTTTTTTACTTCATTCGATATGTCAAATAAATAATTATTATAATAATCAAATCATTTAAGATAAAGAAGAAAAAAAATAATAAATGAAAATAATAAATGGAAGTTATAACCAGCTGTCTTTAAAAATTAATAAAATATTCATTTGACATCTTGCTTTTGGGATGTCAAAAATAACAGCTGAACCTCTAGCCTTCATTCCACATCAGCTTTGACGATTCGGTTGGAGTGATGTGATATGTTATTTCTAACCGTTAAATGTCTATATGACACTTTTGACATATCAGTTGAAAATGCTCTTAGCCATACCATAATTTTGACTTTTTCCTTCATTTTGTTTTTCTCATTCTATCTGATCCAAGAATGCCTTTAGATTCCTTTGGGAAGACCCACCTTCACTCACAGCCTCTCTTGCCAAACCCTTCCATTTCTTAGCATTTCTTCTCAACTCTTCACCAATCTCCCCACTTCCCATGACCAATTCTAAGCACCTCTTGAGCTCCTCACCTACAACAATCCCCTCATCATTTGGTGTCACCCTAACTCCAGTCTTCCACGTGTCCTCAATCAACTTGGCATTGGTCCCTTGGTCCGTCCACTGAGGAAACGCCACCATAGGCACCCCAGAAACCAGGCTCTCCAAGCTTGAATTCCACCCGCAATGTGTCACGAAACAACCCAATGAAGGGCTTGACAAAACCTCCACTTGGCTACACCATGGCACTATCTTCCCAAGCTCTTCCAACTCCTCTCTGCAGCTCAGTTTCTCTTCCTCCTTCTCAGCCTCCTTATCTCGTCCATTGCTTCCTTCTTTTTCTCTAATCACCCACAAGAACGGGCGCCCGCTGTCCAGCAATCCTTTAGCGATTTCCTCCATCTGGGGCTTCGACAGAACGGAAATGCTTCCAAACGACACGTAAACGACGGACCCTTCGGGCCTTGAGTTCAGCCACTCGATGTACGAAGAGTCCTCTGATTTTTGGATAAGATCTCCGCGGAATGACTTGTCGGATGGATCCTTGCCGTCCAAGAAAGCCGATGGAATCAATGGCCCGATTCCAATCAGATTGTACTTGTCAATTGCTTTCAAGGCCTCTGGCTCCAGCGCATCGAACGTGTTCACCAGAATGATGGGCTTGGTTTCTCTCTCGAGCAGCTCAAATTGCTCTTCAAACAAGGGAAGCACGAAACCGTACGGATTTGACTCTACCATGAAAGAGGGAAGGTCACTGCTGGCGAGGGATAGCGGCAGTCCTGGTAATTCTATTGAACATAAAGCGCCATTAGTATGAGTAGTACTAGTACTGTTCCGGATGAGGTCTTTGTAACCGCTAAAATAATAGTAGTAGATGTCGAAAACAGTGGCTGGCTGAATCCACACGAGCACGGATGGGAGGTGGAGCTCACGCGCCACTTCAGCGGCCCAAGGGAGAATTATTGTGTAGATTAGGCAAGTGTAGGGGCGGCCCTCCTTTGCACTAGACACAATAAGGTCAGTGATGGCTTGTGCACCGCGACGCCTAAGCTCTGACATGTAGTGGTCGATATCATCGCCATCTTTGAATCCATTGTCATAGCCGTCAGAGTAGAGCGAATAAGTCAAGCCATGAGGAGTTGAGCCATTCCCTATGCGGCGATGGGCGGAGAGGCTCGTGACATACGTGACATGTGCCCCAGTAGTGCGGACGAGATGCTTTGCGAACTGGAGGGAAGGATTGATATGGCCTTGGGCTGGAAATGTCACCATGAGGAACCGGTGTTGCACCATGGCGGTCGTTGCGGTAGTGGAGGCGCGCGGCAGAGCGTGGAGTTGTTGGGACAATATTGGGGGTTTTTTTTTCTTTTTGGTCTGAAGACAATATTGGGTGTTTGTGTGTGGGCTTAACTGAATGAAGTGAAATTGTTGTGGGATAATACTGTGAGAGGGAGAGAATGTGGAGACTTACATAAGGGATTGGGGAGAGAGAAGTGACGTCTGTGGTGACGAATTGAAAACGCCAATGACAAGAGAGATGACATGGTTGTTTGTGTGATTTGTAATTTGTGGCCTTGCATGCATGTCTTTTGTATATATCATTTTCAAATTTTTCATTAAGTCCAAAATATATACAGCACATGATATGGACTATATGTCTAAGATGGTCAGAGAGACAAGTAGTACATAAATTCATGGTCATAAAACTGATTAATATATGATTTGTCAGTTTATTATTAAATGTGGTTTCATACTCTGGATTGGATTGAATTGTAATATATTAAATTACTTTGTAATATTTAGGATTTTGTATTTTTGCTCAAATTCTGTACTGGAGAAGTTCAAAATCTTTGATTTTGCTTAAATGAAAGACAATATAACTCTCAATAGCGTAATTTACACATGTTACCTTGTCACATATATAGCATAGTACGATATATTATATTTTTTTTTATGCGAATGTCTGGATGTTATTAGCATTCGGAAGTCTTTTCTTTTTTTTCTTTTTTTTCTTTTCTCCACATTTACAATGACATTAACACAGTAACATCTAAACATTTGCATAAGAGAAAACCTGGTATGATGTGAACCTTACAAAATAAATTAACCAAATAATTGTAGTTAAATATTCATTATGAAATGACACAAAATGCTGTTTTAGATTGTTTTTCAAAAGAAAATTGTATTTTACTACTAGTGTCTTCCACTAGATTAGATTTGTGGTAAACTATTCTTTAAATTCCTAACCAGACTAAGATTTGTAATCAGATGAGAAGGATATTATGATTAATAATTTGTGTTCTTGTCTTCAGGCATATGCATGCATTCGTTTTCAATTTTTCATCAAAGCTCAAAAGAACGTAGCATGGACTAGTAGGTCTGACAGGGTCTGACGGAGGGAGAAGCAAATATAGTGACCACAAACTGATTAATACACATGCAAGTGTTCTATTTGCCAAGTTATTCCCATTTTGTATGCCAAATTGGATTTTTCTGTATTCCACTTGAAATATTTGTTTTTTCCACAAACAAAAAAGCCTAGTAAAAGAATTAGTCTACATGAACGCTTATTATGCTTGATTTCGCATAATACGTAGAATAAAAAAAATACGTAGAATAAATATTTGTTTTTTCCACCAAAAAATACGTAGAATAAAAAACCTATCCCAACATGAATGCTTGATTTCGCATTTGAATTCGCATTAAAATTTGTAATTCAATAACATAAAAATTAAGAATTAGATTAATTAAGAGGAGTAGTTGATCCTATTTCATATCATCTCCCTTTATTTCTAATTTCTAACTTTCTTGGTGTCGTCACATGTGTTCTTGTGTTCGTGCATTTTTAGTTTCTCATCAAGTTCAATAGAACACGACATGGACTAGTAGGTGTGATGTGGTCAGCGGTGGATCCAGGAATTTTCCTGGGAAGGGGCAACATTTAAAAGGCTAAAAGCCAAAAAAAATTCCCGAATTATTCGAAAGAGGATTTAGGGTTTATGGTTATACAAACATAACCAAATCAGAAAACAAAAATAATCTCTCTAAAATAAACAACAATATTAAAATACATATTATAAAATATATAAAAAACAGAAGGAAAAAAAAACATTCAAACTTGGAGGAGAGGGATGGATCTGCAGCAAGACACTCAAGAGCATGCAAAGCTTTTGAAAAATCATTCAACGCAAGTATCCCTTGGTCCATTTAATTCCAACTTGGACCCGAAGAACACGCTCTTCCATTCAGTGGAAATAAGGCTTCAGGTTTGCTCTTAAATTTTATTTTTTTTTGCCTGGCCAAAACGACTTCGTTTGGCAAGGAATTAAAAAACAAAAAAGCTGCTCCCAGCGCAGCATCGCAACAAAGAAAATGAGGTTGCTAGGTTGCTGAGGCATTTATTCGAACAGGTGGTGGGCACCTCCAAGGTAGAGCTGAGGAGCAAACTCCAGCGACTTCAAAGCTTTTTCCGGCGAGGGGAGGTGCAGCTCATTGCGCCTCTGTGGATTCGCCAATGGATGTGGTCAGAGGGACAAGTAATGAACTCACGATGACAATACTGAAAAATACACAGGTTTGTCTAAGACTCCCTTACCAACAAAGCTAGAAAAGTTCTGAAATTACCTGTAGGATGACTAAAAATGTCTAGAGGAGGGTGAATAGGCCAATTTAAGATTATAATCAATAAATAAAAATAAATTTCGGTAGCAGGATTGATATGGCTTATTAATCCTGAAACGTGCTGAGCATAAAATAAAAGAACACGCAGAGAATTATTTTAAGTGGTAAAACCCCACATTTGGGGAAAATCCATAGGACTCCTCAGTTCAACACAAATCCACTATAGAAGATGATTATAAGAAGTACTCACACACTTATCCTAGACACATTCTAGATAATGTTTACCGACTTCTTCGTAACTCAAGTTCTGTCACGGGATGATCTCTGACACTTCTTGTGTTGAACACAATACTGGTCACGATTGCTTTAAGCTAGCCAGAGGAAAACCGCCACCACGGTCTTGATGCCCTCAATCGTATGAGTCATCGAACGCTTGCGTCGTTAGTTTGGATTTATAGGCAAATAGTTTGGATTTTGATGCGTATGTGTCTTTGTGTATCTCAAAGATACATAAGTCATCAACGTCTAAAATATTGTTTTTCTCACATTGGTGGTTCGATTATGATAAGGAGCAGAGCTCCCACTGGTAAAATTTCATATCTCTTGGGATCTCTTTTTAATTTTCTCTGTGACGATGGTTTTCTATATAAACCGTAGTGGTTTTTACAGTTCTTGTCATTTTGTTGATCTACCGTCGTAAGCTACCAAAATCCAAGAAAGAAATCTTAAAAGAAATAAAATTTAATACGACGGTTTACTGATAAGTTCAGTCGTATAAAATGAATTAATACAAGTACTTTTCACGACATGGATATTTTAATTTAGACGTCGTTATCTACTCTTCTGGTGTTGTGGTTCTCTACTACTCTATATGGCAGCAGTGTTATGGATACCGTCGTAGTACACTCTAAAATAATAAGTCAATAAATTTATCTTTACCATCGTGGTACATGGATTTAATACGGTGCTGTTTTGTAATATACCGACGTGGATTCCGTTAAAATTATATGACGCTAACTAAGAACAGTTTGTCATGTTTATTTAGGAGTTAACATGGCGGCTGTTTTTGTAAACCGTCGTCTCTACTTTCTATGTCGGGGGCTTCATACCTGCTATTGTTGTTTTTGGAGTCAGACTTTAACTCTAAAGAAAACTTTTTTTTTAATAAGACGACACTTCTTTTAGTTGGGTGCAGTGGCGAACCTAGGATTTCATGTGTGTGGGGGCCTCTTACAAATTATAAAGAATCAAAAATTTGAACTCACAATACATACGAAAAATAGTGTATATATATATATCACATATGTCAAGAATTATATTGCTTATTGGTTGCAATCATAAATGTCCTCAACAATGGGATAGACAAATACATTCTGAGCAAGAAAAATTGCAAGAGATAGACAAAGAGTAGCGATTGAGCAAATATCTTTAAAGCTTTTATCCCCATTAAACCCAATAGAAAGAAAAAAAAATGTTTTATGTAAAAATATTGACGAAGTATGAAAATTGGTTTTTCGGAATAATCATTTTCTCAAGATAATTTCTGGCAGCTTTTATTCCTTAGGCATCAAATAAGAAAATTTGATTTTATGGGATTTTAGTATGAAGTATAAATTGACTTAATGAGCCATCATTTTTAGCCTAAATCGTATTTTGCACTAAAACCAATTTTTCATATTTTGATTTGGTTCGAATTTGATTTTCTAGTATTTTTATTTGAATCCAAATAGGGGGTATTTCCTTATTTACATTGTAAACTTAAATAAATAGAGTAATATACAAATAAACGAAAGTAAAAGGACAAAGACATTTACTTAGATGTTGAAATTGGAAATAAAGTAATATGTACAAAAGGGCAATTTGAAGCACCTTCTTGTGTCTTAATAGGTCTGCCACATCACATGTGTGTACATATCAAAATGTAAAGTATTTGAAATAATATACATATAGAAATGCATAATAGTATATTACTTTCAAAATATAAAAAAATTGAGTGGGGGCCCGAAACCACACTGGTCCCAGTGTGGCTCCACCCCTGGTTGGGTGCGTCATTTTTAAGAAATACCCAAGCAGATCTTGATTTTTTAGGCGTTTAAGTTACTTAGACAAGACAATATTCTGTTACCGTCATCTTTCTAAACACAACGACTATTTTTTGTTCTACCGTCGTTGTTTTCTGGTCGTCTTTTTCACTTTTTGTAGTAGTGATCATATATATATATATATATATATATATAAATTGAAACATATATGAATTATTCTCTTATTCGAATGTCCATACGTTATTATTGGGGGTCTAGAACCACACTGGTCTCAATGTGTCACCGCCCCTACCTAGTTCCGCTATTGCCATTAACTATGATGTTATTAGGCCCTATTTCATATTCAAATTAACAAAATTATTTATTATTTCTCAACATAACTAAAAAAAATGTATAAAAAAAAATTTCTTTCCATTCTTTTAATTATCTTAAAATTTAATTGTTTTTTAATTATTTTTTGATAGACATGAACACCGCATCAGATTACAAGATATACATATTTTTGTCATACAAATACTTAACAGATTCACTACCAATGTGGCTAACACACTATGATTAAATTTTTCGTGAGTTCTATAAACAGTGTTTGAGTATAAATTATAGTATTGTAGAACTAGTTCAAAATCTTGTAATCTACGAGAATATGAATCCACTTTACAAGGTTATGGAATGCTTATACTACTACAAAAATTGAAATAGATGACGGGAATCCACCATCGTTTAGAAGGTTTTCAAACTGTCATGAAATCGAAATCGTTAAGACATTCAACGTCTTATCAAAATAAAAACCGACGTCTAATTAATATTTTAAAAGCATAAAAGGAAAACGTCGACAACATTAGACGATGGTTTTAGGAAAACAGAGACGTCTAAAGAATGGTACACGTCAATAACTACATAAAAGCCGACATAAAAAAATTTATCCACGTCTCTATTTGAAGGAATACCGTCGTGTATAACGTAGAAACCATTGTGGTTAAAATATACTATGTTCACTAAATAAAAAACTGAAATCTAAAATATATAAAAACGCAAAGAAAAGATAACTTCAACAAACGTAGAGGGGCTTACAGAAAAAAATTGACATCCAAAGTATATTACATGTCAAAAATCTTACCGTTACCAATGTAAAATGTACTAACCCACGTCGCTACGGAGTAAAAAAAATGGCCTTGTTAAATATATTCCACCTCTGTTTCTTGCGAGAACCAACGTTTAAATGGTTAAAAAAAAATACCCCTTGGACAAAGTTGGACGATGCTTTTTTTAAAACATTGACGTCTGCAAGATTTAACATGGCACAACTTTATTGACAACCGACGTAACAATTCCTAACCACGATGGTTAATGTAAAATAACGGTCGTGGAATATTGCTTGAACGGTGGTTAATGTAAAATAACGGTCGTAGTTAAGTTCTTCACTGCGTCTCAAGCATCCAATTTGTCTACATTGTTATGTCACTTACCACATCGGTTATTGTGTAGGCCTTGACGTGGTTGGCCTTTTAAAGGTCGCTTTTATAACCCTCTTTCACATGTGTATTCTCTGAGACGTCAATTCTTTTAGCCTAATCGATGTGCAACCGAGTTGTCACGACACTTAAGGGAACTGGGTGGCCTTTATTAATTAGTGGAGGTAGTGTTTTCCAAAATTCGTCGGTTGGAGCACTGTTCCGTCGTGGTATTCTTTATTCTACGATGTGCATTATTTTCATGACCGTCGTTGTTGTTAATATCAATTAGCCGCGAGTAATTTAATTTTATTAACCAACGTGTTTTCTTTTTCAAATGGCGGTTTTTATTTCTTTACAGTCTTTTGCATTGTCATTCCACGTCGTTTGTAAAAATACGACGTTGGTTATGTTTTAGATGTCTGTTTTTACCATTTTTAAACTAGACCGTCATATTTTACACCTTTAAACCAGTATTTTTAATATGTCGTGCCCAAAGCCTGCACAACGAAAATGTGATCAGAATTAAAATGATATACAGAGCTATTAATTAATGTCATACAATTAACTGCATAACTAATGTCATACATTACAACAATTAATGAGTACATATATCTTCACACCCACCTCTAATATTTTCACTCCCAAACTCACTCACTAGGTCATCAAATGTATCAACATTTGGTATCCCTCTAATTTATGGCTCACACTCAAATCTAATATCACCTAGCACATCATCACCAATAACATCATTATATTCTCTATTAGGCATTGATAACACTATCGACTGGAGGTGTCAAATGGGACAGGCCGACCCAGCACGACACGAGCCCAACACATTTAAATGGGGTGTACTCGGCACGACATAAAAATTTGGGCAGGGCCGGGATCAAAAAATGAGGTCTAATGGGCCAACATGGGCCAGGCTTGGCCCGAGTCCGCTTCAAGTAAGGCAGGAGCCCAAGCCCGCTTCAAGCATTGTTTATATCAAAAGTCAAAATGCAATAATTTGACATCTAATGTCATTGTTTATATGATTTTTTTTGTATTTTTTTGTTTTGTTTTGGTTTTTTTAATAATCATAAACATATATTTGATGTCTTTCATTTTAGGGAAATTACTTGGGTCCTTAATTAATTAAACATATCAACTACAAATTAATTAAACAACATTGGACTTGATATCTAATTAGTACATATGACATATATGCTTCTCTTATAATCAAAGCAAGACATTTCTTCACATATAAAATAATAAGTTATTTAAAGATGAAAAGTTGAAGTGGACTTTGTGGAGTTGGACACTTTTTGCCCTCTGCTATTTCATATTGTTTGGATGTTTGATTGATTAATGTTTTCAAATAGTTCATCATTTCTTGTCTCAAATTATATTTTAGTGTTTATAATTTGAATTATCTAGTGGAAAAAAAAATTCAAATTAAATGAGTTGGTTCTTGGGCCCGAGTATGGCACGAGCACGAACACAAGTACGGCACAAGCCCGGCCCGACCCATTTAAATGTGGATATGGGCTTTGGGCCGGGTAGGGATAAATGATTTTACTAAATGGGTCTGCACGGCACGACCTAATAAATGAAATGAGCTGGCTCGGCCAGGCACGAAAACGTTAAAAGCGTTTAAATGGGACGGGCTGGCCCGACACGGCTCGTTTGACACCTCTACTACCGACCAACCATGATGCATTGGATCGTCAACAAAAAATACTAGTTTGACTTGAGAAGCCATAACAAATTGGTCATTCCTATATCCAATTTTAATAAGATCTACAAGGGTAAATCCAAGTTCGTCAACTACAACGCCCGAAGTGTTATCTATCCAATCACACCTCAAGATTGGCATTCTAAACTTTTGGTAGTCGAGGTCCCAAATTTCTTAAATGATGCCATCAAAACGCATATTGGAGACAATAGGGTTTTTATCCTTGGCACTAGCAACTTGCATAGTATGTGCAACTAAATAAACTCCAATATTTTGGACAGTTCGCATGTCATCTTGTGTCTTGGTGTTAAATTTAACACCATTAATAAAATAGCTCCTATATGATGGCACTGTCATGCTTTGACCAATTGCTAGTCACCTCAAATTTTCTAATACGCCATTATTCTCTTCCCCATTAAGTTCACTTTGAACCGGCAAATTAATCATATATCCTAATTCAATCTAACATAGAAAGAAGAAAATTAAAAGTTCAATATGTTATTCAATAACATATACATTAAAGTGTAGCCATTGAATGAAAGTGCTATTGTGCTTATCTTGCTCCCACTTTGTGCTCTTTCTAAATTTTGGATAAGTGATCTTGATGTGGATCATATGTTCCCTATATTGACAAAAAAAAATTCCAGCATTACGGTCCCTTGTATATAAGATAAATATAAGGAATAATATTTAAAATGGCTACTTAAAGAATAAAACTCATACTCGATATAAGGTAGGACTTCCTCCGTATTCCTCAAGACATATAGATGTGCCTAGTTCAACAAGTCCCGATCAACTAAGCTCACTGTGCAACCTGATAATGGCTTTGAAACTCCCATCTTTTGGCTTGATTTCACTCCAACTGGACTAAGATCAGATAAATGCTCGGTGCAAAACTCTACAGCTTCTTCAATTATATACCGCTCAGCAATGCAACATTTGGGACGAGTACGTTCTGAACATACCCCTTTAGCACTTTCTTATATCTTTCAAACGGATACATCCATATAAAATAAACTGGCCTACACAGACGAACTTCTCTGACAAGATGTATTATTATATGAACCATGATATCAAAGAATGAAGGGGGAAAGTATTTCTCAAGCAAACACAAAGTAACTACTACATATTTTTCCAACTTATCTACCTTGGGAACATCTATCGTCTTTGCACATATAGCATTGAAGAAGAAGCACAATCGAGTTATTGCATACCTTGTAGGCTTCTCCAAAACAAAACAAATTGCCAGAGGGAGCAATTATTGCATCAAGGTATGACAATCATGAGATTTAAGGTCAAGAAGTCTTGAATCTTTTAAAGATACAAGATTTTTTATATTTGAAGAATAACCTTCAGGGATCTTCATACCATATAAAGAATTGAAAAAACCGTTCTCTTTTCTGCTCTTGAAAAATTCCAAGGCCCTGGAGACAAGTGAGTACGTCTTTCTCTATACTCGAGTTGCAAATCAATTTTGAACCCCATGTTCAATAAATCTAACCGAGCAGCGATCCCATCTTTATTTTTTTCCAGAGATCTCCAGCAATGTACCAATGATACTATCACAAACATTCTTCTCAATGTGCATAACATCTAAGACAAGCCTCACAGGAAGGTATTTCCAATACTCGAGATCAAAGAATTTTGAATTCTTCTTCCAACAAACTATGTCACCATCATTCACACCAACACTTCCCTCATTTTTGAGCCCCATTTGTAATTAATACCTTCAACCATCTGCAACACTTCTTCTCTGGTTAATGGCTCGGGAGGTGTGTCATATTCAAGTTTCCAATTAAAAGCTGCATGTTGCCTATGATATGGATGATTGATTGGTAACCATTTCCTATGCCTGATGTAACAAATTTTGTGGCCATTTTTCAACCTATGACTAGGTATATTATCGCCGCATATTGGATAAGATTTATATCCTTTAACAACACAAACAAATAAGTTCCCTTAGGCAAAAAAATTATTAATTATCCATAGTAGTACACATGTGAGTGTAAAGTATTCTCCTATGTGTGCATCATACACTCATCTCATCTCATCCCACATAGATTTTAAATCATCAATAAAAGGCTCTAAGTAGACGTCTATATCATTTCCGGGTTGTTTAGGACCGAAAATTAATAAAGTCAACATCATGAACTTCCGTTTCATTCATAGCCATGGTGGGAGATTATATGAAATTAAGATAACTGGACAACAACTATATCTGCTATTTAAAGAACTGCAGGGATTGAATTCATCAAATGAGAGAGCCAATCTCAAGTTTCTCGGCTTTTTACCAAACTCGGGCCACTTATCATCAACAAGTTTCCAAGACGGGGAATCCACTAGATGAGACATATTACCATCAACTGATTTTCTATCAGCATGCCAAGTCAAACTCTTAGCTGTCTTACGTGATTAAAGCATCATTCTAAACCTTGGAATTGGTGGAAAATACCACACCACCTTCACTGGCACACCCTCTTTCAATATTGAATCTTTACCTTCCTTCCACCTTGAGATACCACAAATAGGACAATTAATTGAATCTTCATAATCATTCCTATACAATATGCAGTCATTGGGGTATTGGATTTTCTTATAACTCATCCCTAAAGAAGAGAAAGTCTTTTTTGCCTCATACATAGAGGAAGGTAGTGTATTTCCTTATGAAAGCAAATCTCCTTGAAGTATCAATAATTCTATCAAACAAACATCACTCATCCTATGTTTTGCTTTCAAATTATATAACTTCACCAAAGCCGACAACTTCGTGTACTTACTGCAACCAGGGTACAAGGGTTGATCTCCATCTCCAATCACATTGGCAAGCTCATAAGGATCAGATCCAATATCGCCTAAATCATTATCATCCATCCCTAATTCTTCAAAAATAAAACTAAACTTACTTTGCTCATATTCTTCCACATCTCTACTAGCATTAGTAGTCCATTCCCAAGGTTCTCCATGCCATGTCCAAATCTTATAGCTTTGGTCAATTCCATTAAAGTATAAGTGGTCCCTTATAATTCAAACCCCAAACAATCGAATATTTCCACATTTAACACATGGACAATGAATATAAGTTGTATTTCCAAGATTTTCTATAGCAAAATTCAAAAGTCCTTCCACCCCTAAATCATATGCATTCGATCTTCTCCCCGCATGCATCCATGACTTATCCATCTCTTACACTATACAAATATATATATAATAAAGTGAAAAGACCAGCAATGAGACACCATTATATTCACATAGCAGAGAATAAATTGAAAGAAAAAACAAAACAAAACAAGAATCAGACAACAATATTTACAAAATAATCGTCATGTTATAGCAATTCAGACGATGGTACTAGAATTACCGTCGTCTTTAGGCTCCCAAATCGGAAATTTGTATTGCTTTTTGAAGAACAATGTTCTTGGTTCATGTAGACTAAAGATGACGGTTATTGGAGATACCGTCGTCTTTAGGCTACCTAAACCCAAAATTTAATGAACAAGTTCTGGTTAGGTAGCATAAAGATGACGGTTAGTGTTACAAGTCGTGAGAGTGAAGGACTAGTTAATTTATTAAAACCAATGGAAGATTTCGTCATTTGAAAACGGAGTCTTTGGCTTGCAAAGAATGAGAAAAAACTAGACTCCTTTTCAAAAAAAACTTCAAAAGATTTTGAAAAAAAAAGATTGAGAAAAAACCTTTGGCTTGCAAAGAAAGTTTTCTTTAGACGTAAATTTTGGAGATTTGGAGACAAAGACGAGGAAGATGACCAGATTCAGACACACCGCTTCTGGGAACTGAAGGAAAACTAAGAGAAAATTTATCGATTATAGAGAACGTAAAACTTTAGGTCAGGTGAGAAAAAAATTTATATATTATACCAAAGTCCAATAACATGACGGTTCTATTATAAACTGCCCTAGTATGTCGTTAAAACAACAAAAAGGTAGTAGAAACACAGTGGATGCTTAATATTAGACGTCGCAATTTATAAAAGGACCGCTGTGGTTAGTAAAGATTATATGTATAAATTGGGTCTTTTCACGCGTTCTTTCACTTTCAGTTTTCACTTAGGGTTCCAACTTCTTCTGGCCTTTGACTGCCATCCTCACTTCAGGCCTTGTCTTTTTCTCACCTCTCTGGAGGCAATAGTTTGGATGTTGATGTGTGTGTGCGTTTGTGTATCTGCAAGACACAAACACACACATCATCAACTTCTAAAAAATTGTCTTTCTCAAAGCTTGTTGTCATCAAATTTTAGAGACAAATTTTTTGGATTTTGATGCGTATGTGTTTTTCTGTATCTCAAAGACACAAAGACACAGCATCATCAACATCTAAAATATTGTCTTTCTAACATTGGTGGTTCGATTATGATGAGGAACATAGCTCCCACTGGTAAGATTTCATATCTCTTGGGATCTCTTTTTAATTTTCTCCGTGATGAAGGTTTTCTATATAAATCGTTGTGATTTTTACAGTTCTTGTCATTTTGCTGATCTATATCGTCGTAAGCTTCCAAAATCCAAGAAATAAATCTTAAAAGAAATAAAATTTAAGACGACGGTTTACTGATAAGGTCAATTGTATAAAATGAATTAATACGAAAGTACTTTTCACTTCACAACGTGGTAAATTAATATTATACGACACAAATTGAATAAAAAAGATGCTCCAAAAAAAATTTCTTAAAAAGTAATAAAAATTAAGACGAAGGTTTAAAGATAAGGGTAGATGTATTAATTAATATAATACGAATGTACTTTTCACTTCATGATGTGGTAAAGTAATATTATATAACTCCAACTGAACAAACCAACGTGGTTAGTACTAACTTATATGGACCGTCGTTATCTACTCTTCTGGTGTAGTAGTTCTCTACTACTCTATACGACAGATGTGTTACACATATCGTAGTAGTACACTCCCCAAATAATACGTCGATAAATTTATCTTTATCATCGTGGAACATTGTTGTATGACAATGTTGTTTTGTAATATAACGAAGTGGATTCCGTTCAAATTATACAACGCTGATTAAGAGCAGCTAGTCGTGTTTATTTAGGAGTCAACAAGGCGGCTGTTTTGGTAAACCATCATCTTAACTTTCTATGTCGGTGGTTTCATACCTGCTGTCGTTGTTTTTGGGGTCAAAGTTTAAGTCTGAAGAAAACCTTTTTAATAAGACGTCGTTGTTTTCGTTCAATGCGTTGTATTTTAAAAATACCCAAGTGGATCTCTGTTTTTTAAGTGTTTATGCTATTTATCCACGACGGTTTTCTGTTAGCTTCGTCTTTCTAAACACAACAATAGTACTTTGTTCTACCATTGTTTTTTTTTCTGGTCGTCTTTTTCACTTTTTGTAGTAGTGTTATATCCAAAATGTTGTAGAACTAATTCTTAATGTTGTAAACCTTTGTGTTTACAATAATAACGACCACATTTACTTCTCCAAGGTCCATATTTGCCTTAATCTTGTAATGGGGATCCTTTCTATTGTAAATTATATGCACTTTACAAGCTTATGGAACGTTGATGTCCAAAGCATTGTGTTCCTTAATATTGTAAATCATAGTGTTACAAGATTATGGATACACTTACAAGTTTATGGAATGTTGAGGTCTAAAACATGGTAAAAAATGTTCTTAATATTGTAAACCTTTGTGTTTACAAGAATAAAGACCACACTTACTTATGTGAGGTCCACCTTCACTTATGCAATTACCAAACATGGAGATAGTAATTGCATAAATGAAGTGCTTATTGGACTGCAATTGCATTTTATGTACAAAAGATGCGGAACCCTGTTGGATAGTACAATAGATCGATCTTAATCAATTTTTAACTTTAGTCCATTTGGTGATTAAAAAATTTTAGGTAAGTTTTTATTTGAACCCAATTATTTTATAAGTAAACTCAACCAAGTAGACATGTCAATGGATCGGATTTTGATCTGAATCCAATTCAAATTCGATGTAATTAATAGGAGATGGATTGGACTTCTCAATCTGATAATCTGATTACAATTGGAATCCGATATGGATACAGATATGGATTATTGTTGATCCAATCCGATTTAACTTAGTATGAATTATAATTTAGTATATCTAGAATTTATATTAATATTTTATATGTGTAAATGAGTAATTTCAGTTTTATATACACTAATAATACAATTAAAACTAATTTTTTTGATAAAATATCAAAAATTGATATAAAAAGTAGATAAATACAATAAAAGAGCGAGACTACTAATGAAATTTTGATTTTTAGTACGTCACAAAATAAATTAGATAATAATCCGATCTAATCTAAATCCGATGCGTAACTGATATGTATTCTGATAGTCCAAATATGATCCGAATCCAATAATTAAATTATAAATGAATTCGGATTTAGATCGAGGTATACCTAATCCGAATCTAACCCGTTTACATGTCTACAACTAATGTTTCTTTTATTCAAACAAAAAAAAAAAAAAAAAAAAAAAAAAAAAAAAAACAACCATAGGACTGTGAACAGTTGAACAGTGACATTGTATTGGTTGGTTTTAAGTTCTTTTAGTTTTTTTTTAAAATTTCTGGGTAATCAAAATAATTATTTTATACCCAACAAATTTGTAGTTATTATTGTTTTTGGTTAGAAGTTAACAAAAAAATTAAAATAAAATATCGCTGATTCGATTTACATAAAGTTTTAAAATTTGATTGGGTTAGTCGGGTTAAGATTACTTTATCTAAACATTGAATAAGACCAAAAAAAATTTGAATAAGACAAAGTTTCTTTCCCATTAAAAAAAGACAAAGATTAAATATTAAGAAAAGCTTGGGAATCGGGCGACTTGAACAACAGGTTTCAATTTTTCTTTTTAAACGTAGGTGTATCGGTACACCAGGTGCACCGTAGAAGGTGCCCAGCTACCAAACCAAGAAACAAAACATTCACAACCATTCATTAATTTCAGGGCACCAAGAAACAAAACATTCACAACCATTCATTAATTTCAGACCATATCCTTCCATCTTAGCCATACCATAATTTTGTCTTGTTTCTTCATTTTGTTTTTCTCATTCTATGTGATCCAAGAAGGCCTTTAGATTCCTATCAGAAGACCCACCTTCACTCACAGCCTCTCTTGCCAAACCCTTCCATTTCTTAGCATTTCTTCTCAATTCTTCACCAATCTCCCCACTTCCCATGACCAATTCTAAGCACCTCTTGAGCTCCTCACCTACAACAATCCCCTCATCATTTGGTGTCACCCTAACTCCAGTCTTCCACGTGTCCTCAATCAACTTGGCATTGGTCCCTTGGTCCGTCCACTGAGGAAACGCCACCACAGGCACCCCGGAAACCAGGCTCTCCAAGCTTGAATTCCACCCGCAATGTGTCACGAAACAACCCAATGAAGGGCTTGACAAAACCTCCACTTGGCTACACCATGGCACTATCTTCCCAAGCTCTTCCAACTCCTCTCTGCAGCTCAGTTTCTCTTCCTCCTTATCGGCCTCCTTATCTTGTCCTTTGCTTTCTTCTTTTTCTCTAATCACCCACAAGAATGGCCGCCCGCTGTCCAGCAACCCTTTCGCGATTTCCTCCATTTGGGGCTTCGACAGAACGGACATGCTTCCAAACGACACGTAAACCACGGACCCTTCAGGCCTCGAGTTCAGCCACTTGATGTACGAAGAGTCCTCTGATTTTTGGTAAAGATCGCCGCGGAATGACTTGTCGGATGGATCCTTGCCGTCCAAGAAAGCCGATGGAATCAATGGCCCGATTCCAATCAGATTGTACTTGTCAATTGCTTTCAAGGCCTCTGACTCCAGCGCATCGAACGTGTTCACCAGAATGATGGGCTTGGTTTCTCTCTCGAGCACCTCAAATTGCTCTTCAAACAAGGGAAGCGCGAAACCGTACGGATTTGAATCCACCATGAAAGAGGGAAGGTCGCGGCTGGCGAGGGATTGTGGCAATCCTGGTAATTCTATTGAACATAAAGCGCCATTAGTATGAGTAGTACTAGTACTGTTCCGGATGAGGTCTTTGTAACCGCTAAAATAATAGTAGTAGATGTCGAAAACAGTGGCTGGCTGAATCCACACGAGCACGGATGGGAGGTGGAGCTCACGGGCCACCACCGCGGCCCAAGGGAGAAGTATTGTGTAGATTAGGCAAGTGTAGGGGCGGCCCTCCTTTGCACTAGACACAATAAGGTCGGTGATGGCTTGTGCACCGCGACGCCTAAGCTCCGACATGTAGTTGTCGATATCATCGCCATCTTTGAATCCATTGTCGTAACCGTCAGAGAAGAGCGAATAGGTCAAGCCATGAGGAGTTGAGCCATTCCCTATGCGGCGATGGGCAGAGAGGCTCGTGACATACGTGACATGTGCCCCGGTAGTGCGGATGAGATGCTTTGCGAACTGGAGGGAAGGGTTGATGTGGCCTTGGGCCGGAAATGTCAGGAGGAGGAACCGGTGTTGCACCATGGCGGTCGTTGCGGGAGTGGAGGCGCGCGGCAGAGCTTGGAGTTGTTGGGACAATATTGGGGATTTTTTATTCTTATTTTTTTGTCTGAAGACAATATTGGGTGTTTGTGTGTCGGCTTAGCTGAATGAAGTGAAATTGTTTTGGGAGGGAGAGAATGGGGAGACTTAAATAGGGGATTGGCGGGGAGAAAAAAGTGACGTCTGTAGTGACGAATTGAAAACGCTGATGAGAAGAGAGATGACGTGGTTATGTGTGTGATTTGCAATTTGTGTGGGTGTTGCATGCATGTCTTATCTATCATTTTCAAATATGTCATCAAGTTCAAAACGTATATACAAAGCACATGACTGAGATTGGTCAGAGAGACAAAACTGATTAATATACACATGCAACTTTATTATTAAATGTGGTTACATACGTTGGGTCGGATTGAAATGTATTATATTAAATTACTTTGTAATATTTAGGATTTTGTATTTTACTTATATTCTGTACTGGATAAATTCAAAATCTTTGATTTTGCTTGTACGAAAAACAATATAACTTTCAATAGCGTAATTTACACATAAGTTGTGTTCTTGTCTTCAGGCCATGCATTCGTTTTCAATTTCTCATCAAAGCTCAAAAGAACGTGGCATGGACTAGTAGGTCTAACAGGGTCTGAGGGAGGGAGAAGCAAATTTAGTAACTACAACTGATTAATACATATGCAAGTGTTCTATTTGCCAACTTTTTCCACTAGAAATATTTGTTTTTTTCCACAAATAAAAAAGTCTAGTAAAAGAATTAGTCTACCCCTATGCCTATAAAAAAACCTACTTGATTTCGCATTTGAATTCACATCAAAATTCGTAATTCAATACCACAAAAATTAAGAGTTAGATTGATTAAGAGGAGTAGTTGATCCTATTTCATATCATCTCCCTTTATTTCTAATATCTAACTTTCTTGGAGTCGTCACATGTGTTCTTGTGTTCGTGCATGTGTCATTTTTAGTTTCTCATCAAGTACAAAATAGAACACGACATGGACTAGTAGGTGTGATGTGGTCAAAGGGACAAGTAATAAACTCAAGACGGCAATACTGAAAAATACACTTGCTATGGATGCCTAGTTAGATCCGGTATGCCGAATTGCATTGGACCTGTATTTTACTAAATCGCATTATGTAGTGTTGTGTACAAAATGAAATAGCCAGATAATATACCTCGCCGGATGCTAAAACAAAATCCAAATAGTACCATCTAGATGCTAAAATAGTGGCCTCGTTAAAACATCACCATAAAATTTATAATAATAAAAAATTCGGTCAAAGAAAAGAAGTACTGGTACATCCATAACAAATAGAAAACAAAACTGCTCCCTCCAAATTATATTCGAGCAAACACTATTTAATTTATAAGAGCATCCACAATCATGCTCCTTATTTTTTAGTTAAAATTTAGCTAAAAACACTAGAAAGCTATTTTAGAAAGTCCTTATCAAATTTCAACTCCAACCATACTCCTTAGTTTAGGGAATCATAAATGATTTATTTCTTTTTTTAAGTTAGCATAAATGCTCCCTCTTCATATAAAATAATAATAATAAATAAATAGCATTAAATAAATACTTAAAATGATATTAAAGTAAAGCAACATTTAATTATAAGGAGCCACTAAGAGTCCTTTTTCTCTCCTCAAATTTAGGAGCTCCTAAGATGTCTCCTTATTTTAGGAGTTGGATAGGGAGCACGGTTGGAGGTCGGTTTTCTCACTTCCTCCTTAAATTTTATCTAAGGAGGTGATTTAGGGAGTCCATTGTGGATGCTCTAATTAATAGGTTTTAAAGATAAATTATTTGTTTCGTTATTTTTTGTTTAAAATATAAAATTGTAGTAAATTTATAAAAAGTTTATAATCAGACTAAAATCTTCCTGATCAATTTTTATAATCAGAAGTACAATGACTAAAGTTCTCTAAAATTTTTGTGGAGTGTACTGCTTAGAGCATCTACAATCATGCTCCTTATTTTTAAGTTAGCTAAAAACACATAAAAGTTATTTTAGGAGCTCTTCATTAAAAATTAAAAAATTAAAAAATAGTTAACATTAATTAAAAGTTTAAACTATGCATAAAATAAAGCAACATTAAATTTTAGCGAGTTAGGAGTTTGTGGAGTCCTCTCACAAAATATAAACAATTAAAAACTAAAAAATTTAACAAAAATAATTATTCTTTCCATTCTTTTAATCATCTTAAAAGCATGTACGGACCTTTAGTACAGCCTAACCTGGGCTACAGTCCGAGGGGCTTTTTTTATTTTTATTTTTTCGGCCTCAAATAACATTTAGCCCAGCATGAATTTCCTTACTAACCTGGGCTATAACGTTTGAGGATCTTAAATGGGGTTTGCAGTTATGAGTGAAGAGGTTGAGTGTGGGCCTGGGCTGAGCCAAATGTTACTTTTGATTTTTAGTTCCTACAATCTATTGTCCAAACCAGAAAATCTACAAAAACCCACCAAAAACCACCAAATTTTCTTAATAACTTTGTACTTTAGGTAAATTTAGCCCGCTCGATTTGCAATTCCTAAGTCCGTCCCTGGTTGAAAGATAATTAATTTTTTATTATTTTTTGATCTACATGAACACCACATCAGTGTACACGATATACTTATTTTTGTCATACAAGTACTTAAGAAATTCGCTACCAGTGTGGCTAACACACTATGATTAAATTTTTCGTGAGTTAAAGAGCAATTTAACTGTGAACTATTAGCTAGACTATGTACAATTATGCAGTTGAGCCAAATAGTTAATGATACGAATATATATTACACACAGAACTCGAAGCCAACTCAGCCAAGTAAAGAAAATCTTCTCAGAATAGGAAATAGATCGTCTCAATCCGGACGTTTGATCCCATATCCACAAGAAGGCGTGCACGATAAAATATCAATTTGCAACCAAACTAGACAACAAATTTCCTTGTCTTTGTGTTGCTTGCACCTTTTTTGTTGTTGATAAATTAAGGACTTTAATTATATAATACTAGTTAATGCGAAACTTATCGTTAGATCCCATTTGATTTATAAAAAAGGAGGCTTAGAGATGGAAAATCAATTACTTTCTCATGTTTAATAAGTTCATGTATGAAAAATGGTTATCTGGCACATGAGAAAGTAGGGGGAAAGTGAAGTCCACCTCCCAACTTGAGTTTTGTTTTTCCTCCTCATGGGAAAGTTGAGCCAAATATTAAATGCACATTTTTCATGACCATTATGTCTCCATTAACAATTTGAAATTACAATATACCATTAAATGCATCTTTTTTTATTTGACGTAATATGGGTATAATTGGAAAATTATACAAACTTTATTTTTCATTCTTACTCAAAACAAATATGGAAAATAAAATAAAGTGATATCTCCCCATTACTTTTCTGACATTACCAAACATTCTAATTGTACCCTTAAGCCAAGGAAATGTATGCCGACACTATTGTTATGTGTTAGCAGAATAACAACCGTCCATCAGTGCAGAATGTGCCTTATAATGAAAAGGAAATAGCACGGATAAGACTGTCAAGTTGAATAGAAGATGATATGAAAAAGAAAAAAAAACAGAGTGCTTTTGAATTGAACAAGATGCTTCGAAATAATTTGTGGGACTGGACATGACAAAATAATAAAAGACGTATTGACTGACAAAATAATAAAATATGTATGACTAATAGTGATTGGACATGATGTACTTTTGCCTGAGAAACATCAATAGACACGGCAACATATGTAACACACTGATTAATCGTTACTGCATGCAGAGTGACTAAAGCCTTTAGTCACGGTTATGGTGACTAAAGCCTTTTGTTGGGTTTTGTCTGCTCGCTTTTGCAAGGTTTGTTTCTTCCCCTTTTTTTTAGGGTTTGTGTCCCAGTCTTTTGGGGCTGGTTATTGAAGATCTTGCTAGATCTGTTGCTTTTGTGGTAGATTTCATGTAGATCTCTCTGCATTGGAGGTGGAGCTGCTGATTTTGGTGGATATACTTTTATTGTGCTTGGGGTCAAGTCGGAATTATTTGGAATGCCCTGGTGGAAGTTTAGTGGTTATGCTCTCCACTATTGGGGTATTTCCTGTCCCATGATGTTAGAGAGATTGTCCTCTGTCTTGATCGTCTTAAAGCACTGGTTGTTGCAGGGATTTGGGTCCTCCTGATCTGTATCTCCTTGTTAGTTGGGCTTCAAATTGTATATTTGTATTCTAACTATCTTGTAATACTTGTGTTTAGTTGGCTTTGTTGTTTTAATCTTTGTATTGCAAGAACCTCCTTTTGAGGCTGTGTTCTTACTGTTGTATCCTGAGTTTGTGCCTTATTTTTCAATTGAATCTCTACTGTTTTGCCAAATTTTTTTTATTATTATTTTTTTAAAGAGCACCAATACTCGCCCAAAAAAAGGTTACTATTGTCCAAATTTTTTTGTAGTGAAAGCACATAGCATGCACAAGTAGACATGGTCACAACGATAGGTAAATTTAGTGACCACAAACTGATTTACACACACATGCAAGTCTTCTACATTTGCCCAGTTATTTCCATTTGGTATGCCGAAGATTTAACTGTAATACTAACTTTCATTAAGCTGTATTCCATTTTGACCCTTTTTTTCAATGACGTACCATCATATTCTTATGAGGTGTTATTAATCCACATGTTATATTATAGTATAAGTAGATAATGTAGACGATATATTAAGGACCTAGAATATGATATTAGTGTTAAAAAAAAAAATACACATGATGTTGTTATGGTCATACTGAAAAATCTACACGATTGGACATACTGAATTGCATTAAGCTGTATCATAGTGTATGTTTTATGTTTAGGATGGCCGTTCTTGTAGGTCTGATGTGTTCAGATGGACAAATAGTTCAATAGAATACACATGCATAAGGAATGATTTGTCTAGTTAGAGCTCGTTCGGTATGCCGAATTGGATTTGATTATATATACTGACGATATCGACCTACAAATTTGATATACCCAACCCAGCCAAATCATAAAATGCAACACAAAGTTCTCTTGTATAGGAATTTGGGAGATTTCTGTTATTGATGTAAAATAGCTGTACGCTAAACTGGTAAATAAATTGGGGTGGTATTATTGTAATCTTATGTATAGGTTTAGTCATACTTTTCCTATATATTTTAGTAAAAGCATGCATGCTTTTTAGATTTGGGGAAGTTGTCAAGATAGTTTGTTGTCATGTAAAGGTTATGCTTGGAATTCTTTGTAACCAAAAAAGAAATTAAGCTTTGATTGTGAATAATCATAGTAATCAGAATTTATCTTTTGCGATGTTCTTTTAAGAAAATAATTTTCAAATTTTCCGGTCGAGGAAACTTTGTAAATATACTTTGATTTGAGTTATAAAAACGAATCAAATTGACGGGATTACATATGTATATTAAAGTGGCAGCCCGACGTCTTAGTGCTTTTTATATTATTGAATATTTTTCATCTAATAATAAACTTAATCTTGTTTAAACTTATTTTGCTACAATTATTCTTATATTACCAAGTTATACTTCTATATTTTTTATACTTGTAGCAAATCTTAGACTATGGGTGATCTTATTAAAACATTGTATCATTCTTTGCATCCTAGCTGTCCCCTTCATGCAAAATGTTTCCAACTAAAATGGCAAAACATGATTTTAAACCTAGCATGATTCAACACCTTCTTTTTTATGGGATGGAGAGTGATCCATACGTGCATGTTTGAGAATTTGAAGATGTTAGCTTGTTTTATAACTGAACTGATGCAACTGATTCAAAAAAGGTTTTCATTTCGCTTGGGGAAAAAATACAAAAAGTTGGTTAAATTCATTGAGGGCTAGATCTATAGGTTCTTGGGATCAGATGAATCATGTTTTTTCTTTCATAAATATTTTCCAAATTATAAGACAATGGCTTTGAAGAAGAAAAAAAATCTCTAATTTGTCGTTGTATTAGACATGGGAGAGAAGATCTTTTGAATATGTGCCCATAGTACCATGACTTTGAGAGTTGGCGCTTGCCAATTATATCTATGAGGGGACTTCTTCTTTGAGATCGCTCATTTGTTGAGTCCATTTGTAATGAAGAATTTATGCAAAAAGATCCTAATGAGGCGTTGGAATTACTTGAGGAAATTGTTGAAAAAGCTAATCAATTGATTGTCCCTCTAATCGCTCTATGTCGCTCACATTTGCTGATTAATAAATGCAAATTACAATAAAAACCAAAGTTCCTCCTAAGAATATTTTCAGCGGGAGAGGCTAGCCCGGGCAAGAGGCCCCCGCCCCTAGACCCCCAATTCCATTTTCAGCAGCCAAGGCTTGACAAGGTAAGTGCTGGGCTCCACCAGCCTAGGCTGCTGCTTAGGCAAGATGACTTAATTGAAAAAAAAAAAAAAAAAAAAAAAAAAAAAAAAAAAAAAAAACAAAAAAATTCAAAAAATTTTTATTTTTATTAATTGTTTTTATAAATACCTAGCCATATTCTTTACTTTCCACATCAAAACTCTATACAAGTTCCTCTCCTCATATCTCATGTGAATAGTAGTTGCCTTTGAGTTGCCATGACAATTGGTGGAAAACTAACAAAAAAATTGCTAAGGTAGGCACTATTCATATGAATAGTAACAGCTCTTGCCTCCCCTTACCTTTTGCCATAGCAAATGGGTAGAAATGCTCTAATCAAGAAGAATAACACTTCAAATAATATCTCTAACAACCTCTTCAACAACTTCAGAACTCTAAAATAGGTGAGCCACATCAGAAAAACTCTCTCCAACACCCTCTTCAACCTCAGTCATCAAAGCTGCAACCTCTCTCTCTCTCTCTCTCTCTCTTTAGAACTGGTAAGTTGACTTTTGCTCTTTAAACATTTAATTTTACTTTAGAAAAACAAAACCTACACTTGAAAATTTTAAAAACATGCATTTTTTTTTTCTTTTTGTATAATAAATACATAGACATTTTTTATATGTTTTCATTATTTTTCATGATATATTGCATTAATTGAATTGAAGAGTCTGTTGGAGCAAAAATTATTCAAGTAGCAAATAAGACTTTTCAAATTTCCACGTAGGTCAACAAACTTCAATTTAAAAAATTTATTTACTACTATTAGAGATGCTCTAATCGCTCTATATCCCAAAGTAACTCCACTTCCTCTTCCCCGCCTTCAAAGGCCGTCTTATTTTGTTCCAACCAAATTATCCAAATGAGAGCCAACACCGCGCAACTCAAAAGAGTAACTGGCTTTTTGTATTATTCAACACGAAGAACACTCAACAAACAAAAAATAACAATTCTGACTCTGAGGACAAACCCACACCTTACCAAACACCCTTAATAACTCAGCCCATAATTTCCTTGTCAACAACAATTTCATCTAAACCATGTACGACCTCAATAATAAATGAAAATTACGATCAAATAAAATTCTAAGGACAACCTCACACCAGACCAAGCACCCCCAACAGTTCTCCTTCTTTTCAAGAGTGATTCTCTATATTGTTCCAGTTTTTTGGTTGACTCTGGTCATTGGGGAAGTTTTACCCATGTATGTTGTTTGTGCAAATTTCCCTTGTGATTGGTTGTTAAAATTCATGTTCCCACATCTACCATATTGTTATTGAAATGGCTCCTTTTATAGTCGGTGTCCTACTCATTTTTGCACGAGATGAAAGGGGCTTATGAAAAACGGTGGTATTATTACATTATTCTATAAGAAAACAAAAGCTACGAGAGAGTTAATTTCCTAAATTTGTAATTGAAAGTAATGAGGGGAAATACTGTAAAATACCATCAAGGCCAAACTTATTCCTCCAAATATCATTCTTGGTTAGACATTTTGGGAGTATATAAGTACATACTTATTGGACCCTTATCATTTTTTATTTTCCCTCTCTCTCTCTCTCTCTCTCTCTCTCTCTCTCTCTCTCTCTCTCTCTCTCTCTCTCTCTAAGCTACTCGTGCAAGGTAACATATCTCTTTCTCTTCCTCTCTCTTTCTCGCCCTCTCACCCCCTAGCCCTTCACTTACTGGCTCGTGTGGCGGCGCTTAGGCCAGGTAATAGACTGGCTTTGTGTCCTAAAATGATCTCCTAGTCCTCACGAGCATGTATGTACTTTTGGATTCCAATTTGGTTAACGTTTGAACCCCGAAAGGATCTCGCCTATTGTGCGATTTCTGGGTTTTGTACGTTTGAACCGTTTGATCGTTCTCAATTTAATATATGTTGTACCTCATATTTCTAGGATTGTATAGGATTCGACATATCGTGAATCGAAGACCCGGATACTCCGAAATCTCGAACCCTAAGGTTAAATAACCGTAACCGTCCCATCGTGCGATCGTGATCAATCCGACCATCCAATTTGGACCAAACTTACAGGAAATCATTATTAAAATATGTAGAACCTATAGAAACTCTCGGATTGTCAATTGGAGGTCGCGGACCCCACGGGGTCCCAGGTTAACAAATATGGAAGTTTATCGCTTAGCGAGTCTCGGGTCTTTTCAGACCATTCTAACCATCCGAAATGCTTAAGTGGACATAGGAATAATCTTAAATTTGGTGCACGCACTCTTAGGAGTTGGGGGTTAGGGTTTCGGGATTAAATATTTATGTTGAGTATTTTTATTGATTAAATATTTATGATGGCTTAAATAGATACTTGGGCACCAGCTGACTTGCAGGAGGGACCTTCGAAAGGTCCAACTAGCTCAGACACTAAGTGAGTGGACTTTTGTTTTATAAATGATTTTTATGCAATTGAATTTCATTATTTGATCTTGAATAAGTTTTATTGATTGTGATATTCCTAGCATGATTGATGAATTTAAATATTTTTATTTATATGATACCTAGTTGAAAATGCTAAAGGGTATGAAAAGTAATAATTGAGGTAATTATCGGATTGAATGGCAGCAAGATTTAAAGATAATTAAGAAATAGTTTTATAAATTTCAATTTTTTTCAGAAACATATATTTATTTTAAAAACCACCCTAGGTACCCAAGGTTGCATTCGGATTAAAATGTCCATCGACATCCTAGTTACCTTCGGTTTTGTCAACACGCTTGACATCTACCCCACGAGTTTTGGGGACGCTAGGACCGTGGAAGCGAGGAATGCGGATCAGGCCGACTAAATGTCCCCTGAATCTTGTGAGGATTGCGACTCGGGTCGACTTTGTGTTTCCCGAGGGGGTTAGTATGTTCATATGTTATTTTCTAAACCTTTATTTTTGTCCACTCACATTTTTGAATGTTTTGTGCCCCTAGGCATTAGACGTGCACTAGAGCGTCACCAGCATGCAATTTCCACACTCTGCACCACTCCCTCTCTCTCTTATGTAGAATTTCTTTTGAAATCATATTGTGTTGTTGTAAATTCTTGAATTAGTTGCTCTGATGAATTGCCCTAGGACTTCTTGTATGGCTTGAGAAATTTAGTTTAGTAGAATTGTTTAGATGTAAATTGAATGCATGCTGGCAGTTGGGATATGTATATATATACTTTTGACACGTTGAAAGGTTGGGAAATGATCAAATTACAAGGGAGACTGCTAATTTTTCAGCAGAAGCCGAACTTGTAATAAACATGAATTTTTTAACTAGAAGGGCAATTTAGTCATTGTGCTCGACACTTGCCAGGTGTTGGACATGCACAGGGTTCGACTCGGATTCCAAAGTGGAATTTGGGTCGGGTCTAGTTCCAAAATCGGTTTCCTACGCTAGGAATTGATCAAATCCTACCCAGTCATCAACTAAAGCATGGAAAATAGTCAAAATTCCATACCTTATTTGCCGGAATCGATGGCCGGAGGACGGAGAACAACGGCCGTGAAATTCGAGCGAAAACTGGCCTGTTTTCGTGATATTCCGGTGGCTGGAAGACTGGAAGGTGGCGGCGAAGGCTCTGGGTGTGACTACGAGGTTTGGCCGTACGTTTTGGGTCCAGTCTTGAGGGTTGGGGTGGTCAGCGTCGGTAGTTATGGAGGTTTGGAGGTGTGGCGCTATGTGAAAAATCGAAGGGGAAGGGGGCTGGGTCGTGGGGGAGAGAGAGAGAGAGAGAGAGAGAGAGAGAGAGAGAGAGAGAGAGAGAGAGAGAGAGAGAGAGAGAAGAAAGTCAGATTTAAAAATCTGATTTTCACAAAATACGATTTTGCCCCTCGTCATAATTTGATCGTATGTTCTTCAATACGACTCGGATTTAAGTCCACTACTTGTCTATGGACTCATTTCGACATGATCTACGCAACGATATAGTCGAAATTTCCAAATTCTTTCCCGGTCAAAAAGTCAACTCTAAACATAGTAAATTATTCTAGGGGTATTTTAGTCTTTTCCTCCAATAAATTAATAATTTAAAAATTAATTAAGGATCGGGTTATTACAAAAAACCTGAGCAATCAAAACAAAACCCATTTGATAGAAACCCATGTAGATTTAGAAAACACAAAAAGAATACAAGAAGACAACCTATTGGAGTTCGACAATGGAGTTGAGCTTCGAGGTTCAAACCAGCTACTCGCTTAGGCGATTCGGAAGAGAGATTTAGAACATTGGGATCGATGGTGGGTTTTGCGATTTAGAAGAGAGAGATGAGAGGATGAGATGAGTTTCGCGCAAGAGAGTTCAGACATAGAGTGGTGGTGGTCACAGAGCGTCCATTGAGAGAGAGAGAGAGAGAGAGAGAGAGAGAGAGAGAGGCCCAATTTGTATGTATTTATACCTGGTTTTCCCAAAATGTCCAGTCAAGGATGATATTTGGAGGTTTGGCCTTGATGGTATTTTACGGTATTTCCCAATAATGAAACCAATTTCTTTGCCTACACGGCCAAAAAATAACTTTGACCAAAATAAAAATACCGCCAAATTAACCTAACGCCTTACTTTCCCGCCATCAACTACCCCTCTCACACATTTTTTTCCCGCGAAATATCCCTTTTTCCGCTTCTGGCCTTCTCCCAACCCTCTTCTCTCTCTCTCTCTCTCTCTCTCTCTCTCTCTCTCTCCACCTGAGTCTGAAGCGGCCATGGAAGCAAAACACACTTCCATGAAATGGAAGCGACCTTCACCTTCAATGGACATCAGCACCCGCACCAAATCTCAGATCTATCACAACAATCGCTCCGATCTCGTCAGAAGTAGTAACGGCCATCCCGAGCTTCTGAGCCACCAATCGAACCCGAAAAGGCCCAGATCAGTAGAGCCGATAATACAAGGCTCCCTGGATGGCAACATGCCCCTCCACTCTTTGATTAAGGATCTCCGCGTCAAAAGGGTCTTTTCCCCAACCTCTAAGCCCCCTGAGAATCTGACTGACCACCACAAATTTGGGGCCGAATTCGGTTCGTATGAACAAGAAAATGGCCCCAAGTCGGTGAAGAATGGTGGGGTTGAGAGTTCTGGAAATGGGTTTTCTCACTTAGGTCCAGATGTAGATGATTCGGAGAGCAAAGGGACTGAGAGATTGGATATGGGTTTTGTGTCTAAAGCCCGAAGAACAGATCATTTGAGTTTTAAATCTCCGGTGAGAGAAGGGATTGGAGGCATATCATCCGATGTGGAGCAGAGGAGTGGTGATGCGAATCAGGATTGTGTGCAGAAATCATCGGCTGATGTGAAGGAAAATGGTGTTCGTCTCAATTTTGAAAATAAAACCAAATTGGTATGTATAATTATCACTTCAATTTGCTTTTATTGAAGTACTAATGTTTCTTTTTACTGGTATGGAAATTTTGCTGGACTTTGGTTTTAATTGTACCATTTGATTATAAACGTGAGAGAGGATTGAAACATTTATGGGTCATACACGACAATTGAGAAAATTGATGTGTGCCTTATTGTCGTATTATTTGTGCTAATAGCAGGTCCTTAAGCCTCGACAGAGAGTGTTCAAAGCTCCTGGATCATTCGGTTATCGAAGATTGCTTCCATATCTTAAGGCCGAAGATATTTCTTGTAACTGCTTTACTCTCTTACCTTTTTCTGTTGTCAAGATTATCAAATGCCAAGATGAGAAGTGTACTCAGGAAACTAAAAGTTGTAGTACTCTTTGTCCACAGGTGCGCTTGATTTTTGTCAACACCCAAATCTTGATAAAGGTTCAGAAGGAAAACCATTCCAGGGTATGCGGGCTTCGAAAAATCCACCGGGTTCCTTACATCAATTTGATGCCCACAAACTTTCCAGGGAGTATCATACCAGTGGTTCTTCTACTCTGCTAGAAAATGTACAAGTTTGTTTCCAGGAAACATCTAATGGTAATGAGAGAAATTCAGAATCTCCTGAATATGTTCCTGCGTCACCATCTATAACTGTGGTGGATGAGTGTCTGTCAAAGCCACCTGTCGATGGACAGACTGAAAAGTTTGATGTGGGATTTTCTTGTAAAGCTCAGAAGTTAAATGCCTCACCCCTTTCCTCTTCGGCTATGGAGGATTCTCAAGTTAACAAGGATCATGTAATTGACATGCATATTGATTGTGATACACCAGCTGAAGATGTGGGGACTTCTGATAAAGCTGGTACTGGCGAAGCTCAAAATGCGGAAGATATGAATTCCTTGTCGTCATCAATGATGGATGAGCGCTACTCATGCAAGGTTAATGTCATGGGTCAGAACTGTGAGAACTCAAATCAAAATCATATAAACGAGCAGAGAGTTAACAATGCTGGTCTGGTTCTGAATCAGATAGATGACTCAAATGAAGAATCAGTCCAGAGGACACCACCAGATGCTGAAATGTTAGGTAAACTAGAGGTGGAAGTGAAAAGAATTAGTAGAGCGGGATATGTTCTTCAGACTACAAATCAAAGTCTTGGGAAGCCATCCAATGTATTTAATCATACAGATGCTACCTGCGTTGATGTTAAAATTCAGGAATCTACTCCGAAGAGAAAGCAGGTAAGAATTTATCAGACCTTCCAAGTTCTCAGTCTGGCTATCTGTAGAATACCATTTCATTTAGAAAATCATAACTTCCAGTTAACATATCTTTAAATCTTTGGGCATTCTGGTACTAGGAAGAAGCTGGTTGATTAGTGATCTTTTTAAATTTTCATTTATCCTTCTACTAATATAAGTTGTGTTTGTTCTAAAAACAGGTTTTAAATCCATGTTCACGCCTGAAGTTATTTAGGAGTCCAGGTTCAGTCAGCTACAGAAGATTGCTTCCATATCTTTTGGATATCGAAAAAAAAATTCTTGTAAGTTCTACTATATTTGAACTATCTTTATAATCATACAGCATTATAGTTCTGTTAACCTGGGGCCTTTAGTGGATTTAAACTAACCTTTCTTATCATCAATTTTCATAGGTGCAAATACTAATAAGGATTTGGAGCATAGGCTACAGCCCCCATTGACTCCTAATCAGCAAGAAACTCTAATGGATCAATCAAATGATTTCAGGTTTCATTCCGAGCATCAGATTTGTGATCCTGGTACTCTACCAACACCTCAATTAACCAGTGCTAATGGCTCATCCAATTATGGTGGAGATAATCTAACATCTCCTGAACACGTGGCTGCATCTCAAATGTCATTTGATGTACAAAAGGAACAATATGTTCAACAGGCTGCATCAGGTAATCAAAGTAAATTAGAAACTTCCCCTGACATTGTGAGTTTGCGACATGAAAAGGATCCAATCACTTTGTTATGCCCTAGCACTTGTGAAGCTACTTCGATAAAAGATGGTGCAATATCAGTCACAAATTCATCATCTGATTGTCCTGAAGAGGACCACATAGGCTCAAGAATAGCATTGTCCAGTGGGGGAAAGCCATTGCCAGTTCAAGCCGACAGTTTGTGTCAGAACTCATCCCAAATTGATGCAACAGTTTCTTCTGGTATTCATGCAGATGGACTCAGAAAACAAATCCTTAAAAGAAATCCACGAGGATGCAGAGGACTCTGCACTTGTTTGAATTGCACTTCGTTTCGACTCCATGCAGAGAGAGCATTTGAGTTCTCTAGAAATCAGATGCAAGATGCTGAAGAAGTAGCTTTAGATTTGATGAAGGAACTATCAAGTTTACGTAAGATGTTAGAAATGTCAGCTGTTGGTGCAAATACTCCCGTCATGGATTTAAATGAGGTCAGTTTCACTTGAGCTTGAACGAAAGATGCAATTGCAAAATTTTAATTTTCTGGCTCTTGCTGTGCTGAGTCTTTTCTACACTAATCAAAATGTATGATTTCAAGTTCCAGTCCATATTTATTTGTATGCTCGGTTAATACAGCATTTGGTCGCCTGAATTGGATATGCTTCAGTGATATTCACAATGCTTATTTACTAGAATAACTGTTGATTCACAATAGAAATCAAAACTATATTTGATGTTTTGGACTTTCAGTTTCCAGTTGCGTTCCATCACATAGTTTTTATGAGGAATGTGAGATTACCAGGGCAGACCACACAGCTTGAGTATATTTGCTGAAAGCTGGCCTCTAGCCTGTATACAATAAAAAAGTCTCATGCATAGCATGTTAGTATAGAAGTGCAGGTTTTCAAAAAAGTTCAAATTCAATACAGTAGTTCAAATTCAATACAGTAGTACACCGAAGTCGACCAAAAGTATAGTACTCTAACAAACGGGATATGCTCTACTAATTTTCCCAATTCATGTGACATTACTATTGTATTCTGCCAGTTTTTTTTATTTATGGTCATATTGAAAAAACTAGCATTCGGATGTATGCTAAGCAAATGGAAGAATACTTTTCTAATCAAGAAGCTTGAAGAGCATTTACACCAGTTTAAATTAGATTTTGCATCGTTTACGTGCCCAATTCAATCCCCTGAATCTTGGGCTCTTGTTTTTAGGTGTTACTAAATTAAACAACTTCTAATCTACATCTGCTCAAAATGTTACCATCTGGTTTGAACTTTTCATTCGGAAAACCAAAATTCTTAGGCCTTCTGGATGTTATTTTTCTGGCAGGCATTCATTGCTTTTCTTTTCCGAAACCAAGAAAGAATCTTTTCAAGAATCAAGAGATCTTTCTTTCTAGACATAGCACTTTTGCTATTGAACAATTTATTATTTTCAGTTACCTTTTCTCCATGATTATTCAAAAGTATTCTTCTTTGATTTTGCTCTTCGACTATGGAATTCTAGAATTAGTTTCTATTGATTTCAGGTGAAAGAAGCTTGCAGGAAAGCATCTGAAGCAGAAGAGAATGCAAGAAAACGTCTTGATGAAATGAATTATGATCTCAACATTCACTGCAGAATCACAGTAAGTGTCCCAAATACTCTGTAAGAAAGTATTTCTAGCATGTATGAAGTTCTTCTGTTGTGTGTTTATACCCAAATTAGGTTTTTAAGCATCAAGTGTTAGCTAAATTCATTTCTTACAGTGCGTGCATGGACCAAAGGTCACATTTGCAAATTACGTAGAAGAAAAGTCATCCCAAAAGCAAACTTTTCAAGCAACTAGTCTCAAGCCCTGAGAAAGAAAGAGAGTGGACTGAGAAGCTGCTTATCAAAAGAACGCAAAGATGAGATTGTTTTATCTGCATTTGTGTAGCCATTGTTACACTCTTATAGATTCAAGTAATACTAATGTTTCAGATTTCTGTAAAAATTCCTTATTCATTTGAATTTTGAATTTTTAACAGCTTTAACTTTAATTATGAGTTTCTTCTTCGTCAGCTTATAGCCGCTGAATTTTTTTTCTTAATAATTGACCTTGCAATAAAGAAATACTCGGTTTTTCTATTGTTTTTAAGAAATAGTATAGCAAACATAAATACTCGTATTGAACATGTATGTACATATATTTTAAATAGTATAGCAAACATTAAATACTCGTATTGAACAAGCATGTATTTTCCTGTTTAATACACGTATATTTTCAATATAACACAAAGATTTACATATTATGCACATAATTCTCATATATTATTTAATACAAATAATATATATGAAACATTTAAATAAATTATATTAAAATATTATATAGTGCCTGACCTTTTAAGTCATAATTTACCAAAAAAATTTTGAATAAAACACGTATGTATTTTATTTGTATAGCAGCCGGCTATACCCAAAAATATCTATAAAGGTTACATTAATGCAACTAGGAGGGTTTTTTTTTCCTTAATTTTTTAATTAAATAGTATAGCCGAACGGCTATAGTCGGTTTTTTTTAAAAATTTAAAAGAAATCGTATAGCCTGGCGGCTATACTCTGTTTTTAATTCTTTAAAGAAACCGTATAGCCACACGGCTACACCCAGGTTTTTCATATTTTTTTTTAAAATAAATGGAATAGCCGACCGGCTATACCCTTTTCAAAAATTTAATTTAAAGAAATAGTATAGCCGCCCGGCTATACGTGGTTTTTAATTTTTTTTTAAAAAAGAAATAGTATAGCTGAATGGATACACTTGGTTTTTTCAAATAGTATAGCCATACGGCTATACTCTATTTTTTTTTAAAAAAAAAAATGCAATAGTATAGCCTACCGGCGATACTTGGTTTTTCTATTGTTTTTAAGATATAGTATAGCAAACGTTAAATACTCGTATTAAACATGTATGCATGTATTTTTTCTATTTAATACATGTAATTTTTTACAATATTTTCAATAATACACCAAAGATTCATGTATTATACACATAATTCTCACATATTATTGAATGCAAATAATATATATGAAACATTTTAAATAAATTATATTAAAATATTGGTTATTGCCGTGAGGTTACGTATTTTATTTAAATTTTTTTGGCAAATTAAAAGCCGGGTGACTACGTGGTTTTTTGTAATTTTTTTTAAAAAAAAGAAATAGTATAGCCGCATGGCGATACACTGTTTTTTCACAATAAATAGCCGCTATACTCGGTTTTGTCAAATTGTATTTAAGGAAATAGTATAGCCGGGCAGCTATACTCTGTTTTTCAATTTTTTTTTATAAAGAAAAAGTGTCTCCGCACGGCCATACTCAGTTTTTTAATAATTTTTTTAAAAAGAAATCTTATAGCTGTGGGGCTATAATTTGAGATATTTAGTGATATACTAATTCTTAGCATTAATAATATAGATAAACCCTACACCATTGAATTTTTATAAATAAACACAGAAAAAATCCAAAAAATGACAACAGCTATAAGATATATAACTCATCACTGTAAGTGGGGGAATTCGATGATTTCAACTTATTCACCTAATATTATACAAAACCATTCACATGTTAGTCTGACAAAATTAAATACTACAATTTATATTTTTCAAATACAAACACTTATAACTTATAGAATCTAAAAACCATTGTGGAAACAATTCACGGTGTTTCTGGGCAACCAAATGTGATGGATGTTCTCGCTTCATCATCTCTTCATGCTCATCTAAGTATGCTATTATCTCATTACAATTGTTCAGTACGAACCAATGTGCTACCTCCATGTCATTTCTAGAAAACGACTCTCCTCGTCCAGGATCTCCAAAGGGTCGTGTGCTTTGGGCAAAAACATAAAGTTTTTCATTTCTCATACCTCCGTCATTATTGCGCTGAGGACGATTGAAAGCCGTCTCCACATCTTTTAAATACATTCCGCAGAAAGTAAGCGACTCATATTGAACCCAAGCCTCTATAATTGATCCTTCGGGCCTCGCCCTGTTGCGTACACTTTTTTTCAGCTCTTCGAGAAGCCTGCCAAAATAAAACGATATGATACAAATTAGCAAGCCTGTGATAATGATGCATACACAAAACGATAAGGATTATATACCTTTCTATTGGATACATCCAGCAATAGTTGACAGGACCAGCAAGCAATGCCTCTTCTGGGAAGTGAACCATCACATGGATCATATTTGTAAAGAAAGCTGGAGGGAATATCATCTCAAACTTGCATAGGACTTGGACAATGTCATGCCGCAACTAATTAATGTCTGTCTTTCGCAATGTTTTCGCCGTGAGTTGGGAAAAAAATCTGGACAACAACATGATTGGCTTGACTACATCTTCCGGCAATAGGTGTCAAATACCCACAGGAAGTAGGCGTTGCATAAACACATGCCAGTCATGGCTCTTCAGTCTAGTAAATTTACCCCCGTCAACATTCACGCAACGTGCGATATTAGAAGCATACCCATCGGGAAACTTTACAGACGATACAAACTTTAGAAACTCTTTATTGTCATTCGGTTTCATAGAAAAGAATTCAAGATCTCTTCTAGCTTTATCACTGTCCTTATTCATCCATAAACCCCTTCGTATGCCCATTCTTTCTAAATCAAGACAAGCTTTGATCGTATCCTTTGTCTTGTCCTCGATATCTAGAATCGTGCCCACCAATGTGTCGAATACATTTTTCTCAACATGCATCACATCTAGATTGTGCCTCAATTTGAGTTTCGACCAATATGGGAGCTCAAAAAACATAGGCTTGTGCGTCCAGTTCATATGTGTAGAAGGTCTGATCCGACTAACTGTTTTCCCGAACGGAGTAAAATCCAAACGGTTAAGCTGTTCCAATATCTCATCACCGGACCATTCTCTATGTCTGAGGCGACGCTCTGTATTCCCGTCAAATTCTTTATATTTTTCCCTCCACTCGTGGTTCCATGACAACCATCTCCGATGACCAAGGTAACAAACTTTTCCAGTGTACAAACCAGAAGTTACATCTTCCTTTGCATACAGGACATGCCATTGTGCTCCACCCAGAAACCATTGCAGATGCTGGGAAATCATTCACAGTCCACATAACTGCTGCCCGCAAAGTGAACATCTTCCCAGTTGATTTATCATACATGCGGACATCGTTTGTCCACAAATCCTTCAGCTCATCAACCAGTGGCCTTAAGTAAACATCGATTGACCTGCCAGGATCCTCAGTTATCAAAACAGTCATCATCATGTATTCTTTTTTCATGCATTTCCAAGGCGGCAAATTATATGGGAATATGAAAATCGGCCAAGTGCTGTGGTGTTGGTTTGGAACCCCATACGGATTGAATCCGTCAGTGGCAAGTCCTAATCTAACATTTCGTGGATCAGCAGCAAACTCGGGGAACGTTCGATCGAACTCTTTCCATGCCTCCCCATCTGCAGGATGTCGCATCACATCATTGTCTACCCGTTTTTCCTTACGCCATCTCATGTCTGTGATAGTATGCATCGACATATACAATCGTTGCAACCTAGGTTTCAGGGGCAGATAACGCATGAATTTTTGAGGGATCTTAGTCGTTATATTCTGAGATGTTGTTTTGAACCTCGACTCATTGCATATAGGGCATGTATCCAATGTTTCATGCTATTTATAGAATAACATGCAATTGTTTTTGTAAGCGTGAATTTTTTCATAACCCAATCCCAGACCATTCAACACCTTCTGCGCGTGTTTATGGTCTTTCGGCAAGCAGTTGTCCGTCGGAAGCATTCTCTTGACAACCCCCAAAAAGTAATTGAAACAAGGTTTGACATATGATACTTTATTTTTCCGTGCATTAGCTCCACAATGGCCGTGAGAACGGAAAAGCTCTCGCACCCCGGGTATAACTCTTGGTTGACATTTTTTAATAATTTTTCATATTGTTCAAACTCCGCACTGTCTATTGGTGTAGGCACATCATCTTCCCCTTCCTGATTGATGTTGGTCGATGCAAATGGAAAAACATCCTGTATAATATCCATGACTTCATCATTAGGATCCACAATAATTTCAACATTGGCCACTCTTGTGGCATTTGAAGACGAGACATGGTCTAATTGTTCCCCGTGAAGGTTCTAAATGCTATATGTCTCAATCATTCCATTTCTTACTAAATGAAATCCAACATTTTCAATTGTCTCCCACAACGTGTTGTTACACCTCCTACAAGGACAACAAATTCTAGTTGCACCCGGGTTGTGTCTACGTGCAAACTCAATAAAATCCTGGATTCCATCCAAGTATTCGTTTGCGCATCTATTCGGGTTCTGTATCCACTTTCTGCTCATAATTCCTGAAACCACAATCACAACACAACAATCACAACAACTTCATATGAAGTTATAATGTCACCTTATGCCTCCGGTAAGGGCCCTATCCCATTCGGGAATGTATAGTCCTGCCACGTAACCTACAGCTACATGAGATTAGATTTCAACGTGGATGAATTTCAGCAGCATCTCGATATAGTTCTTGAGGTGGGCATATGTATAAATACCTATGTACCACCCGAAGAACGTATTGAGATGACACCGAAATCTTCACAATCGAAACCTAATCCTGTAGCCGTAGATTACGTGACAACACTATGCATTACCAAACTGTCCAAATAATGGGACAATTCAAGAATTAATTGGACCGCAGTCATGCATTACGCATCCATGCACAAAATCCAACTAATCTCGAACGGGAAACTAAGTGTTACTAAACATAAAAATAAAAGTACGAAGTTAATTTCAATTAACTTCGTATATCACAACATAATATAAATATAACTTCACAAAAAAATTTTAAACATAACAAACTAACTTTAACATTATTAATATATAAAACGAATAAAATACCTTCTCAATCGTTCTCCACCAATAGCTAAGTACAAATATCCCTAATGAGAACAAAATAAATAGCGTTGGTACAAATTTAAATTAATACTTTTAAACTAACAATGAAAAATACTTACCCAATGAATGTATTGAAGTCCCAGCAGCGGCAGAGAGGTTGAGAGAGAGGCAGAGGCAGAATTTTGTTTTTTTTTTTTGTTTTTTTCTGCCTCTGCAATGGCAGAATTCTAATATGAAGAAGAAGGACTTTGCGCGACGAATCAATAATTTCGTCGCGCAAATTGCCGTCGCGAAAAACCCAATTTTCTATGGCACAAACCAAATTTTTCGTCGCGCAATCACGTGCCGACATCAAACTTTGGAGCAATGCATTTTCGTCGCACAAACTTTTGTCGTGCAAAAACAACATTCCGTCGCGCAAAAACCACCATTCGTCGCGCAAACGTGAAACTTTACGCGATGAAAATTATTTACGTTGCGCAAAAAAAAATATCCCACCCAGGTGTTTTTGGCGCCAAAAATAAAATATCCCTTGTTTTCTTACGCGACGAAATATCTTCCCGTCGCGCTAAGCTGTCTTTTGTGATGAATAGTTTCGTCGCACAGGTTTTTACCACCAAATAAAGGGACCCACTGTTTTCTGTCTATTTTTGCGCGACGAATTTTAGAACCTTCGCGCTAGGTTGTCTTAAGCTACGATATTCCTCGTCGCGCAAGTGTTTCGCGCCAAAAAAAATTTCCCGGCTATTTTTAACTCACTTTGTGTGACGACGAATTTGTTTGTCGCACAAAGACATTTTGTGAGACGACAAATTTGGTCACGCAAGTTTTCAGTGGTATGCGCGACGAATATTTTTTTTCATCGCCCGTGTGCGTTTTGCGCGACGAATATTTCTTCGTCGCGCAAACTTTCGTTGCGCAAATAGTAAAACGTAGTAGTTTTAGTTGATTAAGGTGGTAAACCCCTTCATGTTTCTATTTTTGTGATTTTTTAAAAATGAAGAGCTAAAATGAAACAAATTGGCTATATTTCCTGATGTATAATTTTACTACCTGAAAATTAGATAGTTAAATTCAAGAAATAAACTTGCAAGCTCACAAGGTTAATGCAATATAGCCAAGGCAAGTACAAGGTCATTCCCACAGAGACTGATTCTCAAGTTGTTGTGAATTATAAACTAATTTAAATCTTAAATTACTCTACACACCCTAACTAATAAACTTAAAACTAATGACTCAACTAAAACTTAATAAAATAGTTTTCAAAGTTGGTTTTGAAAGATTTTCTTTAAAAGAACTTTGAAAACAAGAAAATTAAAAGATAAGATAATTAAGAAAAAACGTGAACTAAATAAGTTAGTGAATGATTTTAAAGAAGCTTACCAAGACAACAATTTCACCACAATTCCTCTTATCCAAAGGCATGCATACTATCAAAATTCCCAAGTTATGTTGATGATTAGTTCTCCAAAATTATGATTAACTCTTTTCACAACAATTAACCACTTCTTCTTACACACAATTGATCCTTGGCATCAGGCATAAATATAAACATATAAAAAGACCTTAGGTTCAATGAGAACTTCACACAATCACACAAACCCCTAAGAGTATGGTGTTTACCTTAGGCGCATTCATGAATTTAATCACAAGAAGCAAAACTCATATTAGGCATGACGTATACCTTAACATGCATCAAATTACTTAACCAAAAACCTAGATGGTAGCTAAGCATCAAGATCATTAGTTAAGAAAATAAGCACAATGATTAAATTTCAACAACATGGAAATTCTAATAGCATAACATAACTAAGCTTTGAATAATTAGAGAAGGGTTACATTGTGCCTTAGTAAAAGAAAATTAGTTACTCATAATCATGGTAACAAAGCAAAAATAAAACAGGGAGAAAGAGATAAGAAAACCCTTAGAGTTTAGAGGCACGGTCGCTCTTCTTTGCTCCATTGTTGAATTATGAAATTTCTGGTATATCCTTTGAGCCCCGTGACCTCCCCTCTAAAAAGAACCTAAAACCTAGTTAGAATGGGGCTAAACAAGTGGCCTTACACAAAGACTTGATTTCCAAGTCAGTTCCTAACTATAAAAGGTAATTGAAACTAAGTTTCCTAAAATTTTCAGGAAACTGCACGTGATCCTCTTTGAGAATGCGATTTGAACACATTCCTAACCTCCAAAAATTGCGTACGACCACTCTTTGGAAAGCTCTGGATATCTTCTTTTCATCCATATGTCGTGTGCCTCAATCCGATGTCGTATGACTGAGTTATGGCCAAACTACCCTTGCTGACTCAGTTTCTCCGAGAATTAGTCTAGGCTGAGTTGTCTAATTAAAAATGGGCACCTTATTAACAGTCTTCAAAATTATGAAAATATTCATGGACGAACTTCAAGATGCTATCTTCCATCTCTAATTGGAATCATGTCAAACTCTATTATGAGGAATATTTGAGGAATTTATACATTTCGTGGCTCCTAAGCTGAAAAACTAGAAAATAACTAAAATCAGCAGCTTTAGTCCAAATTAATTCACAAAACTAAGTAAAAAGGATATAAAATCATGTGAAATTATGAACATATCATTTCCTTTAGTATCTTTTTTGGTTCAACTACATAAATCTACCCAAATCTTTATGTCATTTTCCGATTAGCTATGAACTTCTCAACATTTTCAAACTCATACATGAACTCTCGAAAAACCTACATATTCACCATTATTAGCCAATCCGGTATTAAATGTTAAGTACCTACGTGGGTCCCACATTTCACTATTAGGGCCCATTTAAGATTGCTTCAATAGGCAATACTCTTGCTCATAATTGGTCAATTTTATTTGAAGCTTGTTAGAGCATCTTCAACCAATATGTCAAATTGCCACACATACATGAAATGGCAAAAATTAAAGGTTAAAGTTGCTCCACCTAAATACCACCAAAACTTTTAATTTTTATTTTTAACCACCTAAACTTTGTAAAGTATTGCAATTCACCACCTATATATAACTCCGTTAAAGTTTCCGTTAAATCAAGTGTAACTTTTAAGGCCATTTTCGTCAGTTTCACTATAACTAAAACACACATAATTTAAACATTAAAAAAAAGAAAAAAGAAAAAAGGAGCTGACCTAATTATCCCACGACCTCCACCACCCCTTTCCAACATCAATTCTCCCGCATTGCTCCGTATCTCTCTACCACTTGATCTCATACTGCAATGGTCGTATCATTGAATCAGTTGCCTTCGTGAGAAATTATAGAGTAGGACCGTATCACCACGTCAGCTGGTGATACTCCCACTCAAAATATGCCATGTGTCTTTATTTTTTAACAATTCATACTTTATTTTACAACTGGACATTAACCTAATTTTTACCCTCTAAAATAAAATTAAGAAATAAACAATAGAAAAAAAAAATTAAAACATAGCCACAGCCCACCCCAACACGCCTACCCCGCACCGCTGCTCTGGTCGCCACCCCCCTCCCTATCTTTTATCTCTCTCTCTCTCTCTCTCTCTGTGTGTTGCCGTTCTTCAACTTTCTCAACCTTTTGGTGACTACCCTAAGATCCATATATATTTTATCATTGATGAAGGTCTCTCTAGCATATGTGAAGAAGGTTGAGATGGGAGGTGGGTCTATAACAAACGAGAAATTATAGAGTAGTATCGTATTACCACGTCAACTGGTGATACTCCCACTCAAAATATGCCATGTGTCTTTATTTTTTAACAACTCAAACTTTATTTTACAACTGGACATTAACCTAATTTTTACCCTCTAAAATAAAATTAAGAAAATAAACAATGGAAAAAAAAAGCATAGCCACAACCCACCCCAACACGCCTACCCCACACCACCGCTCTGGTCGCCACCCCCTCCCTCTCTCTTCTCTCTCTCTCTCTCTCTCTCTCTCTCTCTCTCCTCTCTCTCTCTCTCTCTCTCCTCTCTCTCTCTCTCTCTCTCTCTCTCTCTCTTCTTCAACTTTCTCAACCTTTTGGTGACTACCGCAAGATCCATATATATTTTATCATTGATGAAGGTCTCACTAGCAGATGTGAAGAAGGTTGGGATGGGAGGTGGGTCTATAACAAACAGGCTACAAATCGACCAGCATGAAATTGATATGGAAAGGGTAGATTGTGTTGGGTATTATATTGGATCTAATAAACTCCATCAGATATTAAGATTCATTGACAATGAAGATGAAGTTTCCTGGTTGCAAAAATTTATTAGGCTATGGGGATTTGGCTTTCTTACTCGTGTGACTAATGACTGTTGATGGAAGAAGACGACAGAGGGGTGGTGTGGGGGTAAGGGTTGGGTTGGGTTGCTAGGATTTTCTCTTTTCTTTTTTCTTTTTTCTTAAGTTTTTTATTTTTCTAATTTATTTCAATGGATAAAAATTAAATCTAGCTGTAACAAAGCATAAATAATTTTTTTTTAAAAAAATTACAAATGGCATATTTTGAGTGGGAGTATCATCAGCTGACGTGGTAGTACGGTACCATTCTATAATTTCTCCAATTGGAGAGGGTGGTCGAAGGGGTTAGTGGGGACGAAAAGGTTTTGGAATGGTTTGGGAAGTCATGGGATCTTATCTTGACTTTTTATTTATTTATTTTTAAATTCTGTTTGTTCATTTTTAAATTGAGTTTTTTACACTAACACTCCTTGAGGTTTCTTGTATTTTCACAAAACCCTCTTAGGTCTCAAACATTACAGAACACCCAATGAGATTTCAATTTGTTTTCATCACAAACCCCTTTTCGTTGATTGTTTGTCAAAAAAAATTGATGATTTCATTGAAAACAAACTTATGCAAATGACAAAATTAATCTCAATGAAGTATATGGAATCTAATCTCAAAGGTCAACTTTGTCATTTGGAGATTTTTTTTTTGTATAAAATCATCAATCTTTAGATGAAAAATCAATGAAAATGAGTTTTGTGAAAACAATTAAAACCTCAGGGGGTGTTCGTGTAATTTCTAAAGCCTAAAGGAGTTTTGTGAAAAAGCCAAAAACCTTAGTGAGTGTTAGTGTAAATAACTCTTTTTAAACTTTTAGTTATGGGATTTGAAAAGCTTTTTCCATTCAAAATAAAAATGATGGAAATGCCCTTAAATAAAATATCACACATGCAGTATATGACTTGATTTAATAGAAATTTTAATGGAGTTAGACATAGGTGACAAATTGCAATACTTTACAAAGTTTAGGCAGTTAAAATTTAAAATTAAAAGTTTAGGTGGTAATTATGTACATGGCATTTGTGTAAATTTCCCTATATTTTATCTAAGACATAAAGGTCAGTCCTTTCCGCGGATGAATGTTGCAAGAGGGAAGCACCTAGTTGTTATTTTGTCCTTGACAAGAGTATCTAGACCAAAGATATTGGATGCCCAAAGATACTATTGGGATGGTATGGCAGATTGTTTAATAAAAATGGGTTTTGGTTGTTCAAATTAAAGTGCTACAACTTTTGCCTCTTGAACAAATTTTTGTAGTATTTTGTGACGTTAATTTGGCCGTTAGTGTGTTTGTAATTGTGGAATGGGTCTTGTGTGCACCTAAAAAACCCCTGCTTTTGTGTTTCGATCCACTTTGCAGAAGCCCAAAAAAATAAACCAGACCTGTTTTTCTGTTCCATTGAATTACAAGAGCCTAAAATGAAATTTTATTATATGAAACAGATCTTAAAACATCACCAGAATCTCACAAAGAAAGAAAGAAAAGATTTCTTTTATTATTTAACATCAATATTTTACATATAAAATAATCCCCTTCAATGTCTGCACTCAACTGGAGGGCCTTGTGGGAAGCGTTTTAAGTCGGTGCAATAGTTGTAAATCATGAAATATTTCTGAACCCATCTGAGACGTCTTCTGCTGGGAGCATCAAGCGCATTGGTATGCCACTCAGCGAAGGAGTTGGATGTTTTCGATTCTATGACATTGAAATTCCTGTAGTATGCTGTGAACGGTGCCTTTGACCAGTCCGTTTTGACCAAGCCTCCTCTGGTGGCCCAGTCGTCGGCGTTCCAGAGGCTTGAGTAAATCCTCATGGGTTGGCTCTTAGGGAATGGGACACCAACTGATTCGGCGTTGTTGAATACTCTAATGGGAATGTTGTCAACCAAGAAGCTGCAAGTAGAGAAGCAATAAACCCAATTAAAACCCAATCTATCTACTTATTATAATTCTGGATATGAGTTATACTTTTGGTGAAACAATTAAAACCCCTAAACCTAATCTTAAATTGTTAACCTGGTTTATTTTTAAGACCAAAATCCGACATCGCAACATGCACGAGACAAATTTGACTTTAGAAATTAACTGGTTAACGAAAATTGAAAACATTTGCAACTACATAATTGAAATTGTCAAAATTGAAGTTCGACTTTTGTTGTTTCGATTTCAAAACTTAACGAATTCCTTTTTTATGTTATATGTTGTATGAATGGGAACAACGAGAGTCGAACTTTTGACGGGCTGAAAACCTCCAACATATGTTAAAAATGGTATGGAGGCTAAACCAATAAGTATAAATGTTAGTGAACTTATGAATGGATTAACAGTTATTTCTTACATTATATGTTGGGGTTTCCAGATGACGGAGTAGGTGTGAAAGTTTCTTGAGGGATTAAACCAGAGATAGAATTGTTGCTCTCTGTTTCCCTTGCCCTGAGTGAAAACATTGGTGTGCAAAACGTAAGGATCGCCACTGAGATTTCCCAAGAACTCGAAGTCGATTTCGTCGTGGGTAGGGCCTTGAGAGGACAACTACATGAAAACGAACACAAACACAAACAGTTGATTAAATTTCTTGTCTGCATACAGTAAAACAAGAGATCTTTTTGTTGCCTCACTATCATGCAAGGGGTAAGGGGTTAATAATTATGCATGCAAATATGTAGTTGAAAACGAACTTTTTAACCTCGAGTGAATTTTGACTTAGGAAGCCAAATGGTTCTCTCGTGAATGTATAGTAACTTTTTTTTTTTAAAATAAAAAAAATTACAGAATTTATCCACAAACTTGAACTTCTTTTTTCTGTCTCTTTCCTTTGAAGATGTTTCAATACGACGAGCATAATAATTCAAGTGGGCCATTAGAATTCATGTCAAGCTACATATACGTAGAAAAATGTGTGACTTTATCCAAAAGAAAAAATAAAATAAGACCAAACTTTTTTATGGGTCCCACGTAACATGGACCCCACCATGTCACATAAGAGAGGTGGAAAATTAAAAAATTGAGTTATATAAGATATAAAAATAATAAATAATAAAAAAGGGAAAATGTGCAAGTTTCTTGTTTCTTTTTCTTTTTCTAGTAAGAGTGTATGAGTATTAAGACATACGTAATATGCAGTGACGGTGCCAGCAGAGTTGCCAGGAACAAGCTTAAGCTGCATATCAATCCTCCCAAATAGGTACTCTTTCTTGGACTGAAACCCAGAGCCAGAAACTTTGTCCAAGGATAGAGACAGAAGCTGGCCTCCCTTGAATATTTTGGGTCGGTTTCCTCCCCATGTTAGGTCAAAATCTTGATGAAAGTTTCCAGCATAAGTTGCTACCATTAAAGAGCTGAAAACTAATCCCACCAACAAAAGCAAACACAACCCATTACTAGAAATCCCCATTTTTGCAGAGAGAGAGAGAGAGAGAGAGAGAGAGAGAGATGGTTTGTGATTGTGTGATAGGGTTTTGGAAAGAGGTGTATTTATATAGGAAGGAAGAGAGCCAGGTTGTTGTGTAAAGGAGGTAATGGTAGGGGTGGGGCACTTGTGAGCAATATTAACTGGAGGAGCCAAACACAAAAGGAGAAGCCAGCTAAGCACAAAATGAAAGCTGGAAACTTTTGTTTGGGCATGAAGGGAGAGGCTTTAGATTTTTTGGGTTTGTTTTTGGCTGTAGCTAAAGCTTAGCTATTAAAATGATGAATTTGTCCCCAGGATGCATGATGGCTGATTGGTAGGACCTCATCTCTTTTGGTATGATTTAAATTTTGGTGGTGGATGACAACTTGGTGTGGTATGGGAGAATAAAGTCTCCCTAATGTTCTTTGGGACCATCAATCGTGTCTTTGGGAGAGGGAGGGAAGGCTTTCCCATTAGGAATTTGACAGTTGGCAAAATAATATCTGAGTCACCAGCTTCTGTGTCATGAGTGTTTAAAGGACATGGCTTGATTTTTTGAAACAAGGGTTTTGGTTTCAAGCGGCTGTATTTCAATTCACAAAGGGCATTAGTTCAGAAATTGGTTAAAAATTCAATTGTCTTCGGCTGTTTACAGCATATATATAGGTTTGGTTTTTATGAGCTGCAAGCTTGATTTGTTTTTATTAGGTGCTTGAAAGTGATCTCAGACCTAATGGTCACTGATACATACCATCTCAGCAATTATTGATTCCCAAATCCATATATATCATTTCTAATTTCTCTCTATTTTCTTACAAACACTATTGTATTTTTAAGTGCTATTTTTAATGATTTTGATTTATTGATCAGTGATCGTAAGTTCGAACTCTTATGACACTTTGATAATTAATGTGTGTGAGAAAAACTCCCTCCATATTTTATTAGCGTCCTCACTCTCTCTCTCTCTCTCACTCTCAAAACAACCCATCATGGTGGCCATGGTCCGTCAAAGGAAAGGAGAAGGGCAATTTTTCTTTTTTCCTTTTAAAAAAATTAGGGATGGATAAGGGTGAAATTGGGTTCATAGTACATGAGAAAAATTGAAGGTTTTGAGACCTACTACACCTCAGAGGTGGCAATAAAGCCATCCATTCCAAAGTTGATGGTCCAACATTTGGCAGGGAAAAATCTCCCAAGGGGTCCCTGGAACTGTGGGGACTTTGTATCGGTACTATCACATATTCCATAGCAGCATGGATACTTAGTTATAAAACTTCAAATTTTAAAGTTCTACTTCAATTATAGCATTTTCTTACACTTGGCAACCTCTTGTGTTTTAATGTACGTACTAGTTTGTGTTCGTTTTGTGAAAAATAATCCCAATTGGGCAATGAAGCCAATCGATCTAGAAAGAAAGTGTTTGAAACTTAATAACGTTCAGATCAATTCAGTTAAATTGCGCTTGATCGCATCAACTTAGTCGCTCGAGCTATAAGCCACAATGCAATGGATTATTATAAATTTATATGACATGAGGACCTTGCTAAAGGCCAAGAAATAAGAAATTATGATGCTGGTGGTGACAAGAAGTGAATTAATATCATTAACAATTCTATAGCATATATTACAGACATCTATAAATGCCCTATTGCTGGATGCAATAATATTATTCTGAGGACTGATTAGCTGTTAAACATGATTCATGTCTAATATAATTAACCTGATTCTCTCACTTTGCAACTTGTAGTAGGAAGAGCGAGAAAAGTAGGCTAGTAAAGATGCCTATTCATTTCTTAACCTTTATGATATCTCTCCTCCTTTTTTCCCTCTTTCTTGATAGAGATATCTCTCCTTCCTCTTAACATGAGCTAGCTAGACCATACAAAAGGAGCAATTCTATTCTTATTCAAACATTTAATTCCGTTGGCAAAGTGACTTTGGCTTCTTCAAATTAAATGACATGCATATAGAGTGATGAGTTTGGTAATTCATTATTTGGCAAATAATACTCTTTTTCTATTTTTTAACAAACGATAAGATATATATAATGTACATTTTATAATGGATACACCCAAACAACGGATCAATACACCCACAAAAAAGTTATACCACAATTAGGTATCGAACTCATCACAATATATATCGTTTTCGCCATCCATCTTAGTTGAACGTACCTGAGATTTCCTCCAACTAACTGACGACAAATACCACTAAATCAAATACTATTTAATCAATAATACTCAACTCAGCTAATGTGTATACATATAATATATGTATGAGAAGGACAATGGCTCAAAATGGTTAAAGCTAGCTGTTAGGACTATTGAATGGACTGAGCTGGTGATAGATACATTGCTGTTCTCTTTGTTAGTAATTAATTATTTCACCAAGAAAAAGGAACTCCAGCTCAAGCTTATTAAAGTATGCAAGACACACTTTGGGGTAACATCAAGGCCTTCCCTTGCCTCATTGAAGCTAATGATTACCTTACAACAAATCTTGGCTTTATGGAGTAAATTGCATATAAATAAGTTATGGAAATTTAGGGTTGCCACCCATTATATAGGCAAGTTTGATGATTAATGCTTGACAAATTAGAGCTCTTAAAACCATGTGTGCACCATAAATGATCTACTGTGAATTATTTTAATGTTTAGTTTTCAGTTTTATGTGAAACTTGGAAATTGATATATATATATATATATATTTTGACGTCAAATTGTGAATTTGAGATCATAGAATGAAAGTGCATGTTACAAAGAGTTCGTAGTAATTTTTGGTGAATCTTTTAGAATTATGATAATTTTTTTGTTTGTTAGTGAATTTTGGAGATGAAGTTCAAATTGTTTTAAAAAATAAGGGTGATTTTGAAAACTATATTTCACTTTTTTGAAAATTGAAAATGAAATTTGTTACTAAACATGTTTTCAGTTTTTTTTTAAAAAGTAAAAATTGAAAATGAAATGGTTATCAAACAATAACAAAACCAACTCTAATCATTTAATTATGGTAGGTTGTTAGTATAATTATACTATTACTCTATGTGTTTACTTTAATCATTTAATCTAATCATTTAATTATACTACATTTCTATTACCAAATATTTTAAAGCATTTGTTCCTTTTGCAATTATATTGGTGTGTAGTTGTCATATGTGCATATATCATTGGCTGGCAAACTCAACAAAATATTTGGGAGGCATGTTTCATACTTGGTGCTGTGAACCCAAAACTAAATTCTTTTAAATTGGGACAAATCTCACCTTTTTTTTCAACAAATATGGAGGTGCCAATAAAATTCTGGAATGTTCAATGGAGAGATGAATAGGTTAAGAGCCACAGGCTCCACCAACCGAATTAGTCATGAGCCAAGATAGGGTAGAGCGGCGGTGCGTAGTTGTTAGTATTTATTAGGAGTGGAGTGGGGGCATATGATTCACGAAGATTTGTTTGTCAAAAGAAATTCTTTATTTTTTTGAAAAAAATAAAGAGAGATTCCCTTTGTAATTGGGATTCTCACATTCGACGCGTGATTTTTTTTTTTCCAATGATTTGAAACAGCCATCGCCATCACTCCATCACTCATCATCTAACTACTCTAATTATTAAGCACTTTGAACGACCACTTTCAAACTCCTATTCTCCAATAACAATAATACAAGAAGAATAATAGTAGGCAATCGACTTTGACATATTATCTGATTATCATAATAAAAAATTGTATTTACACATAAATCTGCGAAACTAACACTTTTAATTCATAATTTGTAATTATAAATAGCATCTCCGATTGTCACATGAAGATAAAATGGCAAGAATTAGACGGACGAATTCCCTCGTGTTCAGAGCTGGCCTAATCATGATTGGAGGTGTAACCGCCCTGAGCCTCGGCTCATGATATAGCCCCTAAAAAATTATTTATTTAAATGCAGTCATATTTGCGTAACTGTATATATAGATAATAACGACACCAATACTTCACACCTGCAACAGAACAGTGGTGAAAGCTGTTTTAATTCATACCCAACCCAAGTTGGAAACCCAGCAAAGAGCATGGTTTTATTAAGTAACTTCAGCTTTTCATTAATTTTTTTCTTCAATCATATTTTATACACATAAAATAAATGACATTTTGGAGATGCCTAAACTTTTTTTTTAAGGTTATAAAAATTTTCATTTTTTAATATTTTGCACGCGCAAAAAAAAAAAAAAAAAAAATATATATATATATATTTTTTAGCTACTACATAGGGGAGACGATGGTGGAAGCTGACATGGAGGGAATTATTTTTTTACAAAATTAGTGAAAAACCCAATTCTAGACATGAAACTATAAATATACCCTACACTATTTAAAACATAGAAACACACCCAAAAAATACCCAAAACTGATAACTGTTACATTTTTTAGTTTAATTACTTAAATGAAATACCTTTATTACCCATTTAGTATTAAATTAGTTTTTTGAAAAAATTTTGGGCTCTCTCTCTCTCTCTCTCTCTCTCTCTCTCTCTCTCTCTCTCTCTCTCTCTCTCTCTCTCTCTCTCTCGTCTCTCTCCCTTTGCAGAAACCAGGCCAGCGATATTGGTGCTCCAGCCACATCAGCCACTCACGACGCCGCTGCGAGCTCAAAAATGTCTGTGGATTTCAAGTTTTCCGACGTCGTTTCCGGCAATTCCGGCAATTGTTTCCGTCAATCGAGGTATGAAACTTCATCTATTTTTCGTGTTCTAACTGTTTATGTATGTGGTTAAGATAGATTTTGGAGTTTTGAAAATTAATCAATACACCCTAGTTTGACCGACGGCTTTGGCAGTGTTCTGGATTGGCCACTTTTTGGCCGAGGTCCAAGGCCAAAAATTACTCCCCTTGTTAGTCTGAATATGTTGATATAGGTATTGTAAGGAGTTTCGGGAATTTTTAGCGATAAGTTACCATTTGACTTTGACAGCATGCTTGGTATGTTCGTTTCAGACTCTATTCAGGGTTGTTGGAATGCTAGTAGCATATGTTCTAGCTCCCAAATCTGAGCCAAGCTCCACTTCCGGGTTCGTAATTTTTTTTTCCTTCAAATTTTCCTCCTAATTTTCTTGCTCATTTTCCGTCAATGAAGATATCGATTTCTATGCTTGCTTATAAGAGTTTGATTGGAGAAGTTTCATCTCTCAGCATAATTAGGATTGTGCTATTGAAATCGCATGGTCGCTAGCTATCGTTCAATGCCAGATTATATCATATTAATTCATTTTATTAAATAAAATTACCATAAATCGTTTATGACTGTTCTTGTGTAGGATTTATGGAAATTGTGTTTGTAATTGTTAGCTAAACCATAGAATGCTCATTGTTTTTTCCTTTTTCCTAACAGTTCATCGAGGAAGCAAATTTAACAGTAGTTGTTGGCTTGTGCAATTGAGGTGCAAAGTAAACTTTTTTCTTAAATGCTTTTAGGCTTAAGAATATCATAGGACCACTTTCTGAGCAATTTTATTATCTGCTCAAGATTCTTTGGAGTTGATAACAATTGTTTTCTCTTTCTCACTCTCCAATCTTCTTCCTTTCCTCCCCCCCCCCCCTTTTTTTTCATAATCTATACACCAACTCTCTAAAGCAGAGGAGGCAAGGTTAAAATCTTAGCATCTGTTTTACAGAAGAGAGTATTTGCATGCATGCCTCAGAAGAACCCAAAAAAGCCCAACAAGAAGAAAAAAAAAGCATAAGTAATTTCAGACAAATTATCTGATGTGGTAGAAAATTAGAGTATTGATTTAATGGTTTATGTTCTGATAATGGAATGCAAAATTCCCTTTTCAAATTTTGTTTGTCTCTCACTATGCTCGGTTTTCTAGCCACCAATACCATTTGTTTTTGTGTCACATCAAATTTACTAATCTTAATTAGTAACCATATCCAAGGAAACTGCAAAGGGGTTTGCTCAGTATAAAGTTTGTTGCCATTAGTTAGCAAGGAAGAAGACATTTAATATTTTTTACCAGTGGCAAAAAATGAAAAGAAAATCAAAGCATTGGCTTCTGCAGCTCATAGTGTTTGTTTCTGTCATGGCAGTTTTGGCAACAACTTGTTGCCAGAACAGTCCACCTAGAACAGTTCACCTACAACACTTGTTCTTTCAATTTCAATTGTATTTCAAGGTTGCTGCTTTACGAACATGGGGTTTTTGCTCTGGGTTCCTAGGTTTGTTCCAAAATGTTGTGTTTTCCGTTATGTTTTCAAGGTTGCTGGTTTATGAACATGGGGTTTTTGCTCTGGGTTCCTAGGTTTGTTCCAAAATGTTGTGTTTTCCGTTATGTTTTCAAGGTTGCTGGTTTATGAACATGGGGTTTTTGCAGTTATACATTTTTATCGTACCTATTATGCAAATGAAATATAGCTGTTAGCTTCCAGTAAGTGGTATGAATAGTTGTTATACTGTTCATACTCTGTAATTGAGTTGATTTCTATGACATAGTATTAATAGTGTACTTCTATGACATAGTATTAACAGATTTTCAGTAGCAAAGCATGCTCTATATTTTGCTCATATAGCTGTGCACTTGAAGTTTATGATATGCATAATGTGATTTTCACTAGGAAGATAGTTCTATGACACAGTATTAACAATGTACTTTTTTTTTCTTTTTGTAGAGGGCCTTTGCGATTGCTTCTGGTGAAACTATGGACATTTGAAGGTGGTTTTTGCAAAGGATATCAGATATTTTGCTGGGCTTTTTTTGGGTTTTTTTTTACTTTTTTTGTATGAAATGGTATTAACAATGTTTTTCTATGAAATGATATTAACATTGTATTTTTATGACATGGTATTAACAATGTATTTTATGACACGGTATTAACAATACACTTCTATGACATGGTACTAACAATGTACTTTTTATGACATGGTATTAACAATACACTTCTATGACATGGTATTAACAATGTATTTCGGGCTTGCTGGGCTTATTTTGGGTTTTTTTTGAGTTTTTTGTATTGGGCTTGTTTTAAGTTAATAAATGGCAGAGATGTAATTTATAGGAACTTTAACACTCATTTTTTAGATAGTAAATGGTTTTTGGGTGTGTTTCTAAAGTCTATTCCATATAGGGTTTTTTTATAATTTCATGTCCTATTTTGGGTATATTACTAAAGCTCCCATATTTTTTATGACCAGACTTTGGTGAAGCGTTTTCGTAAAGTACTGTTTATGCGTACTCCAGATCAATGTAATGGTGCAGCTTCGCTAGGTTTGGTTTCAGAGTGGGTTGGGCTCACTATTGGACCAAGTTGGACCAAAATACCTCTTCAATTATTTATTTTTCTGAAGATCTTGTCTATTGACATGGCAGATAACATATTAATCTCGGTTGGAACAATTTTTTCTATTGCTAAAACTATGGGATTTAGGAATATTTGGCCAAAATATCATTAATATCAATAATATCAAGATAATGAAAATTTTGAAGAGTTATTTACTCTAACACCCCCTAAGATTTCTTGGGTTTTCACAAAACCCTCTCAGGTCTAAAAAATTACACAAACACCCTCTGAAGTTTCAGTTCGTTTTCACAAAATCCTTTTTCGTTGATTGTTTGTCCAAAAATTGATGATTTCATTAAAAAAAAAAATATGCAAATGACAAAATTAACGTCAATGAAGTATATGCAACCTAATCTCAGAGGCCAACTTTGTCATTTGGAGAATTGTTTTGTGTAAAATCATTAATCTTTGGATGAAAAATCAATGAAAAGGAGTTTTGTGAAAACAATTTAAAACCTCAGGGGGTGTTCTTATCATTTCTAAAACCTCAAAGAGTTTTGTGAAACACCTGAAAACCTTAGAAGGTATTAGTGTAAATAACTCAAATTTGAACCTTATAAGAACTTTATGTGGTACTAAGTTACTTATGTATGTTACCATGCAATGTATAAAGTGTAAAATATTGTAGTAAATCATTATAAATAAATGATTATGGTGTGTTTAATCTTCTTTCATTAATTACTACATATTTTCTACACTCATAGTTTTTGTCAGCTCGCTATATAATCAACTTAAATCAGTTAAACCCATCACGCAATGCATTTCCTTCCAATTTTATTTTATTTTATAAAGTAATAGATAACTGACTAAATAAACATCCTCCAGAGTTTGAAGAAAGAGTTTTTATGGAACCCTTTTCTCATACCTTCCTTTCGTAATCTGCTTGAGCATCCATAGGCCGCTCGTGTGGTCTAACAGAGTCGGTGTCATTGGACCAACTCCGAAATCAAATGTATTTGTGGCGTTGTTCCAAAAGCACAAAGCTGCTGCAAGTAAGCTTTCATCCCTAGGAGCATCCGACAAGGGAAGCATGATGGCATCATAGATGCCAGGCTTTTCCCAAATAGCTGCATATTGACCATGCGCATCTTCGACCCATGATGAAGACCAAGAAGTTGGACTCTTTTTCACTTCGGAAGTAGGAAACGCTCTATTCAGATTCTTAGTGTACCAAGAATAAAAATTTAGGCATGTTTGACAGTTGTAGGAACATAGAACAGCGCAGTCTTGCTCCATGAGTTTCTTCATGGTTGGTGGGATCATAGTGAAAAATCTCGGACCCAAAGTGAACATTCCTTCATTTAAACGAGTCGGTGCATTGTCATATGTGTCTAGAATGTTACCCAATTCAGTGCGAACTGCTTTGGCATGCTTAACGACATCCGTTTCACAAGTAGGGTTGAAGTTTTGGATTCGGAGGCTAGTTTTGGAGGAATTAAGAAACTGTAGGTTTGGAAAGCACAAAAGGTTGAAACTTGAGGTTGACACAGTTAGGTTTTCTACGAGGCGGATTTCCATTGGAAGTGTACTGAAGCAGGAAATGTTTTCGAATGATAAAGTGGAAGGGGAAATGGCGTGACTGAAGCAATTGAATGGGAAGGCATGTGATTCTCGCAAGTAATGGTCAAATCCATGTAAGATGCATGCGAGTAATCCCAAACGTCACTCACCAAGTCTATTGGGCTTAGGGGGCAATGTTTGGGCCTAGTTTTCGCACAACCGAGAATAAGGCCATATTTGGCCAGTTCATGACTTGGGATTTTAACGTTGATTAAATATTCTGACCAATTTATGGTAAATAATCTAGGAATTATTATTATATGATGATTTCCTAGATTTAAAGGGATATTTATGGGGTTTACTTGGCGTAGAAGACAATCAAGTAATTTAGATTGATTCTCATTGATCCTAATCTAATTTCATCGTGACCTAATAGGAGTTTACTTCCTGCAAGGTTTAGGGTCATCCACTATATAAAGAAGGCGAAGGTTATCCTTCAAGACACACAACTTTTCAACAACAAATTTTACACTAAAGCCAATACTTTTAGTGTTAAAGACATTCATTTCTCTCTGCTATTTGCTCTACCAAGCCTTCATGGTATCGATTGCCAACTAACTCCTTCAGTTTAAGGTCATTCTGGTGGCGCTCTTGTCCTATTCTGACACACAGTTTCGATCCTTACTCGTTTGTCACCCGTCGCTTAGTTCTGTTTTGAACCAAAATTGATAGAAGGTGGTGGCAACTTGTAGTTCTGATCAATTTGTTTTCTGCTTTCACTTGTAATTTCATTGTTTTACTTACTTTTATTGCCATTGCCATTTCCATTGTATTATAGAAATTATGAAGTCCTTAATTATTTGTCTTAAGGCATCGAAAAGAACCTTCATTGATTTAGTTTACCGTTTCAATTACAATTGTTTGATTTTAAGTCATTTACTTGGTGTGCAAGTCTTTTATTTATTTATAGTTATTTATATTTCCGTATACTAGAATTGAAAGGATTACAATTAAGTCATTTGTTTGATTATAAATAATTGTGGGATTTCTAATTTTCCTTGGGTAGTCTATTTACATTAGGATTGATGGGATTTAATTTTGGATTAATTGTTAACAGCGAGGAACATAAGATGACATAGAGAGTGTGCATGGAGAAATAGCTTGAATGAAATGAAGAAGAAGCTTCCCACAAACATCACCTAAATGTGCGGAGAGCTCTAACTTTGTTTGGGCAACAATCAGTATCCACAGGGGATCATTGCAAACATCCATAACTCTAATGAAAAATTGTACTGAGAAAGATCAAATTGCAACACTGCTAATTGTTGTTAACGTTGGTGTTTATTTAACACATATCAGTTTGTCTCCAACTAGCCCCACTTTAGGTTAATGTAAATTCCGACGAGCTAAAGAAATTTATTTGTTCAACAAAAAAAACTGAAGTGCGTAGTTTCAAACTCCAGCAGTTCAAATGCATAACATAATCTCATCCCATTCTACCATTCCAATTTCTTTCAAGTAAAGTTTTCGATAATAAAAAAAATAAAAACAAAAGGCATGAGGTTTGAAATTGCACACAGCACCAAAAGACCAAACACCAAAGACCAAATACTTAACTAGCTTTGACGTATAATTAGTACTCTCGATCTGGAGCTCGAGGTCTACCCCCTGATAATATGTTTTTAGGTGAAGCAAAGCTTGGAATGTGGACACATGCATCTCTCAAGTATTGCATCCCATCAAACTCAACATCCACAAAACCCTTGGAACCACGAGCATAAGCCACCAATTTATCACCATGAAGCAATACGAGCTGCCCATCCCCAAACTTCAACACGTAAGAGGAGTATACGATGTCTACAATATTAAACTCTAGGCTCCAAGACTCCTTAACCCCGTACTCCTTCATCACCCAAAACTCATCCTCTCCATTGAGCGTACAGTTACCGAGAGGCAACCTCTCAAAACCCTAAAATCCAATCCAGATTTCTTAAGGCTTTCCAAATCCCAACGAGGGGGTAGGGGTAACTTCTGGAAATCCTCACTTTCAAGATCAAAGGCACATATCATAGTCCTTGAATGATTAATCCAATGAAGAAACCCACTAAGACAAATCCCATGTTTATACATGAAATGGTACCTACATTTCCCAGTGCTTCTCCAAGTCCCAGAGCCAACAGTCAAAACCAATGCCTCCGGTTCCAGTCCATAACGACCTCGCAACCAAACTATCTTATAGGTACCACTCATGGGACTAAGCCCAAACCCACAAGTAAAATTAGTCATGTTCAAAGCCATCGCTGGCGGTGTTGGAAGAGCCAAACACTCACCAGTGATGGGATTGGATATATAATTAAAAAGAGTCATACTTGTTGTTCATATAGTAGCATTTGTGGAGGCAGAGGAAGCCGTTGCACGAACCCACAATATTCACAATATTAACAACCAGTAGGACAATTGGATATTGAGAAAGCTTCAATACGACATCGTTTGGGCTCGGAGAGGCATTGTCAATGTTGGCCAAGAAGTGGCCCTCACCCTCGGTATTGTAGCTGGATCCTCGGAGCAGAAGACAAGTAGTTCGTGGAAAGTGTTGTTCGGTGAATCGGGGGTCTGATATCAAACGATGCAAAATCTTGAACACAAACATGCATCGGACGATGGTTTTAATTGGAATTTTGTTGAAGATGTCCTCTAAAATGTGGTTTGGTAGTTGGAGAATGCAGGGATTATGATCACCTTTTTGCTTCTTCTTCATGGATGAAACTCTGTCGGTTTTTATTCCTATGGAAAGGAGGGAAGCCTTGGGGAGGCCTAATCCGATGAGGAGCCATTTGGGTGTGATAGGGTTTAGGACTCCTGGAGGATCGCCGGCTGTAAATCTCCCAAGGCATTCGACGGCTGTAAATCTCCCAAGGTACTCGAAGGTGCAAAAGGAATTTAGGGTAATGAAAGCAATAACATTGAAGTCATTTGCTTATCTTTTTTTTTTTTTAGCCAGCAAAGTATAGAACTTCTCATCAAAGAATACATTAACATGAGTTGCTAATTGTGGGAATAGCCCAAGGAGGCAATCGTTCCCAAACAGATGATTTGCCAAACTTATACATATATGAGTTTACACAAATCAGCTTGTCTCTGGAACAACCCCAGTATATATGTTAATGTAAATATTCCATGAGCTGAAGAATTTTTTTTTGTTTTATTTGTTAAAAATAATAATAATAATGCTGAAAGACTTCGACAGTATTCAAATGTATAACATAATTCCATTCCGACGTACCATTCCAATTTCTTCCCAAAAAAACTCAACGTTTTCGAGAGTAAAATAGCAGACATGAAGTTCGAAGTTGAACTTGCACACAACTGGAAAAGACCACACAAATATACATATGTAAACACGAAAATCTTGTGACAAATGAGACAAGAACACGTGTACAAAATAATATTTGTATTTATGAAATTTAGGGTTACAATCTCTGTATTGAATCCTCTCATTCGATCTCCAAAATGTATAAAGAAAATTTGTGTTTGATGCAAGGGTCGTAGAGACTTGATCTTGATCAAACGGGTAGCATAAGGCTTGTTTGGTGTTTGGGATTTTCTAGGGTGGAGGAACCGGCACGTATTTGTTGTGCTTGGTGGCTCTTCCAAAGTGTAGGTGAAGAATGCAGGGAGTTTTCTGCTTCTTCTCAATGCTAGGTTTTTTCTGGCCCCTTCTTTCGTCTTGAGGCCTCCTATTTATAAGCTCTTATAGGATGCTTGACCTAAATCACTTTCCCTATTTAAAACCTTGTTTTGTGGGATTCTGATTTGATTTAAATCAATTCCCATAATCTGGCAATTTAACCAGATTATCTTCAATTGATTGACCTGATTAATATTTGATTTAAATCAAAGTCAATCACAGAAGATTCTTTCTCTTAATTTTGTCTTCATCTTGTACCGTTTGATGCACTCCGTCGGATGTCGCCACGTCACTTTTTGACAACTAATATGATTTTGATGAGTCACATGCCACATGGGCAAATTATGGGGCCCACAATTTAATCCACCGAACCCTAATTATTTTCTCGTCCAATGAGATTTATTACACCAAAATTTCATTGTCTACAAATTGCCCCCACTTCATGATGCATTGTAGACTTGTGCTTTGTCACATGTAGGAGGTGTAGCTTAAAGTGTGTTTCTCCTCCTTTTTTTTTTTTTTTTTTTTGGTATGATATTATATAACCTTAATCCAATAATATCGTAAGATCTTGTGAATCAAACTAGGAACAAGAAACCCTAGCATCACCAGGAGTTTTGATGGTCTTTGGCTTCTTTAAATTGAACTACGTTCATGAATATTGAGATCAACCAAATAGAACTGCAGAAAAACTCCTCTTGTCGGCAAGAAGGTCTACAATTTTGAAGTTTGCATCATCCGAATTCTCAGCAACCAAAGTGGTGAGAGTTGTTTCTTTTCCTTCGTTGTCTGATTCTCTCATATATATATATATATATATATATATATACACCTACCTGCTTGCAGCCAGCGGACCAAGAAAACTAACATTGGAATTTTTAATTTTATGTTTATAGCCACTAGAACCCACCGTTTTGGGCATATCAAGAGACTTCATGGATGAATAGCAAATTCTCAATTGGTATGATGAACAGCAAATTCCCTTGGCATACGAATTTACTATGCTTGCATCAGTTTTTGTCTATTTTGTTCTCTTTTTTTTCCTTTTTTTTTAATAGGGTGGAAAAGCTGGTAGGTTCAAGCCTACGTGCATTGCTGGAGGTCTGGAAGGTTGGCAGGCTTGAGCCTGCATGTGTTGGGCTTGAAGTGGAAGCATGGGGGCACTGACCTTGGTGTGCGACGTGGGCTGGCGCTAGGAGAAGGCGCTAGGCCTTGTGCTGGAGCTGTAGTGAGCGGGCCAGGGGGAGATGCGGGCTGCGCAGGAGAAGAAGGGCTAGGTCTTGGCCTGACGTGGGCCTCCGTGCTGAAACTGGGACTGGCGCTGGCTGGAGAAGTGGGCAAATTGGGCTGCCACCATTCAGCTTGGGCTGGTCCAAGCAGCTTTTTTTTTTTTTTTTTTTTTTTTTTTTTTTTTTATTATTTATATATCATTTATTATTTTTTTATTATTTTTTTTTATTATTATGATATTTATACATATATATATTTTTTACAATAGGTACTTTGAAAGAAAGTGAAGAACGTAGACGTCCTATACCGCTTGGGTTTGATCCATCTCTCCGACTTGGTGATAACCCACTCAAGCGTTTAGGCTTTATGTAAGTGGAGGATGAGTGAAGAACGTAGACGTCCTATACCGCTTGGGTTTGATCCCTCTCTCCGACTTGGTGATAACCCGCTCAAGCGCTTAGGCTTTACGTAAGTGGAGGACGAGTGAAGAACATAGACATCCTATACCGCTTGGGTTTGAACCGTCTCTTCGACTTGGTGATAACCCACTCAAGCGCTTAGGCTTTACGTAAGTGGAGGACAAGTGAAGAACGTAGACATCCTATACCGTTTGGGTTTGAACCATCTCTCCGACTTGGTGATAACCCGCTCAAGCGCTTAGGCTTTACGTAAGTGGAGGACAAGTGAAGAACGTAGACGTCCTATACCGCTTGGGTTTGATCCATCTCTCCGACTTGGTGATAACCTACTCAAGCGCTTAGGTTTTATGTAAGTGGAGGATAAGTGAAGAACGTAGACGTCCTATACCGCTTGGGTTTGATCCATCTCTCAGACTTGTTGATAACCCGCTCAAGCGCTTAGGCTTTACGTAGGGGAAGACGAGTGACAATTGTTTTTCGAGACATTCCTCCTTTACCCGACTTTTCGAACTTGTACAAGTAAGCTCCGTTTTTTCTTCTTTTTTTTATTTTATTTTTTTTGTTTTTATTTATTTATTTATTTTTTTTATAAGTATGAAATCACCAGCCTGATACTGAATATTGTTTCATGTCACTCATCTTACATAGATGGCCTTCTTCAAGTGTTTCAAGAAAGGCACAGTTACTATTCTTGAGGATGAAAGTGATAACTGGGACGAAGGTACCACATTGCTTGTAGGTGCGCCTCTCCTAGCTTCGGAAGTATCTGAGGTGGACAATTCTCTTCATATTCTGTCTTGGTCTCAAGAGATGTTTTGTCAACTTAGCAGCTTCAAAAAATCCAAGTCTACAGATAGGGACCTTCACTCCACTGTTTCACAGTTAAAATCCTCCCATCATACAGATACAGGTTCATCGAAGGCGTTCGAGCTTCTTAGCGATCGAATCCATAATGGAGCAGTGAATTGGAGTTCTGCTCTCCCGACAGTTGGTGAATCTACATTTACTGAGTATTACTGGGAGTAGCTTCAAGATGTGGTAAGTAGAAGTACTCAGGTTCTTAAGAGCACCGGTCTATATAATGCAGTATTTGCCTCATTATTTAGCTATGATCGACATGCTCCAGTCATTCGAGCCTTTTGCGAGTACTGGTGTCGTGCAACAAATACTCTTCATATGTCGCAAGGAGAGATGTCTATTTCCCTTTGGGATCTTCACGAAATTGGTGGTCTCACTATTACAGGTCGATTTTATGATGAAGTTATTCCAACCACTGAGAGTCTCAACAGGAAGGATCATAAAGGCGTGTCTTATATCCCACACATTTGTCGCTACTTATTCTTAGCATATCACAAGATTTTACAGGATTCTAAAGGAAAATCTGGAGTGAGAATGACTGCTTGGTTAAAGTACTAGTATCGAGGGCCATTCAAGTATAAAAAGCCTTCAAGGAAAACCATACGGAACAAGTCACAAAAGCCAAAGGAGGACTCTGATCCATCTGGTATCATTCCGACAGCACTGAAGCGCACTAAGGAAGAGGAAGGGGTTTGAAGATTTGGGTATAGCTGATGAATACATGGAAAAATCCTACTTGGCTGCATTCCTTGCTTGCTGGTTGTGCAAATTTGTATTTCCCAAAGATGACGTAACTTTGATTAGACCAGGGGTTTTCAAAGTTGCCAGTCGAATGGCGCACGGTGTATCATTTGGCCTAGCAGTTCTAGTATTGGCCAGCATTTACAAGGGGCTGAACGATATTTCTAGTGCGGATGATCCAGGAATTTGCACAACTGTTCTATATTTCCATTATGTGTATGGATGGTTGGGTGAATACTTCGACACACATTTTACATCATCTTCCGAGAAGTCCATTCCTATCATGGCAAGGTTCTCAGGGAGACTTTCGGCGAAATTTTTTGAAGATTCGACAGCTCGAGCTTTGTTCCGGACTTGTGGTAAAGTAAAAATGAGTCGTCTGGCAAAAGTATTTTCAAAATGCAAACAACTGACTGATGAAGATCATATCTCTAAAGAAGACTTTGAGTATTTGATATGCCTTCGTTTGGGATTCGTTTCTCTATGACAGGAAAACTATCGAGTCATCCAACCTTATAGCCCGCACCGGTTTAGTAGACAATTTTGTTATGTACAACATGTGCCAGGAGAACTTAAAGATGACGTCTGGAATGGTACTGTGCTATCAGTGTACTCACATTGGAAATCATACTTGAAGAGTGGCAGTGCATCTACAATAACCCTATCCACTAAGGACAATATCCGGGAGTTTGAGGTCACATCCGACTATGTTATTTGGTGGTCGAAGGTGCATCGCTTTGAATCTACGAAATTAAAGACAATCTCAACTGTAGGTAAGTCGTCGTCGCTTTCTCAGCCAAAATCTCTTAAGTCTCAAGGCCACGAAGTTTCAGTTCATGATAAACTCACCCGTGGTAGAGCGCTCCAAGTTCATCCAGAAGTTGAAGGTAGTTCAACTACTCCTGTGCCTTGAGTTCAACACTCATCTTCGGTGGATGTTCCTTCAACTCGAGTCCTTAATGATAAAGGAGAAACAGAAAGTGTGGCAGATTCCCAGGAAGATTTCATTCCCCTTGGTCAACGAATTCGCAATTTGAAGCAAGGGCATATAAGCAGCAATGAAGATAGTGAAGTCAACTTTAGGCATGAGAAGACAAGCGTCGAACCTCTTTATTGTGATTTGGACACGGCATACCCACTTGATGACACATTCTTTTGTGATGTGCCCGCTGTTTCACAACCGGTTCTATTGAACGAGGTATGTATTTTATTTCACCTTGAGCCTCCCTTTTTTATACATATATATATTAATTAATTAATTATATATATATTTTAGGGAGAAGTAGTGCATCATGTCCCTACTGTGTCCGAGCTTGTACCGTTTAATCATTTTCCTATCGAAGAGGAAAATGATGCTTTGCGCCCGATAAGTGGTTCAGGTGTTAGCCTAAGAGGTATGATTCCAATCTTTATCACGCTCCGTATTTAGAAATCTTTGATTCTACTTGCTTAACCATTACTCGTCAATGTAGGTTCGCTTGTGCATCAACATTTGTTAAAGCCGGCTACTCATGCATCAACCTCTGAAATGTCATGTGGGGAACCAAAATTAGGTGTTGCAGACAAAACCCTTCACAAAGTAGTTTCCATTATGAGCAACCAAATAAAAAGCATAATCTTGAAGGCTTCATTAGAAAGGCTTCCTTCATTCAAAGATGAGATTGGCAAGTTGTTGACTACCCTTGACAATGTAGGGGCGGACGTCTCATCCCTACGAGCTATGATTGATGCACTTATGGTGACCGCAGTTGACTATTGTTCTGCACACTCTGCTTACTCCCAAAAGCTGTCTCCCGAGGTTCAAAGTGATCGTTTAGCTGCTGTCGACTCTTCACTTTCTGTTGCCTTGGCTCTGCAACAAGCTGAAGAGGTTCATCAATTTTCAATACTTGAGTCTATTAAATCTGCCAACGTGCGTATGAAGGAGTTGAAGAGAGAACAAGAGCAATTGGAGTCAAGACTGCGTCAATTAAACGAATCGCTTTCAAAGAGTGATGCACAACTTTCTTATCATCATGGTGAGGTTGCCCGTTTGAGAGAGGATAAGATTGCAGTTGAAGAAGCTCCTGTATTATCCACTGCCGATGCTGAGACTTTAGATGCGTTATGAGTTTCTTTTGAGAGATTGCGTAACGGCTTCAAGGACTTGTCTTGGAAATAGCAAACTTTTGTTGTTGTAAATTTTCTTTGCTTTATTTATATTTCTCTTTGAACTTGTCAAAGTGTTGATGTTTACTAGTTAACTTTCATAATGAAATAAAAGCACTTTCTTATTTCATTATTTTTTTTTCTTTTTTATTTTTTTGAATGGTTCGGATTGATGAGGAAACCCTTTGTTTTTATTTTGATGTGACTGAACTTGGAATTATTTATCCAAGCTACCTACGTACCCTCGGTGAAAAGGAATCAAGTCATCACGTAGTTCAAGGGACTTTTTTTTTGTGTCCTAACTTTTGCTTGAACCGCCCTTTCGGGTTTTCAGTTCAACAGACTTTCTTGTGCTTTAACTTTTGCTTGGACCGCCCTTTCGGGTTTTCAATCCAACGAGCCTTTTTTTTTTGATGCCGTACGCAGTTTAGGCTCATGCGGGCCAGGAGCTTGGTATCATTTCATGCGTAGTATCGTTTCAAGAACTTTCCATTGATAGGACCGACTCTTAAATCCTCCTCGGCTACGATCTTGTAAGCTCCACTTGTGTACACTTCTTGAACTATGTAGGGCCCATCCCATTTTGAAGTAAACTTGCTTCCGGTTTTGTGTGTTGTGATGATAGGTCTACGTAATGCGAGGACAAGATCTCCTACTTGAAAAGACCTGGGGCGAACCTTCTTGTTAAAAGCATTCGAAAGTCGAGCTTGATAACATTCTAAGCGTTGTTGCGCTTCGAGTCTCTTTTCGTCTAGTGCTTCTAACTCTTGGAGACGTAGCTTTGCATGCTCTTCATCAGTCAATCCCTCTTGTACGGCCATCCTCAATGATGGAATTTGACTTTCTAGAGGCAAGATTGCTTCCACGCCATACACGAGTGAGTATGGTGTAGCCTGAGTAGGCGTCCGGTATGTCGTCCGATAAGCCCACAATGCTTCATTTATCCTTTCATGCCAATCTTTCTTGGTTCTTCCAATAACTTTCTTCAACAGGTTGCAAAGAGTTTTGTTGAACGCCTCCGCAAGACCGTTGGCTGGGGCATTGTACATTGAAGAGTTGCGTTGTTTGAAACCGAAGTCTTCACACAATTTATCCATCTGTGATGATGTAGCGCGGCACACCATACTGATGAATGATATTCACTTTGATCAAGTTCACTACGTTTTCTTTCTTCACTTCCTTTAAAGGTACAGCTTCTGCCCATTTTGAAAAGTAGTCTGTGGCTACAAGGATGTAAGAATGACCATCAGAAGATTTGGGTGCTATTGGTCCCACCACATCAAGGCCCCACGCATCAAATGGCCATGAAGCAATTGTAGGATGTAGCGGCTCCGGTGGCTGATGTATGAAGTTGACATGGAATTGACATGCTTGACATTTCTTCACATAATCCATGCAATCCTTGACCATAGTCGGCCAATAGTAGCCCATCCTCTTTATTTGGAAATGTAGCTTTGGCCTTGATTGATGAGCTCCACAAATACCTGAGTGAGCCTCCTCCATTGCTTTGGATGCATCTTCTTCCCCCAAGCATCTTAGAAACAGCCCTTCGAATGAACGACGGTATAGAATCTCTTTATAATAAATGAATCGAGGTGCCCGATGCCGTACCTCTGATCGATGTCTCGAATCATCTGGCAGTTTCCCATGCTCAAGATAATCAATTAAAGGTTGCCTCCAATCGTCAATGTCAATGGACAATACCGAGATAACGTTGGCTCATTCTTGTGATGCCCCAAGTGTTAATGGAACGACCCAATGTTGGCAAATTGGAAGATTCACCGCTTCATCTTTTGTCAACGCCAACGTAGCGGCAAGATTTGCTAAGGCATCTGCCATTTGATTGTCCTTTCTTGGCACATGCTCTAGCGTCACGAAGTCAAACCTTTCCAGTAATTGCGTGACTATTTGGTGATATGGAATTAGATCATCCTTCCTAACTTCGTAGTGGGTCAACAATTGGTTGATCACTAACATGGAGTCACCATATACTTCTAAGCTCGATATCTTCATCTCTACGACCATTTGTAAGCCCATGATCAAAGCCTGGTATTCTGCAATGTTGTTCAAGCAAAGTTCACTTAAAGAGAATGAGTAGGGCAATACGTGTCTCTCGGGGTGACAGGAAGACTACGCCAGCCCCCGGCCCATCTTTACGAGCTGATCCGTCAAAAAACATCATCCAAGTAGGAGAAACGTTAGCGAAGAAGACTTGTTCGTCGGGTAAGTCATCTGAAATTTCCCAGTCTGCTAGAATTGGATGATCGGCTAGGAAATCTGCAACAACTTGCCCCTTTACCGCCCTTGCTGGAGTGTAGATGATTTCATATTGATTGAGAAGTAACGCCCACTTGGCCAAACGCCCCGTCAAGACTGGTTTTGACATAACGTACCTCACCGGGTCAGCTAGCGCAATTAGATGAACCGTGAACGCTTGCATGTAGTGCCTTAACTTTTGAATAGCAAAGACAAGTGCAAGACACATCTTTTCTATAGGTGTGTAGTTCAGTTCGGGACCAGTAAGAGTTCGGCTTAGATAATAGAGTGCTTGCTCGTTATGTGACTCATTCTCTTGCGCCAACAGGGCTCCAATTGACCTCTCTTGAGCCGCAATGTACAATATGAGTGGTTTGCCTGGAATAGGAGCTCCTAACAGTGGTGAACTCGATAGGTACTTCTTTATGCTTTCAAATGCATTGTGACAAGCTTCATCCCAAACAAATGGAACATCTTTTTTCATAAGGCGACTGAACGGCTGACACCTTCCTGCTAAGTTTGAGATGAATCGCCGAATGAACGCGAGACGCCCTTTCAACTTATGTAAATTTCTTGGCTTGGGCATACCTCGGATGGCTTTAATCTTAGTCTGGTCTACTTCAATGCCTCGATGTTTAACGATGAAACCAAGAAATTTACCTGACGTAACGCCGAAAGCACACTTCAATGGGTTCATCTTGAGTTGGTACTTCCGCAATCTGTTAAACACCATTCTCAAGTCTTTCAAGTGATCTTCTCTTCTTTTTGACTTGATCACCAGGTCATCAACGTAGCACTTGACATTCTTGTGAAGCATGTCACCAAAGATCTTTTGCATTGCACGTTGATAGGTCGCACCTGCATTCTTGAGGCCAAATGGCATCACCTTGTAACAGTAAATTCCTTTTGGAGTGCGGAAGGCTGTGAGTTCTTCGTCCTTTGGCGACATTCTTATTTGATTGTATCCAGTGAACCATCCTTGAAAGATAAGGCTTCATGACCTGTGGTTGCATCAACCATGAGCTCAATTATGGGTAATGGAAAGTCATCCTTTGAGCAAGCCTCGTTTAAGTCTCGGAAGTCAACACAAATACGAATTTGTCCAGTGATTTTCTTCTTCACCAGAACGATGTTCTCTATCCACGTCGAGTATTTCACCTCCCTAATAAATCCGCGGCGATCAACTTGTCAACTTCGGCTTCAATTTGACTTAAGAGCTCCGGACTGCAAGGTGATGGACAACAACTTGTTTGATTGGTCGTGTTCCAGGTTTGACTGCAAGGTGATGGACAGCAACTTTCGGATCAAGGCCTGGCATCTCCTTGTATGTCCAAGCAAAGACATCTTTATACTCAAGTAGCAGTTGATGATAGGACTCCTCTTCACTAGGATTCAAAAGTGCACTAACGAAGATAGGTCTGGGGTCTTCATTTGTGCCAAAATTGAGTTCTTTTAGTTCATCAACAGTCGCTTGGCCTCCATCTTCTAATGCGGTAGGAGCCTCATGTCCTCCTCGAAAGGTTCCTCTTCGTCGAGCTCTTTGATCGTAATGTGATGAACAGCTAGAACCTCCGCTTCTTCATCGTCACTTTTGTTTTGATGACTCAAACTTTCCCGAGTTTGTATGATTGTTCGTCGCTTCACTTTGAGTTGGTCACCTGAAGTTACGTCTAATGTAGAGTGACGTTTCATACGTGACGGGATTAAACTCTGAATTTCATTGTCTTCCGTTGAATCGACATGAACTCTAGTTTTCAATTCTTGCTGATTTTTCTCTTCAGACGACTTGCTTGGAACTCCAAGTCTTTCTAGCACTGATCTGCGTGGGTCTGATTGAATTCCCATTTGGCTATCATGCCCAGTTATCCTTTTGAACACAGAAGGTCTTGATGTTGATTCTTTGATGCGGCTAAAAACTGAGGTCCACTAGGTAGGCTTGGCTAAACGGTCGAACACTGAGGCTCTCTTAATAGCCTTTGGTTCTTATTCCTCCTCAACCGCTTCGACACTAATATGTTGAGCTTCTGCTTTCTTTTATTTTCTTCTAGCAGAGATCTTGACAGGTGCGACAGGAGTAAAACCTAGGCCTGCTCTAGCTGAGTCAATTGTGTAACCTTGCTCCTTCAACTTCTTTTGGATTTCGCTAAGGCCATGCTTCCTTTCTCCTGTGACATATGGATTAAGCTCTCCCATCGAAGAAGATAAGCCGAAGTCATAACCTGCCTTTGACATGAGCTTATAAGCATTTGGGTCAAAACCTTCTTTTGTTCTTGTGACCGGAAGAGATTCGTGTCTTGTTGCCTCTTGTGATGGTCTGACGAACCCTGGTACCGAAGATTTCGAAACGTTTGAATTACTCAACTTTGGTAAAGGTATAGTTGTCGACTCCTTCAAGAACTTCATGTCGCTTTCTCCCCATTTCCTTGGCTTTACTTCTTCTCCAAATGGGGATTGTCCTTCCTTCTGTCTGGATGATGAGACATAGCAGAGGATGGGAGTAGACACCTTCCGTGAATCTGTTGGTGATGATCCCATTTGTCCAGACAAAGTGCATTTTGACTTCTTTGAACCATTCTCTTCAGCGGGAGGGCACTTTGAATGCTCTTCTCTTCTTGGCATGGCTTTTCCTGTCGAGTGAACCTCAACGGGAATAACTTCAGATACCATTTCTTCTTCCAAGTAAAATTTGGCGTCAGCGAAGTAAGACTCGGCTTCAGTAAATGGTTTGACGTCACCCAAGATTTTCTTTACTCCTCCTCTGTAAAATTTGAAACATTGATGTAAGGTTGAAGGCACTATCCCATTTTCATGCACCCATGGCCTTCCTAATAGGAGATTGTAGGAGGTCTTAGCATCAATCACGTGAAATAGGGTGTTTGACTTTAAATCGCCTATCACGAGCTCAATTCTGATCATGCCCATAGCTCTTTGTCCTCCCTGATTGAAGCCTTGAATCATGAGACGACTGCGTGACAATTTGTCCATGGTGATGCCTAACTTCATCATCGTGGATTTAGGCATGATGTTTACTGCAGAACCTCCGTCCACAAGCATGCGACTAAGTTTTTGTTCTCGCACATACCCTGACACGAAAAGCGGACGATTATTTGGTTTAGATCCTAACAAGAGGTCTTCATCGGTGAATGTGATGGAAGTGCACGACGCGCAGCAAATAGCATGGTCTTGAGACTCAGGCTCTAATTCTCCGGTCTTCCTTATCTTATTTGGTTGGATATCGAGATCCATTAATGCCTTTTACCAATGCTACACGTATGGCTTCAGGGAGTTCCACCGCTTCTTCAATATTTGAATGCGCTGGTGGATTTTCTGCTTGTGTTGAGACCTTTCGCTCTTCATGAGTTTCATATCTTCCTTCTGAGGCATCTTCGTCATCTACCTGATAGCAAGTTGTCATATGGACTGTCTCCGTTGGCCCTCTTACGAAGAACACTTTGAGAAAGTATTCTCCTAGCATAACTGGAGTTCGTGTCCCTTGGATTAATGGTTCATCTTCTTGTTCGGAGTCTCTCCTCACCATCTGTTAGGTTTTGTTCTTAGAATGTTGGTGCGAGCCTCTCTTTCTCCGCTCCTTCTTTGATTGAGCATTTTGTCGTTGCGGAATGCGCTTCGTACGAGACTTCCACCGAGTAACGAGCATCCATCCTTCATTGTCATCAAAAGACAAGTTACCAACAAAGCCATCACCACATTGATTGTTTGGTTCGCCCACCACTTCTTCTGTACATAGACCAGTCTTCTGGTGCATGCCCCTTGTAGATTGAAACTCCGATCTTTTTGACAATACGGGCAACGGCACCGGATCAAAGGATCCGAACACAATTGTGGCAACGTTCACCTCTGCAATTTCGTCAACATCTAACTCGATCCTTCCTTGCCTAGCTAAGTTCATAATTAGCTCCTTCAACACGAAGCACTTTTCTACTGGATGGCTGACAATTCTATGGTATTTACAAAATTTAGGGTCGTTGACCCGGTTCATCTCCTCAGGCCGCTTACATTCCGACAATTCGATCACCTTCTTTTCCAGCAAATCCTCAAGCATACCTGCGACATCGGAGTCAGGAAAAGGGTATGTTTTCTCCTCCAATTCCTTCAAGGTGCGCCGACGTCTATCTACCTCTCGGGATGACTCCATCCTTTTGACTTCCCTCTTCTTATCTCGGGTGGAGATTTTGACCGGGACAATGTTGATTGTCATTGCTTCCTTGGTAGGCTTCTTGACCGGCTTATCTGTCTTTTGTCCAAAGACTTTCTCCTTTTTATGCTCGATGACGGGCTCATGCTTTCCTCTGTGGCTGGCGATGCTTAACTCCATATCATGGGCACGAGTGGCTAGCTCCTCAAACGTTTAGGGTTTAATCCCTTATAGAATGTAGAGTAACCCCCAATGTATCCCTTGAATGCACATCTCGACTGTTGATATCTCCAAAAGCCTATCTTTGCAATCCAAGCTTAATGAACGCCATCGATTGATGTAATCAACGATAGGTTCATCTTTCCATTGCTTGGTATTCGTGAGTTCCATCATACTCACAGTGCGACGAGTGCTATAGAATATGTTCAAGAATTCTCGTTCCATTTGGTCCCAACTGTCAAGAGATTCGGACTCCAAGTCTACATACCAATCAAATGCATTTCCCTTTAGGGACCGAACAAATTGTTTCACCAGGTGGTCGCCCTCCGTTCCAGCATTGTTGCATGTTTCGAATACATGAGCGTGTCTCAGGAAGGTGCTCCGTATTGAACTCTGATGGTGTTCGCGATCATGTCCTGAAGTTGTTGGACCGACAAAGAACCCACCGAGGCGGCGTCAATTTTTCCGTGGGACTTCTCACCCGACTTTGTTTCATGACCCAATACTTTCTCGCTGGATTCAGCCTCATGATGTGGTCCTTTCTTGTTTGCGTCTTGACCAGGCTCCTTATCCTGATGTGTTTCCCACTTGTTGATGAGAGAAGCAATCTGCGCATCCTTCTCTTCGACCATCTTTGTCAGTTTCGTGACCGCTTCGCTCATATGGGTCAGCTGTTCTTCAATAGACATTGCTCCCGTCACCATAACTTGCATGGCCATAGAATAAGACTCACCTATGGACGCCGAGGCAATCTTCTTCTGTTGGTCGTCAGGCGGGGATCCATGGTATGAGCCTGTGCTCCAGCTAGCGTCTGAAACAGGTGAGAGGGAACGTTCTCTTGAATTCTTCGAGCTCGAAAAACTCATTTCTTCATTCCGAGAATTTCTCTCATCCGAACGGGAGGTATTCTTCTTTGTCCCCAAGGAGACCAGATTGATAACCGATTCAGGCCTTCGGTTCACGTCTTTCGCCTTGGCTTGAGTCAGTATGGAAGTGACCTGTGGAGTTGCGGAAATTGCCTCGGCCTTGCTCCGGGTGACGACCCTAGCAGAATCTCCGCTTGAGAAGGAGGCGCTCATGCTTTTCCCTTTCGCCACAGGAACGGTTTGAATCTTCTTAGAGGCCATCGTGTTTGGCGTGTTGGTTGATTTTGGAACTGGAGAAAGAGATGAGAGGTAGAGATGATCCCACCGGGCGTGCCAAATTTGTAAACACGAAAATCTTGCGACGAATGAGACAAGAACACGTGTACAAAATAATATTTGTATTTATGAAATTTAGGGTTACAATCTTTGTATTGAATCCTCTGATTCGATCTCCAAAATGTATAAAGAAAATTTGTGTTTGATGCAAGGGTCGTAGAGACTTGATCTTGATCAAACGGGTAGTACAAGACTTGTTTGGTGTTTGGGATTTTCTAGGGTGGAGGAACCGGCACATATTTGTTGTGCTTGGTGGCTCTTCCAAAGTGTAGGTGAAGAATACAGGGAGTTTTCAGCTTCTTCTCAACGCTAGGTTTTTTTCTGGCCCCTTCTTTCGCCTTGAGGCCTCCTATTTATAGGCTCTTGTAGGATACTTGACCTAAATCACTTTCCTTATTTAAAACCTTGTTTTGTGGGATTCTGATTTGATTTAAATCAATTCCCATAATCTGGCAATTTAACCAGATTATCTTCAATTGATTGACCTGATTAATATTTGATTTAAATCAAAGTCAATCACAGAAGATTCTTTCCCTTAATTTTGTCTTCATCTTGCACCTTTTGAGGCACTCCGTCGGATGTCGCCACGTGTCACTTTTTGACAACTAATCCGATTTTGATGCGTCACACGCCACATGGGCGAATTATGGGGCCCACAATTTAATCCACCGAACCCTAATTATTTTCTCGTCCAATGGGATTTATTACACCAAAATTTCATTGTCTACAACATACTTAACTAGCTTTGACATATAATGTAATACTCTCGATCTGATCTGGAGATCCCACTCTAACCCTTGATAATATGTCTAGGCGAAACAAAGCTTGGAATAAGGACATGTGCATCAACAAAGTGTCCTGTCCCCTCAAGCCCAACGTCCACAAAACCTTTCCAAAAAGCATAAGCTATCAATTTCCCACGAATTTAAGCAACAAGACTAGCCCATCCTCAAACTTGAAAACGTGAGTTGAAGGAGATCCAATCATAACAATTTTAAGCTCTAAGCTCCAAGACTCCTTAACCCCATGCTCCTTCATCACCCAAATACTCATCGTGTTCTCTGATCCTACAGTTACAGAGAGACAACCCCTCAAGACTGCTAAAATATGAATATGGTTTGAATACTTTAGGTTGAATTTTTTTTCTCCATAAGAAGGTATATATAGGAGTTTACATGAGGGTCTTATAAGGAATTATATATAGTAAAGAATTAGAAAAGTATCTCCTAATTGTACAATGATTTATCACTTATATAAAAAATAGGAAAGTAAATCCCTTAATTAATTAAGGAAGTAAATCTCCTTGATTAATTAGGAGACTCACATCAACACTCCTTCTCAAGTTGGTGCATATATGTCACTAATGCCCAACTTGGTAAGTGAGTCATGAAATAATCTTCCACACTCACAGCATATACAATATCTGATCTTGGAGGACGTATGAAGAGTAGAACCTTTGGTGGTGGTGATAGAAGAAGGAGTCTGGGTAGCCAGGTAAGCAGGATTGACCGCATGCTGCTGTGAGTCTGCAATAAGATGGAAAATCATATGGGTTCCTGACATCACAGCGGAAGTAAAATGTGATATGAGAAGGTGAGGAAGGTGATGTGAGAAATTTGATGTAGGAATTGGATTTAAGAGGTATGTGTATAAGATTTGATGGTATGTGTTTAGGGATTTGGATAAGAGGATTTGAGGACTTTAGATTTGAGGGATTTGGATTTGGGGAAAAAAAAATGAGGAAGTTTGATTTAGGGTTTTGGATTTGAATATGAGAAATTTGAAGAAATTTGAGATAAGGGTTTAGAGACAAAACAACTTCTCCCCCCCCCCCCCCCCCCCCCCCCCCTCCTCCCTAAGAGAATAGGTCGTCAGAGTAAAGAAATATGCAGTATCTTCATGAGAATACGTCAAGGTAATGGGGATACGTCAATAAACATTTCTTCATGGGAATACGTCAAGGTAATGGGGATACGTCAATAAACATTTTCACTCCCCCTCCCCTCCTTGAAGAGGAGGGGAGGAGAGCACTTAAATTGCAAGAAGAACTCAAGCAAAGGTCACAAGAGAAGTAGGCTCTAATACCATGCTAAAATATGAATATGGTTTGAATACTTTAGGTTGAATTTTATTCTTCTCCATAAGGAGGTATATATAGGAGTTTACATGAGGGTCTTATAAGAAATTATATATAGCAAAGAATTAGGAAAGTATCTGTTTGGGCCTAAATTAAACGTGCCCAGCCCAACGCAGAGAAAGCCCAGAATAAAAGCTACAGGACTCAAGCAGTTTGGGCTTTTGCAAAACGGAAGGCAAATCCCAAAATCCAGATAGGCCAGCCCAAGACTCATCAAAATGTGGCAAGAAAACTTGGGCCCCAAAAGAAAAGCGGTTACCTTTAGGCTCCAGACAAATCAGAATGGGCCCAGCATGATTAAAAGAAAAAAGGAAGAGACCTGTTTTCAGAACCCACGTGACTACCAAAATGGAAAAGTCAACAAACTCAACTGAGTTGATTGAGAATTAATTAAAGCAGGTCAGTGGCAAAAGGACTTCTCTGAATTTCTGCCACCAGAAGATCAAAATCCTTCTTATATATTCAAAAATATTGATTCCACTCCAAGAAGGCACCATCCTTTCAAGAGATACGCAGGCCATATTTTCAAAAAAAGAGATAAGCAGGAGGACAGGGAGTTGTTCAAATGGAAGATCAAACTAACCATCACAGTTTGAAAAATATAGGGAAGTGATCTTAAGAACTGACTATTGAGAGCTTATCTACCAGAAATTGATGAAAACCCCCTTTCTTTACAATTAAAAATGAAAGATCTTTTTAAAGAAAATTGCCGCCCATTATTTAAAAGAATTACCCTACTCCAGATAACATCTCTTATAAATACAAGAAGGAGTGAACAGGGCAAGAGGACAATCTATCCAACACTCAAGTCATCAATCAAACAAACAACTCAAAATCAACCAGAAACTCACTTGAATTCCAAGTGAAAACCAGCTTTAGATCAGAATTCCCAAGGTTCAGACTTAGAAAATAAGTCATTCAAAACGAGATTTCTCTCGTTACAAATTTGGTTCAGCAAAAAACCAAGACAGGTAGAGCTTGAGCTTTTCCCAAACATGAAAACCTCAACAAATTTTACGGTGCAGTCTCTAGCCCACTGAAGTCCTCGAGAACAGCCACTTCTGCCCTTACAGACTAAAGAAGCTGCAGTTCTGCCCACTCAGAAGCCTCACAAAAGCTTGAAGTGTATTAAAGCTCTGCCAAAATTAACCTTTGGTATCGATCTATAGCTGAAGCTTAGCAGCAGAAGTTGTTAACAGTCCAGTCCAGCCCAGATATTTCCAGTCCAACCCGGATCAGAACCCTCTATCCAGGCAGAAATGGAGTTCCAACTGTCCTTTCTTCTTTCTAGCTTGGATTTTTATGTTTATAGTTTTGTAAAAGGCAGTTCTGCCTAAGACAGCTTAAATTCCATCAACCATTCTAGCCAGAACAACCTCTTTATACTGAGATAAATTGTTAAAGTCCTCACTAGTCTGAGGCAAGAAAAGAACTTACTTGAGAGATATTCCTCACCCAAATTCACAATCGCTTGTTTATGGAAATCAGTAACTTGGGGCGCAAGTTATCTATTCTAGAATAAGTCTGCTAGAATCTTCATTGCTAGTAGTGGCACGCTCATACACCAAAGAAAGCTGACTTGCTGACCAGTCAATGGTTCGCAAGGTAGTGGGGAACTTTGCCCTTCCACCACAGAAGTGATCACAGAACGGGTGAACATCATCTCCTAATTGTACAATGATTTATCACTTGTATAAAAAATAGGAAAGCAAATCCCTTAATTAATCAAGGAAGTAAATCTCCTTGATTAATTAGGAGACTCACATCAACAAAGACCCTACAGTCCAATCTAGATCTATTCCTTCATTCCAAATCCCAACCATGGGTAAGGGAAAACCTTGAAAATCCTCACTTTCAAGATCAAAGGCAAATATCAAAACCCTTGACCAATCAATCCAATGAAGAAACCCGCTAAGCACAAATCCCATATAGTTTGTAATATAAATGGGACGTAATATTCCCAACGCTTCTCCACGCCCCAGAGCCAACAGTTAAAACCAATACCTTCGTTTCCGGTTCACAACCCTAGTTAAGTATGTATATGCTACAGTTGATGACTTGGTCTGCTTATCCGACCCTAATATCAACCAAAATTTATCTGAGTATCATCACACTCTTTCTTTCTAAACTTTATCCCCAACTTTCTTTGCAACGTCTATTCCACTTTCTTACTAAGTGGAACAGAAGTTCTAATAAACAGCCTCATGCTTGGATGAAGAACTTGAAGGGGCAAAAGGATTTTACCAGTAAACTAAATTCAGTTGTTTGGTCTTTTTAGTTTTGCCGGTAAACTATAGAACTCTTCATCCATCAAAGAAAACATTAACATATGAGTTGCTAATGTTGGGAATAGCCCAGGAAGGAGGCAATCGTTCTCAAACACAAGATTTGCTAATCATTAATTGCCAATCCTTCTGATAACAACTCAAATCGAATCAACAATCGTGTCTATTTTACACAGATCTGATTGTCTGCAACAACCCCAGTATATGTTGATGTAAATATCGAATGAGCTAAAGAAATTTATTTGTTTTACTTGTTTAAAAAAATAGAAACAAGTGCATATCGTTTCAAACTCCAACAGTTCAAATCTATATAACATTATTCCATTCCCATATCTTTCAAAAGCTCAACTTTACGATAGTAAAATAACAGACATGAAGTTTGAAATTGCACACAACAACAAAATACCAAATTGAAACTTAACTAGCTTTGACATATAATATTACTCCCGATTTGATCCGGAGCTGGAGCTCCATCCCCTGATAATATGTTTAGGCGAAACAAAACTTGGAATATGGACATGTGCAGAAATAAAGTGTATCCCATCAAACTCAACGTCCACAAGACCTTTCCCAGAAGCATAAGCCAGCAATTTCCCACCATTAAACAACAAGACTTGCCCATCCCCAAACTTCAACAAGACTGGCCCATCTTCAAGCATCAACCAGATTTGCCCATTCTGAAAAAACTGTTGGCAAGTACGTTGAACTACGACGCCTCCAATTGTAAGCTCTAGGCTCCAAGACTCCTTAACCCCATGCTCCTTCATCACCCAAATACTCATTTTTCTCTGGGAACCTACAGTTACAGTTACAGAGAGGCAACCCTGCAAGACGCTAAAGCCCAATCTTGATATATTATTCCGTCCTTCCGAATCCCAACTAGGGGGTAGGGGCAACTCTTGGAAAATCTCTCTTTCAAGATCAAAGGCACATATCAGAGCCCTTGACCAATCCATCCAATGAAGAAATCCACTAACACAAACCCCCATGTAGTCCAACTTGTAGCTAAACTGCCCAAGGCATCTCCAAGCCCCAGAGCCAACGGTCAAAACCAATACCACCAGGAACGGTTCATCATCCCAGCCACTTTTAGGCCTGAACAGAACAAGCTTATAGGCACCACTCATGGGACTAAACCCAAACCCACTTGGAAAACTAGTTTCGTACTCACCTGGCGGTGATGGAAGAGCCAAAGACTCACCCGTGATGGGATTGGATATGTATAAACGGCCATACGGCGGATTCCAAGAGTCTACTTTGTAGAAGCATAGTAAGCCGTTGCACGAACTCACAATATTCACCTCTTTAGGTAGTACAATTGTATCTTTCAAAAGCTTCAGTGCAACGTCGTTTGGGCCCAAGGAGTCGTTTTTTAGGGTGGCCAAATGGTCGGAACCGCATCCTCGTAAAAGAAGACAAGTCCTTCTCGAAAACAGTTGTTCAGTGAATTCGGGGTCTGATAGCAAACGATGCCAAAACTTGCACACGAACCTGCATTGGACAAGGGTTTTAATTTGAATTTTGTTGAAGATCTCCCCTAATAAGTGGCTTGGAAGTTGCAGAATGTAGGGAATATTATGATCCTCTTTTTGTTTCTCCATGGATGAAACTCTCTCGTTTTCTCCACTGTCATCATAGATGCTTTTTGTCATGGCTGCTGATAGGATTTTTAGTACCTGCGCAAACAGGGTTAAAATCACTGGAAATACTTGCAAGAATACAAGGTAATTGTAGTATAAATGCTCATGCAAGGTCGTTGTCCCCAAAGATTGTTTGACTAATCTGTAATTAAACTAACTCTTAATTAATAACTAAAATAGATTTTATCAAAGATTTGAAGTTTATGAATTTGTAAAGATTAAACTAACAGTAAAAGAAATCTGAAAGTTGGGAAATAATAACAGCAAAGAAGAAAAACGATTTCTTTTTAAAGACTAACAATTTAGAGAAAACTAGGGTTTAGCCAACACCGTCGCAATCCTATGCAATTCTATCAATTACTTATGAATTTCCACATATATGCTTTGAAGGTTAGGTTTTCCTAATGCATACTTTCCTTGTGATGTTCAAGCGAAAACGTATATCTAACATGCAATCCGTCTGTGATGTTTAGATCAAATATAAACATGCAAGACTCATTAAGCTTTGTGAAAACCCTTTGAAAAACCATGCAACCCTTAAGAGCGTGATGTTCGCCTTAAGTGAACTTACAATTACTAATCACAAGAGGCCCTCCTCAATTTCAGGGTGATGTTCCAACAGAAATTGCATCAATTTACTTGTCTACATATCCTAATGGTGATCAGTCATTAAAATAGATAGATAGTTTTAAACACAGTGATTAATAATTCAAAGCAAACATGCATCCATTCATAAACAAATTAATAAAACTACATATTCATGCTAAGGCTTACGGCCTCACCCTAGCAAAAGGAATTAGTTACACATAATCATAATTGAAATCCAATAAAATATCATTCGAATGAGTAAGAATGAAAACACCTGAAAGTAGCGAAAATCCAAAACCCTAGCAATTGCTCCCAAAGCCAAAAAGAAGTTCTAAAAGGAGATCCCTAACTTGCTGTGAAAAGGAGCTTAAATACCTCCTAAAACCTAGCTACCCAATCCCCATAAGGAAACTAAGTTAAAGTAAAATAAGACTAGGAAATAAAGTCCAAATTGGATTAGGAGAATCTGCCCATAATCTGCCCAGCCACGTTTTAGTCTCAAATCTCCCCCAAATCTGGCCCAAGATAGCTCGTTTTAAAGATAAAAATATTCTGAACACTTCTCCAGAAGGCCACGAACCCATCCGAGGTCATCTTGGGCTCCAAAATCACAATAAAAGCCCAAAACGTCACTATTCCAGCATTGCGCACTGCTCCTTCATTTATTCGCCAGGAAATCATCGCTTGGTGGAAAAGTCTGATATTTTGATACGATCAAGCTAAGTGACTCACGTACGTCCTCCAACTGGAATTACTCCAAAATTCGTCCATTTGATTATGTTTTGCTCCAGAGGAAGTCGAAAGTCCTATATTAGAAATATAATTCAAAGTATCAAAATTCTTCCAACATATTAACCAAAATATACTAAGAATGAGGTTAAATATATAATATAAAATCGACTCATCAGCTGCGGTGCTTTAGGGTTTCAGGGTTTCGGGTATTTTTCATTATATAACCCAAAATTTGGCCCTTACGTTTAAAAATGCTAGTTTTTATAAAATAAAATAAAATTTAATATAGCAAACAACTCATATGAATATACTTAAATGCCCTCAAAAATAAAATGAAAAATACTACGGACAATTGTCGAAAACAAAGCTATAGGCAAACCTGTCTACAACACGTTAAACACTATTTTCTAATAAAAAATAAAATGATAAAAATTAAACAACGACAGAATGGTTCTTATATTCACACAGCTAAACAACTGAAACTTTTTAACCAGTTCCTTGATTTCTTAAAAAATTTGTGTAACTCTCCTATGAACACCACCTTCTCACTAACCTTGTGCAAGAATTACAATTTTAGAGTTAGATTGTTCCAAACAGATTTGAGATTTTTTTTAAAGTCAATAAAGAAGAAGCTATGAGAGAAGAGAAAAGATTGAAGCTGCCCAAGGGAATCCCTTGTGCTTTCCCATGGAGTATACCTTTCACTCGTTTCAACTTGTTAACCCCAAAATTTTTTCAAGATTGTAGCCACCTCTAGGTTCTAGGCTGCTCATGAGGAAACTGTCAGGCCCAAGTGATTTTGTACCGCTAATTTGGGACACCGCTGTCTATACTTCCTCCGTCACCGCCCGAGTCAAAGCTTCATTATCCTGTATTGTTACCCTGGGATCAATAGCTCCAGTTATATGCGCCATATTAATAGGTCGGCTGCTAGTAGAAAATTCTTGAAAATAAGAGATAACAATGCTCTAATTAACTTTTTGTTCGGGCAATCAATAGCCACATGAGATCATTGCTAATCATTGTTAAAGTTTTTCTGTATCCATAACAACTCAAATCGAATCGACAGTCGTGTTTATTTTACATACATCACCTTGTCTGCAGCAACCCCAATATATGTTTATGTAAATTTCGGATGAGCTGAAGAAATTTATTTGTTATATTTGTATCGTTCGAAAGCTTCCATGCGACCTTGTTTGGGCTCGAGCAGTCGTTTTCGAGGGTGGCCAAGTGGACCTCGGAGCCGAATGCTCGTAAAAGAAGACAAGTCCTTCGTGAAAACAGTTGTTCAGTGAATTGGGGGTCTGATAGCAAACGATGCCAAAACTTGCACACGAACCTGCATTGGACGAGGGTTTTAATTTGAATTTTGCAGAAGATCTCCCCTAATATGTGGTGTGGAAGTTGCAGAATGTAGGGAATATTATGATCCTCTTTTGGTTTCAACATGGATGAAACTCTGTCGTTTTCTCCACAATCATGGATGCTTTTTGTCATGGCTGTGGTGCTTTAGGGCTTAGGGTATTTTTCGTACGACCTATTCTTATATACTCCAATCACTTTCTTTCTGAACTTTATCCCCCAACTTCCTTTCTAACTTTCTTTCTAACTTTCTATTCGACTCCACTCTTAAATATTGTAATCCATCAAAACGTTTGCTCACGTTTGTTAATGAAAACGGGAAAGTTTGCCTTGAGTGAGCTCTTGTTGGAAAACATGGGAAATAGTTTTCCAATTATTAAAACGGGAAAGTATAATGAATTTGTTTTCCAATAATGAAACGGGAAAGTTTGCGTTCAGTAAACACCTGTTGGAAGACACAGGAAATAGTTTTTAGGAAACAAATTCAGAATTGCGCAATTCCGTTCCCACGCGGATTGGTTTCGGAATTGTACTTTTGAATGTCTTTTATTCAATTTTTTCCCAAAAAAAAAAATATATATATATATTTTAAAGTATTTAATACGATCCTAGTATTACCAAACCTACAGCATTCCCCACTCCAAAACCATCTCAAAAGAGGAGTTGATCAATCCAAAACATTTATTTTCCTTCGGGGAGGAGTGGCAAGTTTATTAGGATTTGGATTGCCGTATTATAATAGGAGTAGAAGAATAATCCATAAAATTTGTTTTGAACCTGTCGTCTTAATATGGTGGAAACAGGAGCTCCTATACCATGAAAATGAAGAAGAAGAAGAAGATTACGCATCGAACACTACAACGTGCTCAGAGGGCCACAGATCCACGCTCTTCCACCTAACCAAGCAAGGCGGAAGGCGGCTCCATCTGCTTGCTCTGCTTCTCCCACCGTCCACTTGTCCTGCGCCCTCTCTCAGTTCTCTCAGGCCATCTCCTCCGACCCCCCCTTCCTCTGCTCTCTCCTAGCCTTCCACCCTCACTTCCTTCGACGACGACCCCATCGCACCACATGTCGTCCATCTCATGTCCGCTCTCTGCGATTCCGCCTGTGCCTTGCTCTCTGCGATTCCGCCTGTGCCTCGCTCTGCTGACTTCGTCGGTAGGGTTTACGACCGTCTCTCTTCTCTTCTGGCTCCTTGGCCTGTAGTCTCCGTCAGCTTTATAGGTATTTCCACCATTCTCTCTTTGTTTGTCTGTGAATTCTGGAGTTACTGTTGAGACTTTAAATAAAATTTTCCGGTTGTGATTTGTTCTTTGTTTGCTTCCTGAGAAAATTATTTGTGTTTCTCGGTAGCCAAACAGTGCATGGCACTTGTTACGGTCGGATGAATATGGTGAAATCGAGCTTGATTCTTCTACTGTTTCTCATATTAAAACTCTGCTGTTTGTTTGCAAATTTACATATCAATTTTGAGATTTAGATACATACTTTGGGTAATGTTTATTTTCTGTTTGCTTCCTGAGATTATGACGGAAAATTATTAATTCTGTAAGTTTTCGGAATTGGTTAGGGGCTCAAAGTCATTCCTGTCCTGTTTGTTTCAAATTAAAATTTTCTACTCTACCGGGCAGGTTAGGGTGATTAGATTTCTAACACTACATGGACTTTAAGCCCTCATATGTGACATGAAGCTCAGTAAGGGGGTAACTCAAATTTTATTATAACTGAAACTCTCTGACCTTGTATTTTGGTTACTTTTTGGCTAAATTTGTGCATCATGACTTTGTTCATATGCAAGTTTAATGCCTATGGTTTGGAAGGAAGGAAGTCTCAACGATGATAAGCATCTGTGCACCCACTGGCTTGGCTTCTACTAACGAAACGTTTTCAACAATATCTTTAAGACTTACATCTTATTGATCTCAAAAATATATATCCCTGACAATTCTGCCATTCTTTAAGTGCAGCTGCTTAGGGGTTTTGTTAAACTGCCGGCAGAATAATCCTTACGCTCACATTAGAGACAATATGGCCTCATTACCAATCTTGTTGAAGGTTTTCAATTGCCAAGGTAACAAATAAAGAAAACTGATGTTCCTTTTTCCATGCATTTACCACACTATAACTAAAATCCTCTATTTTATTCCTTTAACACAGTGAAGAGATTCGGGGAGAAATCCTGTTTGTTCTAACTTCTATATAAGGTACCTGTTCTCCAATATGCATCAGAGGTTGGTGATGGAACTGATTTTTTATTTACCTTTTGCCCCAAGCTATTCAGCTTGTCTCTAGAGGCCATCATGAAGACGCAAAGCGATGATTTCCGCTTGAATTGTGTAGGTCAGTATTCCACTTGTTGAATACTATACTGTTGTGGCTTGATCTCAGCAAAGACATGACTATCATTTTGGTCAGCTTGTTATACCCCATGAGTTTCTATTTATTTAATTTTTCAAAGTAGGTTTTCTTTTTGGGCACATAGGCATATATAGACATCAAGCCTACAAACGAATTCCCTAACTACACCACAATTGTTTCTTATTGAAGGTGAAGGTCCTTGCAATTTCTCTCATCAATATAGTTGGAATGATTGTACAACAATGCCATTAATGAGTTGCATCCATTTGTTCATATCTCATGACAAGATACTTTGTATCGTGAGTTTATTTAGAATCAAATGATAAAAACGTTTTCAACTCCAAGTGCTTGGGTTCTTGACTATTGTTGACGCAGAAAAATGGTTCGGCACTTTCCCGCGCAACTTAGTGATTTAGTTTTCCTTTGGTATGCTGTGGCCTCGGTAGGTTGTTATACCTGTAAGATAGTGAACGCTCGGTAAGTCCTAGGGCACCGGTGTGGTACTGGCCGAAGGCTTTCCGATGCTTAAGTAAGTACGGGTTTAGTAAGTTTGAACTACAGATCAATAGGCAGTGTGCCGTGAGTTCTGATTGATTACCTCCAAGCTGGGATGGTTGTCCTCTTTTATAGGCCTTGGGAGGTGTGCAATTTGTTTAGAGTTTCGATGTGGGACTGTGGACATCAGTTGTGGGACTGCCACGTGTCGAAGGGGGTGAGGTTGCCCTAATGTTGCGACCGGTAGGGATGATACCGAAGGTGGGTGCCGAAGGCACTCATGGCCCTGGTTTAGTCCACGTGTCCGATATTCATTGGCTGTTCATTTTGGTATAAACAGGAGTCCCCCAAGTCCTCTTGCGAGAGTTCTCGGAAGGGGATTTGAAGTCGTCTTCGGAAGGAAATGTTGTCCTACTGTTCGGTAATCCAGTTGGGGGAAGGGGCTCAACTTTGGCCCTTCCGTTATTATTCGTTCAGAGGTTGACGTTGGTGAAGTCAGAAGGTCGCGTCGAGTGGACGGGTGAAGGGACATCTGAGCGCTTCGACTTCCGCGCCTCGCGTGCCGTTAGTCCCCCATAGGATGAGCGACACGAGGCGCATTAATGCGTCGTTTGGTTTTTCGAGGAGTACCGTTGCGAACCCCTTCCCTATAAATAGAGATGACCCCGGAGGCGAAATCACTTTGAATTTGGTGAGAAGCGAGAGCTCTGTTGAGGCGATTTCCGACGAGAGTTTCCGGTATTCAAGGCGATTTCCGACAAGTGCTAACGGTAACCAGGCGATTTTCGGCATTGCAAACGGTAGGAAGGGCGATCTGAAGCGCAGTTCGCATTTACTTTTCAGAGTGAAAACTAAGGTACCGTTCGGCACCTCCACTTTACTCTCTTGCATGCCTTAAGAGTTACGTCCTTCCTTGGTTTGAACTAGACTGACCGTAGGGTTCCATTCGGTAGTCTAGTCGCCATAGGTAGTGATGTAGGGATCGGTAGGATAGTATCCGACATGTGCCTTAGTTTCCTTTTTTCCTTGTTTTTGTAAATGTCTGATAGCGAGTCATTCTCTGAGCGTGAGCCCAATGCGTTCGATGAGGAGTCATCGGAAGTTCTCTTTGACTCCGATGGTGAAGCGGCAGGGCCTGATGCCGAGGGTGGGAGTGATACCGATGTTGAGATACTCGGTGAATGGCCCAGCTCCATTCCAATACACGGCATCGGAAAGGGGCAAATGACCGCTCCAGTGCCATTGTCCATTGTCTATAGTGACGGCCGCCATGTGGGCCTCGGCATGCCTGGGGAGGCGAGCGTTAGTCGCCAGTCAGAGACCTCCACTTCCGGCCGTGGAGAGTCAGCCGCCGAACCATCCTCTCGGCCGAGGGTATCGGTAGTGTACCCAACCAACCCTAGGGTACCTATGGGGGTGCCGAAGGAAAATTTGTTCGGCGTCGACTATCTTGGGCCGAACAAGATTACCGAGCGGGAGATTGCCAAATATCGAGCGGAATACCGCATCCCCGATTCGGTTCGAATGAGGATCCCGGGCCCTACAGAATCCCTCAGCAAGCCGAAGGACGGCGAGGTGGTTTTCTTCACCGACGTCCTTGTGCAAGGCGTTTGGTTGCCATTGCAGCCGGCGGTACAGAGGATTTTGGCCCAGATCGGCTATGCTCTGGGGCAATTTAACCCGAACTTATGGGTGGCCCTCATGGGAGTGATAACGGCCTTCGGCATGGTCGGTGAAGGGTATCCATCCTACGAGCAGTTCTCGCACCTGCACAGCATCACCAAGTCCAAGTGTGCCGATCACGGTGGATGGGTGCAGGCGAACTGTCTCAAGGCTACCGAGCGTGGCCACTTTGTTAGCTGGGTACCGACTTCTCAGAAGTCATGGAGGAATCGGCGAGTGCTCCTCTCGGGTGACTGGGAGTCGCCTTCGGGACAGCCTGTCCGATTTCGCATTCCCACAACATTCCAAATAGCCGGTAGGGTAACATGCCGTTCGGTATCTTCTTCGGGGTCCATGTTTACTGTTAGTGATCTTTTCCTGTTATTCCTCTTGTAGGTAAATTAAAGCAGCCGATCGCAACGCAAGCGGAGATCCAGCAAGTGAAGAGGGTGAGGAGCAAGGTCCCTACCGAGAAGAAGGTGTATCTGCAATTTCTCTTCAGGCCCAACTGGTCGATCCTGCCGAAAGTAAGTGTACTTTGCCATTTATAAGTTGTTTTTGGCCGTAGTAAGCTTTACCGATCCCTCTTTACGCAGTGACGGAAGAGAGGAGAGCTGCCGAGGCTAAGAGGATGAATTAGTCCTCCAAGCGCCGTCTCATGATGGGCTTCCAGGGGAAGAAAAAGAAAAGCTAGTAGCAGGGCTCGGCACCGGCGTCCTCGGTAGAAGCCGACCTCGAGGACCAAACCCTGGCTGACCGTCTCCGCCAGCTCAACGCTGACTCGGCGCAGGCTGGGGCGGCAGCGGTCGGTCCCTCTCCAGGCTGAAGCGTTCCTGCCAAGGGGACTTCCTCCCGAGCAGCCGGCAAGCGTCCGGTAACCGTCGACCTGGATGCCGAACCTGCCCCAAAGCGCGGGCGGCAGACCGAGCCTTCTTGGGCTATCTTTGTCGTTGATAATAACGAGGAGCTTGCCAACCCCGTCACCTTGGCCTGTCCGTCGAAGACGGTTCAGTTTGCTAACCACATGATCCTTGGTTCGCAAATGGAGCTTAACGAGATCGAAGAGCTGCCGAAGAAGCTCCTTCGGGAGGAGGCGGGTCGCGCTTTCCGCCTTCAAGCTTCGGTAAGTTCCAAATATTCCCGGGTCAACTTACCGATTGCTTTCTTTATATTTTGTCTGACATTTCCTTTATTCCCCAGGCTTCGATGGACATGTGGCTGTGCGTTAAGCTAGCCATCAATGCTGCCGAGAAAGCGAAGAAGGCTTACGAGGACGATAGGGCCAAGGTTGCCGAGGCTGGCAAGGCTATCCAGGACCACACGAACCTGGAGAAGGATTTACAGGCTGCCGAACGGCAGCCCTGGAGTCGGTGCGGCTATCGGCATGAGAGGCGAAGGAGGCCGTCGAGGTGGCTTTGGAGGAGTCGGAGCGGGCCAAGGCTTCGGAGATCGAGGCTGCTGTCCAGGAGGCTGTCCGGAAGTACCGCCACTCTTCTGATTTCTCCACCTTGCTCGACAAGGAGGTGGGCTCGGAGATGGTGGATCTGATCTACCGTTTCAAGTGGTACAACCCTGGGACGAAGCTGAACTTGAATTTCATTACCGATCCTCCTCCCCTTCCCGAAGGCATCACGGAAGAAATGATAGACGAGTATGAAGGGGAGGACGCTCCGGGAGAGCATACCGCCACTGGTGCCGAAGAGGCGGATGCCGAGGAGGCTACTTGAAAGCTCTCCATCCTCAACAAGAAGTTTTGTACGCTCTGCAATGATACTCAAAGGTATAGTCCTATTTCGAATGGCAGGGCGTCAATCTCCTCGAAAAGCTTCTTCTCATTTCCTGCTTTTATCTTATGTGACCTTGATGCCGATGGCATTTTTAATGTAATTTTGATGTAACCTTGATGCCGTGAGCATCTTTTGATTGAACCTTTGATGCCGTGGGCATATTTTTATTGTATCTCGATGCCGTGGGCATCTTTTAATCGAAGTTGTTTTTAATTTCAAACTTGATTGTATCTTATTTTTCAATCGGTAAGACGCTTTGGAAAATTTCTCTTTAAATGCCGAAGGCTATGTAAAAAGGTCACTGGCCGTTGGCCAATAAAGTTATCTTCCAAGCAAAATTTCAACTGGTAGGGATTTGAGAACAACAGACGTACTTGCCGAAGGCTGAGTAACGGCTTTAAGTGCCGAAGGCTAATAAAAGCTCAAACCCTTGGTTCAGTGGGTAACTAAGGTGATCCCTTCAAGTTGTCCTTCAATCGGTAGGCTAATAACGATGCCCAAATGCATAGTTTACTGTGACCGATGGTCTCTACCGTATCTTTTTTTATTATTATTATTATAGATGAGATGGGCTTAAAGGGTACACCAAAAGTTTTGAATATACGAGCCGAGGGCCCTTTCATTGATAAATTGCCGAAGGCAAAGATACATCTGGAGTGCGTTTTACAATTAAAAACCTGCCGTAGGCTAGGGGACGCTATACTGCCGAAGGCTGTGAATATAAAAAATGCCGAGGACTTTCGGGACTCTCTTGTAACCCTGCCGCAGGCTAAGTGACTTCATTTAAAATAATATTTCAAATGCTCTACATTCCAAGGATGACCGAGGGCCTTTCCGTTGGAGTCTCTGAGTCAATAAGTCCCCGATCGCTGGATACCGATGATTTCGTAGGGTCCTTCCCAGGAAGGTCCAAGGGTTCCTTCCGTAGGATTCTTTGTTGCCAGAGAGACCTTTCGCATGACCCAGTACAATCCGCGGTCTGACCCTGGAGTCATAGTACCGAGAGACGCGTTGCTTGTAAGCTTCGTTCCGAAGGTTGGCTTGTGCTCGGCGTTCTTCGAGCAAGTCGAGGCTCAAGGCGAGCGCCTCCTCATTCGCCTTCGGTTTGAAAGCTTCCGTTCGGTAGGAAGGCTCTCCGATTTCTACCGGGACAACCACTTCTGAGTCAAAAGCCATGGAGAACGGTGTTTCCCCGGTTGCCGTTCGGTAGGATGTCTGGATGGCCCATAACGCCACTGGAAGCTTCTCCGGCCAGGCCCCTTTGGCTTTGTCAAGCTGCCGTTTCAATAGCTTCTTGACAATTTTATTCATTGGGGGTGAGCTAGCGAAGTAAAGAACAGGTTGATCTTGACTCGGACGCAGAACTCTCTGAAGACTTCCAAGTCAAATTGCCTGCCGTTATCCGTGACGATGGCGTAGGGGATGCCGAATCGGCAACAAATGTTCGTCCAGACGAAATCTTCAATTCTGGCTTGCCCTCTGGCATCGAACCAATTAGATCTAACCCCCATTGGGCGAATGGCCACGGGCTCACAATCGGTGAGAGCGGCTCGACAGGAACATGAGGGACGCTACCGAACCGTTGGCATTTGTCACACTTCTTGACTAACATGTTCGCATCTTGGTGCAAGCGATCGGGATCCCGAATGGTCACCGCAAACTCCACTGTGGACCTCCCGAAGTATGTAGTCCCCCTGCTCCTTGGTTAGGCATTTTAGATACGGTGTGGTGTAGCCTCGCTTGTACAGAATATCGTTGATGACCGTGTATCTTGCCGATCGGTAACGGAGCTTCCGAGCCTCTGACTTATCGGTCGGAAGGATTCTGTTTTTCAGGAAAGCATAGATGGGAGACATCCATGTGTCATCGTATCGTACGGTACACACCTCAGCGGTTGTCGTGCTTGGCTGGGACAGTATCTCCACCGGTACCTTTCTTCCGATCTTGTCGTTTATTGCCGAAGCCAAACGCGAGAGCACATCGGCATGACTGTTTTTTGACCTCGGGATCTGTCGTATCTCGTAGGCCTGAAATTTTCCCAGTAGTTGGTGAGCTGCCGATAGGTAAGCTGACATAGAGGCATCCTTGGCTGCAAAGTCTGCCGTTATCTGATTCACAATGAGCTGGGAGTCACTGTGAATGCTGATCTGTCTCGCGCTCATGCTCTTGGCTAGCCGAAGGCCGACCCAGAAAGCCTCATACTCTGCCTCGTTATTAGAGGTCCGGAAGTTGAATCAGAGAGCGTACTCGACTTTGCCACCATCCGGAGTGGTTAACACTAAGCCAGCACCACAGCCTTGCTGGTTTGCCGAGCCATCCACGTGCAGAATCCAAAGAGGAACGGAATTGTCAAAGCGTTCAAAGGACTTGGGATTGCCGACAGCATGGTCAATCGGCAAATAACGCCCCTCCTCCGGTATAGTAATTATAGCGTTCGGACATGATGTTTCCGATAGTGCAGGAGGTGTGAGCTCGGAGATGAAATCGGCGACGGCCTGACCTTTTTCTGCAGGCCTTGGCTTGAACTGTATGTCAAATTCTCCTAACCCGATTGCCCATTTGACCAATCGGCCCGACGTTTCTGGCTTTTGGAGTACCTGCCGAAGGGGCTGGTTTGTCAGAACAGTGATCTCGTGCGCCTAGAAGTATGGGCGAAGCCTTCGCGCCGAGACAACCAGGGCCAGTGCTAGCTGCTCTAAGGGTGGGTACCAAAGCTTTGCACTCTGGAGTGCCTTGCTGACATAAAGATCGGTAGCTCTGCCTTCTGCGGCTTCCGTATCAATACTGAGCTGACGGCAGTGTTGGATACCGAGAGGTATAGGAGGAGGACTTCTCCTAGGAGCGGTTTTGATAATAGCGGTGCCTGGTTCATGTAGTTCTTCAAGTTTTGAAATGTCTGGTCGCATTCGGGAGTCCATGCGATATGATGTTTGCCCCCTTTCAAAGCTTTGAAGAACGGCACGCACTTGTCGGTAGCCTTGGAGATGAAGCGTGTCAGGGCAGCAACACGCCCGGTAAGGCTTTGAATGTCCTTCTGTGTCTTCGGCGTCTCTATGTCGATTATGGCTTTGATTTTCTCAGGATTAGCTTCGATTCCCCTTTGGCTGATCATGAATCCGAGAAATTTACCGGAAGATGCACCGAAGGCGCACTTCGTTGGGTTCAGCCTCATCCGGTAGTCCTTTAGTATGCCGAACATGAGGGCTAGGTTTTCCAGATGCCCCCCTGCCGTTCAGCTTTTCACCAACATGTCGTCGACATATACTTCCATAATGCTGCCGATGTGCTTAGCAAAAATCCGGTTGACGAGCCGTTGATAAGTTGCTCCCGCGTTTTTCAGCCCGAAGGGCATGACGTTGTAACAGTACAATCCGCGGTCGGTGATGAATGCCGTATGCTCTCTATCGGCAGGGTCCATAAAGATCTGGTTGTATTCTGAATTGGCATCCATGAAGCTGAGCAGCTCGTGTCTAGCGGTAGCGTCGACGAGCTGGTCGATTCTCGACAAGGGAAAACTGTCCTTCGGACAAGCCTTGTTCAAGTCGGTATAGTCCTGACACATCCGCCATCGTCTTGTGGTCTTCTGAACCATGATTGAGTTGGCAAGCCAGACAGGGTACGTAGCTTCCATGATAAAGCCGATGGCTTTAAGCTTGTCAACCTCGGCACGCATCGCCTCGTACCGTTCGGCATCATATGAACAGCGCTTCTGCCTGACCGGTTTATGGGCGGTGAAGATGCTGAGCTTGTGGCTGATGACGTCAGGTGATATGCCTGGCATATCATCGTAAGACCAGGCGAAGACCTCCGCCTGTTGCCGTAAGAAGTCGATGAACCGTCTGCGGAGGTCGGGATCTAGGTTGGTGCCGATTTTTACCGACCGATCGGGAAAATCCTCGTTCAGGACCACGGTCTCGAGCTCTTCGGCAGGCTGCACCACCGGCATTGGCGTTTCCTCCCTGGGGTCATCAATGGGCCCGCTACCGTTCGGCAATCCCTGCACGGTCATGGCTTCCATTGGCGGCTTGCAAGCTACCGACTTAAGGGCTGTGGCATAGCACGTCCGTGCGCTAAGCTGGTCACCCCGGATGACGCCAGTACCGTTGTGTGTAGGGAACTTCATCAGCAACATGTGGGGGGATAAGTGGGCTTTGACCCTGGTGAGTGCCGTTCGCCCTATGATGATGTTGTATGCCGTTGGGTCATTGTTTTCCTGGGGGCGACGCCGAAGGCGATGGGCAAACTGATACTGCCGACTGGCTAGACCAGATCTCCAGAAAAACTGAGGAGGGGCGTTATTTGCCGATTGACCATGTTGTCGGCAATCCCCAGTCCTTTGAACGCATCGGCAAAAATTACGTTCGCCGAACTTCCGGTGTCAATCAGCACCCGACCTACATCGTAGTCAGCGATCTCGGCCCGAATGATAATTGGGTCATCGTGGGGGTAAACGATCCCTTCCTCCTCTTCTTCGCAGAATGTGATGGGCTCCCACCCCACCTTCGGGACCTTTCGGCACCAATCGTCTTCTATGCCGAAGACTTGAGAGTAGTGAGCGGCACGCACATACTGTTTCATTGAACGGTTAGAGGGTCCCGCTAGAGTGGGGCCACCGCTGATGGTGCTAATCATGTTGATCTGCCGATTCGCGTTCGGTGCTGATGCCTGTGGTGGCCTGGCGATGTAATGATCCAGCTTTCCTTCTCGAATCAGACGCTCAACGATCTTCCTCAGACTGATGCAGTCTTCGGTGTTGTGGCTGTTCTGCTGGTGGTATCGGCAAAATTTGCCAGTGTCCCGATTATCCTGCCGATTGGGCTTCCGGTTCGTTGGCTTCGGGATTTGGTCATGCTCGTTCATCAGAACGGTCTCGTATGTTGTGTTCAGCAAGGTGAAGACTTCCTGGGCACAATCGTGATTTGGTAGCGGCGCACGGTGGTCGTTACGACCGTACTTCCTTTGCCCTTTCTTCGAGTTTCCCTGACGACTATCACGGTCGTTCTTCCGTTTGTGTCCTGCCGAAGAATCGTCAATTCGCCCCTGATAACTTTTGGTCACTGACTCCTCCTTCCGAGCCGAAGGCCCGGGTTTGGAGTTGAAATATTCGGCTTTCGTATGAACTGCCGCCTACTTCATCAACTCGTCGTATGTGCGCCAGTTACTACTATGCACGAGGTACCGGAAGTGAGGGGACCGAAGGCCACTTTTGAGGGCACCGAAGGCTGCCCTATCGTCTGTTTCTGGACACCTCAAGTATTCGTGATTGAAGCGCGCTGCGTACTCCCATAGGGGTTCGTCCTCTCTCTGCCGAATCGTGTACAGATCATCAGCAGAGTACAAGCGATCTGTTTGGATCATGAAGTGATTGAGGAAAATCTGCTTCAGTCTACCGTCCCCGGCTCAAGACGGTAGAACCAGTTCAGAGCGGCTTCGGTAAGGGATGATGGGAACAGCACGCATTGCCCCTCGTCGCTGAGGCCCTTGCATCCAACTGCCGATTGGAAGGAGTGAAGGTGCGTCAAAGGGTCCTCCACGCCGGTATAAAATGGTATACGCAACGGCTGCACCTCCTTGTCCTGTCTGGACTTCTTGATGCGCTCGGTAAATGGTCCTGGCCGAAGTTTTCCCCAGTCAGGGACCTGGGACCGGGTTCGGTCGTCCTCCATCTTCTGGATTCTCTGGAAAAGCAGGCAGATAGCAGGGTCTCGGCTTGGGACATCCTCGGAACTGAAGTCTTCGGAAGTTCTCCTCGGACTCGGTGATCTTGCCTTCAAATACCCCGGGGGAGTTTCCGAACGGTAGTTTGATTCGGTATCCTTAGGACCTTCATCCGGGAGTCCCGCAGGTGGGCATTAACCCTGATTGGGGACCTATGCCGTTCGGCATCCTTCTTGTCGTTGATCCGATGACGACAATTGGTGTACACCTTCTTCGGCACGTGAGGTTGGTCCTGTGGAGCCGGGACCACCAACTGTTTGGAAGGCGCAGACGTTGCCTTTGCCCCCCGCTTTCCCTTCTTCTGCCGACCGGGGGTCTGCTGACTCTAGGAAGACTCGGTAGCCTGAATGCTCTATGTTTCTTGTTGGTTAAGCAACCGTTGGGTTTCGTCTACTTTGGACGAGAGGAGATTGTTATGTTCTTGGAGTTTAGCCATCTCCCTCCGAAGGGAGGTCATCTGAGCCAGAAGCTCCGCTTCGATCGTGGTCTGAAGCACTGGAGGATTACCGAAGGGGGTGCTAGGGTGCAGCGCGGGGCTTGCTCCACTTGGCATACCGTACGGTAATCCATCCTCCGATAGGAACTGTGGTCCTGAAGTGGTCCCCATATGTTTTTTTTTAGGAATTGTAGGTTGATTGTTATCGTTTCCCACAGACGGCGCCAAACTGTTGACGCAGAAAAATGGTTCGGCACTTTTCCGCGCAACTTAGTGATTTAGTTTTCCTTCGGTATGCTGTGGCCTCGGTAGGTTGTTATACCTGTAAGATAGTGAACGCTCGGTAAGTCCTAGGGCACCGGTGTGGTACCGGCCGAAGGCTCTCCGATGCTTAAGTAAGTACGGGTTTAGTAAGTTTGAACTACAGATCAATAGGCAGTGTGTCGTGAGTTCTGATTGATTACCTCCAAGTTGGGATGGTTGTCCTCTTTTATAGGCCTTGGGAGGTGTGCAATTTGTTTAGAGTTTCGATGTGGGACTGTGGACATCAGTTGTGGGACTGCCACGTGTCGAAGGGGGTGAGGTTGCCCTAATGTTGCGACCGGTAGGGATGATACCGAAGGTGGGTGCCGAAGGCACTCATGGCCCTGGTTTAGTCCACGTGTCCGATATTCATTGGCTGTTCATTTTGGTATAAACAACTATAGAACTTATTGCCTTAAGCTGAGACAATTATAATTTAAAACCTTTCAGGTAATATACAACTCTTTGGGGAAGTGATCCTCACCCAGAATGGAATTCTCCCCATTTTACATGCACATTTCCTCATTGGTATCAGTCCTGTCTTCTCTCAACTAACAATTTCCATATTAGTTGTGCAGCATTCTTGACAGTGTTGGCTCGGAGAGGGCATTTCGGGGCTGCATATGCAGTTGATTTAAACAGCATGTGTTCATTCGAAGGAGATAGCTTTGAACAAGAAATAGGAAGGCACTTAAGTCAAAGAAACCCAAGTCCTACCACACACGCGTGTTGGTATGATTTCTAGTTGATGATCAATCCGACTGTTGATTGTTGTTGCTCTGCTACAAGCTAGTTGGTCCGAATAACTCGTGTACCTGAATCCAGTTTTTCTTGCTTTCTTTTGTGTTTTTCCAGTTTACCATGTTTTATTTTCACCTTCTTTGCCATTCCATAACAAGTCTAGTCCTATAAGCGAAAGTATGGCTACAAGTCACATTGTGAATAAGATCAAAACCAAATTATGGCTATGATAGGTAAAAAAGTAGCTTTGATGATCGAAGTTATTTTGATGGCTACAAAGAACCAATATATAGCTATACGACATGGAGCTATACACTTATATGGAACTAGGTGGTGAGAGGAAATATGATGCAGGGATTATTATGACCCTCGTTTTGTTTCTTCATGGATGGGAACTCTGTCGTTATTGTCTCCATAATCATGGATGCTTTTTTGTCATGGCTGCGCTTTAGGGTTTAGGGTATTTTTCATACAACCAATTGTTATATCTAACCCAATCACTTTCTTTCTAAACTCTATCTTTGTAACTTATATTGCACTTCACCTGGAAGAGATTATAATCCATCAAAACTTAATATTTTTAATTTGGCAAAATAAAAAAAAGGTAATATTCTTGCAATATCTCTCTAAATCAAACTATTTTTTATATTTATTTTTATTAGGGCCAACCAGAGAGGCATAAAACAATAGAGCTTGGATAAAGAATTCAAAGGTTCATTCAAAGGTTTACCCTAATGAGAGGATAAATAAAGTCCTTTGCTTGGTTATTCAGTTAATAAAAATCAATAACGGTGGTTTTGACCCCAAAAAAAAATAAATAAATAACGGTGGCTTGTGGAGGACAAAAGTCAAGCATATCTTAGCAAAACAATTAAAAGCAATCTGGATCCAAACTATATTAGCTTTCAGATTTAATTTTGGATTGGTACCCAACAATAACATGGAACATTTGAAGACAGTGTGTGCCATGAAAATGGCCTTACTGAAATGAAGAATAAGCTTCCCACAAAACTTCTACTTCCCTGTTAAAATCTAAGCTATTGTTGCAACATAAATCATTTCCAGCTAAACATAAAAGCAGAACAGGACTTAATACAACCTTTAACCAAATCGAACTAAGTTTAGTAATCTTTCTTGCAGTGTGAACGTCATCTCAAAAGTCTGTTTTTTTTAAAAGGATCTTCAGAAAACATAATTTGTTTTCGTCGTTCCTGAGTCCATAAACTTCCAAACATTCATCTCATCTACATATCTGTACAAAAACAAAATAATCAAAATTTGTAAGAACCTAAGAAGCACGGATACGGCAGTTAATTAAGGGACGCATCCTGTATCCCTGTGTCGTGTCGTATCGTATCGCCGTATCCGTATCCGTGTCCGTACTTCTTAGGTAAGAACAATACAAATTGATAGAAAAGGCATGTTCCCATAAAGTATACAGCCCAGTTTCTTACTTTTAATATTTACCTTTGAACTCAAATCCATGATGGCATCGTTAAGAGAAACAAAGCTTGGAATATACACAAAAGCTTCAACCATTAATGGTATCCCATCAACCGCAGCCCGGATGGAGCCCCTTTTTCCAGGAGTATAAACCCTCAGTTTATACTTTTGAAAGAACAAGACTTTTCCCTTCTTGGTAAATTTCAATACTTGGGTAGCAGAAGAGCTAGCTGAGTAACCAAAATCACCTGTTTAAGGACAAGCTCTTTGGTCCAAGACTCCTTCACACCATAATCCTTCATCACCCAAACATTGATATTACCTTTGGAGGGGACAAATATGGAGAGCCAACCTTTCAGGACCCCAAGGCTGATAAGAAGTTTTTCCCAAGAACAAGGTGGCAGCAGCAACTCTTGGAAGCGCTCACTTTCAAGATCAAAGGCGCAAATCAAAACAGAGTTGTCACCGCACTGAGAAATCCAATGAAGAAAACCATTATGGAAAATCCCACATGATTGGTACCCAAAAGGAAAAGGATACACAAAATTCCCAACATTTCTCCAACCCCCAGAGCCAACAGTCAAAACTATTATCTCCCCTTGATTACATCCTTCGCTAGGAGATGAAACCAAAACTAACTTATAAGCGTTGACATCATTGATGGGACAAAACCCATGTAAAACTTAGAGAAGGATGTGTGATCTCAATTGCCTTATTCAATCAATAAGGCCTGCATGTATTTATACTTCATTCAAGATTACATCAGGGAACTGAAATCCCTATTTACAAGGTTATTAGAAATTCAAACAATACAACAGAAACAGCACACTTAGATTTACACGGAATGAAATATTTAAAAGAGTCTTAACCAAAACTAACTCTTGGTGGATAACAAGTTGACTTGATCACAAACTCTTGAAACCGTAGGCAGAGTAGGACTTGGTCTAACATCCCCCCGCAAGCTGACAGGGGGGGAAGCCACTAAAAGCTTGGAAACTAGAAATTTGAAACGCAAAGAAGACAGGCCTTTAGTGAACAAATCAGCAATCTGATCTTGAGAACAAATATAATTCACCATTAACTGACCACGAACCACCTTTTCACGAACATAATGGTAATCAACTTCCAAATGCTTCGTGCGCGAATGAAAAACTGGATTCGAAGCTAGGGCAATGGACGAGATATTGTCGCACCAAATGGTCGGACAAACAAGATGTAACTTTAAGTCACGGAAAAGAGACTTTAGCCATGACAGTTCCGCAGCTGTGTAAGCCAGCTGCCGATACTCAGCTTCGGAACTCGAGCGAGACACCGTTTTGTGTTTCTTAGAACTCCATGACACAAGATTGGAGCCGAAGTAAATGCAGAAACCACCAGTGGAATGCCGAGTGTCAGGATTCCCAGCGTAGTCAGCATCGGAAAAGGCCGTGAGATGTGAAAGACCAGGTTTGTACAGAAGACCATGATTGTACGTGGCTTTAACATAGCGAAGTATCCTCTTGACTGCCGTCCAATGCGTAGTTGTTGGAGAGTGCATGAACTGACAGACCTGGTTCACAGCATAGGAAAGATCAGGTCTGGTGATGGTTAGATACTGTAGCGCGCCAACTACACTCCGATACAAGTCTGGACTGTCATGTGGCTCACCATCATAAGCACTCAATTTCTGGCCACAAGGAACTGGAGTTGAAATTGGTTTGGCATCCAAAAAGTTGGTTCACTTCAACAAGTCCAAGGCATACTTAGCTTGACTCAAATGCATCTGATCATTCATATATTGTACTTCAACTCCTAGAAAATAATGTAGTGGACCCAAATCCTTCATGGAAAATAAAGTTCCCAGTTTTTTGATTAAGCAACCCATTTGTCGTGAGCTATTTCCTGTCAACAAAATATCGTCCACATATATCAACAGAATTAAGTAAATACCTGTGTGATTGTAAACAAACAAACTATAATCACAAGTGGACGCTTCAAATCCCAATTGAAGCAAAAATTCTGAGAACCGATGAAACCAAGCACGAGGAGCTTGTTTCAAGCCATAGATACTCCGTTGTAGTTTGCAAACATAATTAGGATATTCCTGATCAACAAAACCAGCAGGTTGTCTCATATACACATCCTCGTTCAAAAATCCATGCAAAAATGCATTCTGTACATCCAATTGTCTAATAGGCCACTGTTTGGAAACCGCAAGACTAAGAACAAGTCGTATGGTGTTGTGCTTCACCACAGGACTAAAGGTTTCTGTATAATCAATGCCAGGCTTCTGATGAAATCCGTTGGCAACAAGCCTCACCTTATACCTTTCTATTGAGCCATCTGCACGCTGTTTAAGCTTGAAAACCCACTTGTTAGGCAACAAATTCATTTGTGGATGATACGGAACAAGTTTCCAGGTACCACAACGCTGTAGTGCGTTGAACTCTTGAACCATGGCATTCCTCCACTCATGTTGCTTGAAGGCCTGACTATAACAGGTTGGTTCAACAAGAGAATGATCAATATTAACATGCAATGCATATTTAGGATTACGTTTGTGAATGCCAGATTGTGAACGAGTAGTCATTCTTTGAGGTTGGATTGACTGTGGATTGGAAGACGGAGCACCGTGAGTATCAGTTGGCACGGATTGGTTCAGTTCAGGAACTGGTACTGCCTCTTGCTCATGTGAAGATGAAATGGTAGGCCTAGAGATTTGTAAAGGCATTGGGTTTGCCGTGGCTAGAGGATCAAGTAAGGCAGGAGTGGAGAGCAGGTTAGTAGGATTAGGAATATCAAATGCTATGGTGTTTGGTTGATGAAGGGACTATAAAGGCGGGCTAGGAGATAATGGGTTGGCCTGGGGTGATGGAGATAAAAGAGGAAAAGTAAATAACAAGTTAGGGGAAGTATTACTACCTGTGGTTCCAACGCTGTCCAGGGAAGATGTGAGTTCCTTGAATGGAAAAGTGTCCTCATCGAATAGGACATGGCGAGACAAATAGATTCGTCTCGTGGACATTCAATGAGTAACCTAAAAACACACATGATTTTGACTTTGGTTGGAGTTTATGTTGTGTATAAGGGACTAACCAAGGAAAACAAAGACAGCCAAACACTTTGAGAGTTTCATATTTGGGAACTTTGGCAAACAATTTTTCATACAGCGATTTATGGGACAAGGCACGACTTGGCAATCTATTAATTAAATAAGTAGTTGTTAAACAAGCATCCACCCAATATTTATTTGGAATATGGGCATGAGAAAGCATGACAATACTAGACTCAACAATGTGACGATGTTTTCGTTCGGCAATACCATTTTGTTCAGGATGTTTTGGACACGAAAATCGTTGTGAAATGCCGTGAGATGCAAGATAATTTTGAAAAACATGACTTTTATATTCCCCACCTTCATCACATTGAAGGGTTTTGATGGAAGTATTGAACATATTTTCGACCTGTGCTTTAAATCTCACAAAAATTTCAAAAACTTTAGATTTTCTTTTCATTGGAAAAACCCAAGAATATCTAGAATAATCATCCACGAATAACACATAATAACGAAAACCATCAACTGAATTTACTGGAGAACACCAAACATTAGAATGCAACAATTGTAAAGGGAATTGAGAGACAGACTTGGAAATACTGAAAGGTAATTTAGTACTCTTTCCTAAGGGACATGACTGACAAAACGTTACATTTGAAGCACCAAGAACTGGTACTTTCTTATTGGAAATTAAAAACTTGACAGTAGACGAGGTAGGATGACCAAGATGTGAATGCCATTTTTGAGCCGAGACTCGAATGCCTACACACACTAAAATAGGGTAGTTAAACTGTCCACCGCCACCTGAAAATGGATATAAGCCATTCTCACATCTCTCGTGGAAAAGCGTCTTCCGGGTCTTGAGGTCCTTTACAAGGAAAAAAATGAGGGAAAATAAGTATATAGCACTGATTGTCTAAGGTAAATCTATGGGCAGAAATAATATGTGTGGAGGCAGTGGGACATCTTAAGATATCTTTTAATTCAAATGAGCAAGATTTAGTACGTAATGTATTTGAACCAAGATGAGAAATAGAAATTCCAAAGTCATTACCTACTCCACCAACATTCTCATTACCGTTATACTCTTTTGGATTAACCAAATTCTGAAGATCTGGAGTGACATGTGCATTGGCACCAGTATCAAGTAACCACTGCCCATTGGTTTGTCGATTAAGAGTAATAGGAGAGGTGGCCATGGCAGTGAGTTTCTTGGCTGGGACCCTTCCTTCATACGCAGTATTCATTCGCTGGTAGCAATCTAGGGCAGGATGCCCTGGTTTCCCACAAATCTGGCATGTAATCCTTTCACCTGCACCATTAAACCTTTCACCATTGTTTGCATAATTAGGTCTCACATTGTTATTATAAGGATTGGGGCGAGGATTGACACCACCACGTCCAGCAGCACCACCACATCCAGCTAGAACTATTCCTCGTCCGTTGCCACGAAATCGTCCACCACGACCTCTGGCAGTGACAAAAGCATTAACAGAAGCAACCTCCACAAGGGGAGCAGCTTGCTCAGTCATTCTCCTTTCTGTAGTCAGTAAGAGCGCCTTAAGCGTAGGGTACGTGATGGGAGTATCACGTGCCTGAGCAGCGTTCACTGTCATCTCATAAGCAGGTCCAAGATTGTTCAAGATAATCTAGACAAGTTCATCATCACCCACAGGTTTGCCAGCTAGGGCAAGGTTATCAGAAATAGCATTCATTTTATCAAGATAATCAGCAATCAACAAATCACCTTTTTGGTTTGTATAAGTTCATTCCGTAGAAACAAGATGCGATTCTGGGATGTAGAAGCATAATGTTGCTCGAGAGCCTCCCAGGTAGCACGAGAGGTCCCTTGTTGGCCACGACCGAGAGCACAGACGGCGTGAGAGAGCCATTAATCCAGCTGAGTATCATTTGATCGTACTGTACCCAGGTTGTGTAAGCAGGATTGGTAGTTGTACTTCCAGAAAGCTGCTAGGAAGGACAAACAATGGTTCCATCAACATAACCCATCAGGTCCCGACTCCTGAGAATAGGTAAGATCTGAGCCAACCACAAAGGATATCCAGCTTAATGTTTACAACTGAGGTCAAGGAAGAGAAGGGGTTCATGGTGGAATTTGGGAGAGTGGTGTTGATAGTTTGGGTGGAGTCACTGTTGCTAGAGTCGGCCATGAAAGCAAAGAGAAAAAAAATTTGGATCTGTGTCGTTAGACTGCTAGGGCTTTGATACCATGTAAAACTTAGAGAAGGATGTGTGATCTCAATTGCCTTACCCAATCAGTAAGGGCTGCATGTATTTATACTTCATTCAAGATTACATCAGGGAACTGAAATCCCTATTTACAAGGCTATTAGAAATTCAAACAATACAACAGAAACAGCACACTTAGATTTACACGCAATGAAATATTTAAAAGAGTCTTAACCAAAACTAACTCTTGGTGGATAACAAGTTGACTTGATCACAAACTCTTGAAACCGTAGGCAGAGTAGGACTTGGTCTAACAACCCAAACCCATAAAGAAATGGAAAAACAATTTCCTTGGGAAGTTTTGGAAGAGTTAAAGACTCACCCAAAACGGGGTTGGAGACTTAAAATCGGCCATAGTTGATCCTGTCGTATAGGCAAAGGAAGCCATTGCAGGAACCCACGATTTGTACACCATGAGTTGGGACATTAGGGTCTTTAGGAAGCTTAATGACAACGTCATTCCTGCTAGAAGCGTTGTCGAGGTCGATCAAGAAGAGCCCAGTCGAGTTGGGGTTTCTGGAGCTACTGTTTTGGAGCAAAAGGCAAGTAGGTGTTTCTGAGAAGAGGTATTTGGCGTGAGAAATAACTAACGCACAAATTAAACCCTATAAATCATGCAATCGTAGTACGAGTAAGTAGGGATCGTTCTATTCCGGGGATTAGGAGGGATGCTAATCAACACAAATTAAACTTATTAAACTGGAAACTAAGTTAAGGGAACAATGATTGGGGGGAATTCTGACGATTTAGACTAAAGTAAGACTGACAGCAGCAAACAACTAAGTTGTGAATGAAATATGGATTATTGGATAGCTAGAGGATTCTTCTCCACACGTGGAACATATGCACACATATCGATCTCCAGTTACTCTTTCTATAAAGTATGAATGACAAAGCCCCAAATTAATTGTGAATGCACTAATTAACTCTCAGATTTTCCTAAGTTCATTGAATTGGACTCAGCAACGCAATCAAATTATCCTTATCAAGTTCCCTATATGAACAGCATGATAGAGATACATATCAAAGATCATTAAGTTCTATGAAAATCATAAGCCTTGACAAGACAATTGTAACTATGAAAAGCATGATACTCCTGCCAAGAATTTACTTAACACAATCATGACTAGTGACTTTTACTACTTGTGAATATAAGTTCATAACGATTAGGTGAAATTCCCTTATATTCTAGCATCAAATCCCTGCATACAAACTAAGTATGCATCCTTAATAAACATGCAAGAATAAGTCCTCAATAAAACAGAAAAGTAAATCACATTCATACTTTATGAAACCATAACTGGAAGTAATCAATTCATGTAAAACATATGTCCATGGCTTCGAATTCACCTCTAACTAAGAAGAAATTCAGTTACACATGTTCATAATAATTGAAAAGCAATATAGAATAAACATTTGAACTAATCAAGGGAAGAACTCTGAAAAACCCAATGGATGCAGCAGGTTCCGGCTCCAAGTTCTTCTTCTCCCTTTCTCCTTTCTTGCAACGGCCCCAAAAGAACTCCCTTCTCCTGCGGCAACCCCTCCTTTATATATGTGGTAGATCTAGGGTAAAAGGGCCCAGCAAAAAACCACGAAATTAGGGTTTTGTTTGGAAGATTTCTTTAGGAATAATAGGGCCAAATAGAAACCCACGAAATTAGGGTTTTTATGTTTCCTAATCTGAAATTAATCCCCCCCTTTTACAGCTGGAATTTAGGTCGAATAGGATTAGGATAAGGTAAAATAAAATAAAATCAGTTAGGGTTTTTTACTTCCCAGAAGCTGATTCTTGAATTAATTTCCCCATCTTTTTAGCACATTCCTAGCCTCTTCGAACTTCAAAAACGTCCATCCATCTTGGCCCATGCATATGCTACCCATTCCAAGTCCAAAACTGCTCTAAAATGCTCCAAAATGCCCTTTCTTGCCAATCTTGCCATCTAGACCTACAATAGTACGAAAATAAGCTAAATCACTCTAATAAATGGGAATTAACTAAGTAAATGCAAAGAAATAAGATACCAAAGTCGCATAAATATGCTCCTATCAGTATTTGGTGAATTCAGGGTCTGAGATCGAACAACGCCAAGACTTGCACACACACCTGCACTGGATGTGGGTTTTAATTGGGATTTTGCAGAAGATCTCAACAGTCAGGTGGTTTGGCAGTTGGAGGATGTAGGGCTTCATGTCCTTTCTTCTTCATCTTCTTCATGCTCATTTGGTGGGTGGTTGTGCAATAGTTTGGTTTTCTTCATGACCGGGCTTTGTGTCCTTTCTTCTTCTTCTTCTAACGTATATATATTGATGTTAGAATTCATGAATTATGGAGATAATAGGTAGAATCGTGGGGTTTAGTTTTTGGAATTTTCTCTGCCTTTTGGCACGATCTATCTGTTACTCACATAGTCTAAAATATCGATAATATCAACAAAATATCGATGATATTATCATTTTTTCAGGTCAATGATATTTTGGAATATATCCATACACATATTGTATAAATATCGATAATATCAACAATAATATTGGAAAATATTGACCTCTATAATTTCTCTCACACTTCAGCAACATTTGGTTAAAATATCGCTATAATATCGATAATACTGATAATATCGAGATAATGAAGACAATGAAAAATTTGAAGAGTTATTTACACTAACACCCCCTGAGGTTTCTTGTGTTGTCAAAAAAAAACCCACAGGTCTCAAAAATTACACAAACACCCCCTGAGATTTCAATTTGTTTTCACAAAACCCCTTTTCGTTGATTGTTTGTCCAAAAATTGATGATTTCATTGGTAAAAGAATTATGCATATGACAAAATTAACCTCAATGAAGTATATGCAATCTAATCTCAAAGGCCAATTTTGTCATTTGAATAATTTTTTTGTATAAAATCATCAATCCTTGGATGAAAAATCATTGAAAATGAGTTTTGTGAAAACAATTCAAAACCTCAAGGGGTGTTCTTGTAATTTCTAAAACCTATAGGAGTTTTGTGAAAAAGTCGAAAATTTCAAGAGGTGTTTGTGTAAATAACTCAAATTTGAACCATATAGGAAATCTATGTGGTACTAAGTAACTCATGTATCTTACCATGCAATGTATAAAGTGTAAAATATTGTAGTCAATCATTATAAATAAATGATTGTGGTGTGTTTAATCTTCTTTCATTAATTACTATATATTTTCTACACTCGCAGTGTTTGTCAGCTTGCTATATAATCAACTTAAATCAGTTAAAACCATCATGCAATGCATTTCCTTCAAATTTTTGTGATAAAGTAATAGATAATTGACTAAATAAACATCCTCCAAAATTTCAAGAAAAATTTCCAAGTTTTTCTTACAATTTTCGTGGTTTTTATTTAATTTTTATCGATATCGATAATATCCCAATATTTCCATCGAAATTTCCATATTTTTGGACTGCCAATATTTCCGAAACCATCGATATTTTAGACATTGGTTACTCCCATGTTCTCATGGGTAGAGTCTACTCCACTATCATTCTAATGCGTAGTTTTTTTCCGAGGCCTGGCCTGTTGAGTTACCTTTTGTTTTCTAGAAACTTGAGATTTATCTTTTCACTTGCTAATTGGCATTTTTTATTTTAGTGAAATTTAAAAATATATAAAAATAAAATAACAAATAGAGGAATGTGGGTGTAGTGGAGGGAGTGGACAGTAACTTAGAATATTAGGTGGAATTATTATTATTATTATTGTAATTAGTTTTTCACTATTTTACCACTATTTTACCATCATTATATTAGATTATATTGTTCTAATTGTTTTTGTTATGCATTGGCATTTTCAAGATTTTGAATGTTTCACCATTTGAGGCTTTTGCCTTATATATAGAGATATAGATAATCATGAAGATATAACTGTTTTTTGAGATGTCCCTTCCTACACAATTAGAGTTTTGTTGTGACTCAAGTCTAGCGGCTAGGGTTTGCGATTTGCACACGTCCCGCTGTGGAGTGCTCATTCCTTGCTCTCAAGGCGTCTCTATCTGCGAATAAGTGACAGCAGCGACGTGCTCGTTTCTTTCTAGGATTTGCTTTCGCATATTGTGACGGCTTTTGGGAGAGGATTAGAGTGGATTATGGAGGCCATGGACAATATCGTTCAAGGGTTTACTAAGAATCTAGCGATCTTGGAGGCTAAGGTTTTCAAGATTGTAGGTGTTGAGGAGTTAAGTTCTTTGCAGGCTGATCATTTCCTTGTGGTTGGTGGTTTCCTCACAGCCAAGCCTTTCCATAAGGAGGCGTTGTTTGGTCCTATGAAGAATATTTGGCGTACACGAAAGGATGTCACCGCGGTCCCTTTGGATGCACCAGCGAGGTTTTTCTTCTCTTTTAAGTATGATCTTGATCATAGAAGAGTGTTGAGGAGTTCTCCCTAGACTTTTGATAAGGCCCTGTTATTACTTGCAGCAACAAACGATCGTGTTAATCAGCCGATGATTACTTTGGATACCCAGAACTTTTTGGTAAGGGTTAGGCATATTCCCCCTATTTTCCTAACTCCGACAATGGGCGAAAAACTGGGAAACTACCTTGGCTCTTTCATCATGGTGGATCGTGGTTTGAATGGGGACTATTTGGGTAGTTTCTTGCACATCAAGGTAGGGGAGAAGATATCGGAACCTCTGAAGCACTGTGTTACGCTTCGTTTAGCAATTGATGAACCAGCAAAGAAGTATGAGATCGAGTATGAACGACTGCTTTTTTTCTATCTGTATTGTGGGAGATTAGACCATGTAGGGTTAAACTGTAAGTTGAAATAGACTAGGGATATCAATACATAACAATATGGGCAATGGAAGACTATGCTAAAAAATGTTTTTAGTATTAGGGCAGAGAATGGTTTGACAGGGAAAAGGTTTGGGTTGGTAGGGGATGGGACACAGTTGGATCATAGTGTTTCACCCCCAAAGGTGGTGGGTGTTGTTCATCCATGTGAAGCAATGGTAAACCTTCGGGGAGAGACAGACATGGAGGATGATGGTTTGGGGAGCGATCCTGTGCTACATCTTTTCAAAAAGAGAAGATTATTTTCCATTGAAAGAGAAGGTCATACCTCTACAACATTGGTGGGGGAGGGGCCAGGAGACACTCATACTAGTCTATTAGTGAGTTTCGAGGTCCCGAGGAACAAGGAGGTAATGACAGAGTTGCCAGATAATAAGATTGTGGAGAAGGCATCAGTAGACAGTGACTATATCGATCAATAGCTGGGGTTACCTTCGTCTTCTAAGGGTAAGGAGCAGGTAGGAAAAGGGAGGGGATTTAAGGTGGGAGCTGATCGACCGAGAAATAGTCCAATAAAAGGATACAGGTTGCGCAGTGGTGGTGGGCGAGGGAAAAGAGAGATGCAGATACAAAAGCAAAAGACGAGCCAAGCTGGTTAATCGGTGATGGGTCCCATGAATTGGGCCCATCAAGAGCAATGACGATCTTATGTTGGAATGTTCATGGTCTTGGCAATCCACCAACATTTCGGGCTTTGAGATTTCTTCTCAGAGACAAAAAGCCTCAAATAGTTTTCTTGTCATAAACAAAAAAAAACTACTCATCAAATGGAATCCATTCAACGACAGCTAGGTTGGGCAAGATGCTATAGTGTAGGCAGAGTTAGTTTGTCTGGGGGGCTTGCCCTACTGTGCCAACAAGGGGTGGATGTAACAATTTGTTCAACATAGCCAGGTCATATTGATGCCATCATTGGCGGGTTGAAGGCGACTCCATTTAGGTTTACTAGTTTTTATGGAAACCCAGATATGAGGTTATGCAAGCATTGGTGGGATTTGTTATGACGAATTGCAGGGGATGTGACAGGCCCCTAGCTAGTAGGTGGTGATTTCAATGAAATCGTTGCGGCACATGAGTATTTAGGCCGTCGGTTTCAAGCTATGTCACATATGAGGGATTTTGGAAAAGCTCTCGAGGATTGTGGTCTATCGACGGTGGATTTCAAAGGGTATAAATTTACTTGGTCCAACCGATGGCGAGGTGTTGGCAATGTTAAGCTACGTTTGGATAGGATGGTGGCGAATGATTTAATATTTTTAACTTTCCCGGATAAGCTTACCCATCATCTTAACTCCGTGATGTCAGACCATCTTCCTAAACTAACGGGGTTTGAGTCGCATAGCTGGGCAAAGAGGAAGTGAAAAATTTATGTTCGAGAAACTTTGGACCATAGTTGAGGGTTATCAAGATACCATTACTAGTGCTTGGGGGGATTATCCAGTGTCTGTTTTGAGTAAATTGAACTCATGTCTGGCATCTTTGACCCGTTGGAATAAGGAGAAGTGGGCTATATTCCCACTAAAGTAAGATGTTTGCAAAGTAAGTTAGATAACTTAATGGGATATGAGCAAGATGCAGAAATTGCTTTTAAACAGAAAGCTCTATCCCGTGAGATAGATGTGTTGCTTGATAAAGAAGAAAGGTTATGGCATTAGAAGTTTTATGTATCCTTGTTAAAATATGGGGATAAGAACACACAAAAATTTCATGAGCAAGCCAAGAAGAGAGGGAGACAAAATTCAATCAAAGGGATTTTGGATGACAGCAGCAATTGGTGTATGGTGTACAATTTTTTGTGACTATTTCCAAGGCCTATTTCAGACAAATGGCTCGGCTGAACTCTCTGACATCATTGAGGTGGTACGGCCAATAGTTATGTTGGAGCAGAATGCGAGTCTAAACCGTCCCTTCTCAAGGGATGAGATTGAAGGTGCTTTGAGTCAAATGTTTCCTACTAAATTGTCGAGGGTAGATGGCATGCCTGCCTTGTTTTATCAAAAGTACTGGGATGTAGTGGGTAATGATGTTGTGGCTTTTTGTCTAAATATTCTAAAGAGGGAAGCTAGTGTGAAGGAAGTGAACCACACACTTCTGACTCTCATCCCGAAGGTGCACATGCCAACAAAGGTGACTGAATTTCAACCAATCAGCTTATGCACAGTGCTATATAAAATCATATCTAAAACCTTGGTGAACAGATTGAAGCAACTCATGCCTTTTATTAATTCCAATTATCAGAGTGCTTTTGTTCCTGCAAGGCTCATCACTGATAACATTATTGCGGCCTTTGAGAGTATCCATGCTATTAAACGACTAGGCGGAAGTAAGCTGAAAAAGATGATCCTTAAGCTTGATATGTCCAAAGCGTATGATTGAGTGGAATGGAATTTTTTAGAAGCCATGTTGAGTAGATTTGGTTTTAATGCCATACGGGTTAGCATGATTATGGATTGTATTTCTAGAGTTTCTTATTCAGTTCAAGTGGATGGAGAAGCTACTGGTATGATTATGCCAACAAGGAGTTTGCACCAGGGAGACCTATTGTCCCCTTACCTGTTCCTGATTTGTGCTAAAGGTTTATCAGCATTGCTGACAAATGCCATCATATTGAAATGTATTAAGGGGGTTTATGTGGCACAGGGAGCTTCCACTCTCTCCCATTTAATTTTTGCTGATGGCAATTTACTTTTCTGCAATGTGCATTTATCTTATGTGTCTAATTTTCTTCATATTCTCAGAGTGTATGAATAGGCATCTGGTCAAATGATTAATTTCGACAAGTCCGCTGCTTATTTTAGTCATAAGACTGATCCCATCACAAAGCAACTAATCTCAGACATCCTTGGTGTTCGTATTGTGGCTTGCCATGAGAGATATCTGGTGCTACGCACACTTGCCTAACACAACAAAAATAAGATGTTTAGCAATGTTCGTGATATGTTGTGGCAGAAATTAATTGTTTGGAATTCAAAATTGTTGTTAGCAGCAGGTAAAGAGGTATTAATCAAAGCAGTGGGGCAAGCGCTACCTACTTATACAATGGGTGTTTTCATACTACCACAAAATTTGTGTCATGAGTTGTCTGCTATGATTGCACATTACTGGTGGGGGAGGGCAGGAGGCCGAGGAATACATTGTTTGGGGTGGTGGAAATTATGCAAACCGAAATGTTTGGGAGGAATTGGATTCATAAACTTTGAAGCCTACAAGAAGGCTATGGTGGCGAAACAGGCGTGGCGAATTCTAGAAGACACTGGCTCCCTAATGGGGAGATTGTTAAAGGCTCGTTATTTTCCAAATGGAGATTTTATGCAGGCAACTACTAGGCCTTCACCCTCTATGACATGGAAGGCTAATCTTTGGGGTCGAGAAGTTGTTGAAGAAGGTCTTGTGTGGCATGTTGGGAGTGGGCGTTCCATAAGGATTTTCCAAGATCGGTGGATTCCTGAGTCTTATACTTTCAAGCCGTTACAAAATGGAGGGTTGGAGTCGACCACTCTAGTTTCTGACATCATTACTCCTTCTAGAGGCTGGAATCAAGCTTGATTGGCTATGTGTTTTCATGAGGATGATCAGGAGGCAATTTCTGGGATCACTTTAGGAGCTATTGTCCATATGGAAGATAGTAAGTATTGGTACTTTTCAAAAAATAGGAAATATAGAATTAAAACTAAATACAAGGTTGCACTACTACCGGGGTGTATTCAATTAAGATTTTAAAAGAGTTTAAAAGTTTGGGTGTATTCAATTCAGATTTTAAAAGAGTTTGTAAAAGTTTGGGTGTATTCAATTCAGATTTCAATTGATATTAAAAAAATACATCGAAATCTATGTGTATTCAATTATGACTTTTTAAAAGTCAAATAAAATTTAGGTGTATTCAAAAAATAATTTATTTTGAAGGAATTAATAAGTTGCCCGATTTCGTTAGAAAATAAAGTGGTAAGTATAAATACAAAAGGTTTTGACAAATCTTATGTGAACCCTAGAAATTTTGAACGTGCTCTACGCTTTCCAGTCCTTGAACGTTTTTGCTTGTCAAGTGGAGGTAAAAAATCTCTTCTCTTTTTCTACGCTTTCTACGCTTTCTAGTGCTTGAATAATTGTTGTTGCTATACATCATCATATATCCAAGCAATTGTTGTTGCTTGTGTTCGATGCACATCATGTATGAATAGTTGAATAGTTGACGTGTCTCTGCCTACATCAAGTTCAGACTCATACATAATGCATTAATATAATACAATAATGAATTTGACAGAGACCAGACCACATATATTATCGTTTAACCTACACATAACTTTCAGCAGCATAGCAGTGGGGCAGATCAATCCCATTCCTCTTTCGCTGATTCCTGATCAAAAATTGGATGATTGATGATGACGATACATTATTCGTTCATTTATTTGCCTCCTCCAACAAGCAATTGCTGTTTCTTTAATCCTTTCCTTCTTCTTTTCTTTTTTTTTTTTTTTTTTGGTTGGTTGTTTTTTTTTTTTTTTTTTTTTTTTTTTTTCTACTTTTTCCTTCTTCTTCTTTTTTTGTTGTTGTTCATCAAATGTCGATAGCCTTCTTCATCTACAATCATCTTTTTTTTTTGTTCTGCGTTTCCCCTTCTTCATCAATATACTATATATATATATATATATAGTCCATGCCAAAACAAAAAGGAAAAAAATTATCTTCATATATATATTTTTTCTTATGAACTACTTAAAGATTGCATGTATTATCTAGTAACATTATTAATGGAGATGGAAGAAGTAGATGAAGTACTATGGAATGAAGAAATCGAGGAAGAAAAAGAAGAGGAAATGGACGATGAAGAATTAGAGAAACATGATTCTAAAACCATTAAGATATTGTTGATGGCAACAGAAGCAATAGCTCAAGTGCTCAATGCTTTAATGGCTCTCATACATGATGGTCATATTGAACGTTGGTTAGCTCGACGCCCAATTTCTACAATTGGGTACAATTATATAAATAAGGTACTAAATGAGGATCATCAACACTTTCGACAACTATATAGGATGTACCCTGATGTGTTTCTGAAGCTATGTGGTATCATTAGAGAGAAAACGGATTTGCATGATACAAGATTTATTTGTATTGAAGAAATGCTTGCAACATTTTTATTCACTGTTGGTCAAAATTCTCGATATTGTCAAACTCGTGACACATTTGAGCGATCACATTTCACAACAAGCAAAAATTTCAACAAAGTTTTGAAGGCCTTAAACACAATAGCCCCAGAGATGATGGTCAAACCTGGATCCACAATGCCAGCTAAAATAAGAGAAAGTACAAGGTTTTACCCTTATTTTAAGGTAAGTAATGACTACTTCATTCGTTATAGTAAATATTATTATTATTATTATTATTGTAGTTTTTGTATTAGTTTTAGTACTGTTATTATTCAAAATACATAACATCTAATGCCTTAATTTATTTTAGGGTTGTATTGGAGCTATTGATCGCACGCATATACCCGCAATGGTGACAGGGCGCGAAGTAAGTAGTTATCGTGATTGTCACGGTAAAATATCACAAAACGTGCTAGCTGCTTGTAACTTTGATTTGGAATTCATATACGTTCTTAGTGGATGGGAGGGTTCAGCTCATGATTCCAAAGTGTTAAATGATTCTTTATCAAGGAGGAACGGACTTAAAGTGCCACAAGGTATATATTTATTTATTTATGTCTATATTAGGTAGTATTGTAAATATTAATTGGATTTGTGTCGTATATTCAAGTAAATATTTCTTAGTGGATTGTGGATTCCCAAATCGACGTCAATTTTTAGCTCCATTTCGAGGTGTTCGATATCATCTTCAGGATTTTGCCGGTCAAGGTCGTGATCCTGAAAATGCAACTGACTTGTTCAATCTTAGACATGCTTCCTTAAGAAACGTAATCGAGAGAATATTCGGTATATTTAAATCACGATTCACAATTTTTAAGTATGCCCCTCCATTTCCATATGAGACACAAGCAGAGTTGGTCTTAGCTTATGCAGGGTTGCACAATTTTCTCCGCAAGGAGTGTCGTTCTGATGAATTTAGTATTGAAGAAAACAACGAGCATTCAGCATCATCATCATCACCAGAAAATGAGGGAAATAATTATGACCAAGTTTTTCAAACCCAGGAACAACAACGCGAGAATGCTAACTAATGGAGGGTTGGGATATCTTCATATATGTGGAGTGCTATGAATGACGGGAGTCAAAGATGAGCAATGAAGCATATACTTATTTGTTTTTATGCGTTTAGAATTATAGTTTACTTATCATTTTTTTGTCATTAAATTACTTTTATGTTTTTACTTTTACGCATTTTTCATAAACATGCAGACATAAGTCCTTATGGTTTCACATTTGAACAAATCAGATGCCCTTTTTTAAAAATTTTCTTTGGATGTATTGATTTGGAAGTTCAATAGCTCAAATGTTTTTGTAAATATATTTTTCTCTTTTGAAAATCTGGAAAAACGATAAACAACCCAATATATATCATTTTTCTTACGTCAATTCCAAATGATAGAATTTGGATGAAGGAATTCTAATTTTCATAGAATTTGTAAATGACGGAATTTGTAATTACATCATTTCAAATTATGTCAATTCCAAATTTCCAGTGTTTGGATATCTTGTATATAGAATTTAGGAAATGACGGAAATTACAATTTCCTTGTTTGGATAATCATAAAAGGAATTTTAAAACTGAGAATAAGGAGGCTTAAGAATAAAAAAGTATCTCAGAAATCATGATAAGCTAGCTATCCTGTAATTGTGACAGAAGGTCACTGTTCAACAAAGACAATTTCGATCAAAATCAATTCAAAAGGCCGTTTGGATATATGATTCTGGGAGCTAGGTTGGATATGCTATTGTTTATGGTACAGTTTTGATAATTTCGATCAATATCAATTCAAAGTCATCTATATGACTAAAAAAACAAACGTAATAGTAAATTAAAACAAATGAATCCAAGCATTCCAACTATTGTTTAAGGTACTTGTAATAAAAAAATAATAATTAATAAAGATAACATGAGAATGAAAAATTAATGTGTTCCATGCCCTTGGTGAAATAAACATCAACACCATTCCTTTTTTTCTCTCAACTGGAAGTGTCTTCAACATGAGAAATTGTTTCTCATTTTCTATAAACCAAGTGCATGCCTTCAATTGTTCATCTAGACTAAGTTCTGGAATTGCATTAACTTCATTATATACTTCTAATGGATCAAGCTTTTGTGTGGTAGCATTGATAAATTGTTCGAACGATGAAGCCATTTTAGTCACTGAATCAGCAAGAACATTAGGAGTACCTCCTTTCTTTGGTGGGCGGATTTCAGAAGATGGTTGATTTCTTTTCTTTGGACAGCTAGAATTGGGTGAGACATCATCAATGTGAGAATTCTCAAAACCTTGAGTATCAGCACCCAAGTCAACAAAATTATTCGGTTCGCTATCAGGGGTCATAACCTCAGCAGCTTCAAAACATGTTTCAGCACCCTCTCCAGTAGCTCTATCTTTGCCACATAAATCCACTATATCATCCCAATTTGCAATTACTTTATATCGAAAAGTTCTAGCATCTTCATGAGACTATCAAGAAAAGAAAAAAAAAGGTTAAATAACCCTAAATTTACCACAAAATATATTCTAGTCATGCAAAAAGGTGTAATTACATTGTAAATTACCTTCACATACTCATTCCAAACATTCTCTTCATCTATAGTGATCATTTTTTTTGTTGCATCCCAACTGAATCCACTCTGACTTAATATGTCACTGACTACAGCATAAAACCTTTTCCATGTCTTGACACGATTTTTAATGTTATCAACACTTACTTCAATATTATATTGGGCAGACAATATGGCTGCAGCAATGTTATAAGCAACTGATTTCCAACCACCATCTCCTTTGTGACCCATCTGGCGTTCTTCTCTAAGTATCTCTGCTAATGAACGATCCATTTGTATGTTCCAACGTAAATAACATTTGTCATCTCCTTCATGTTCATTACCTTGCTTCTCTTTCCTTTTCCTCTGCTTTAGTTTGGTTGCTTTCTCTGCCATCTTATGTAATTGAAATAATTTCAACAACATTAACAAATTCATTCAAATTGCTAAAAATGTTAAACATTCAATACATGAAGTAAACACTTATTCAAATTAAAACATTACAAAGTTCACGAAAAGTTCAAATTCAAAAATCATGAAATCGTTGTGCCTCTTGCTTGATAATCATGAAACATCTGCAATGCTAACGTGTCACGGAAAGTAGTTCACTGATCAGTAACTTGAACACTTGTAATCCTATTTGCATTACCCTCTAATGTAGAATGATTTGATATCTCATGATCCACAGAAGCTAAAAACCCCAAATCTTGATCTTGTAACACAGGGTCATTATGTTGCTCGAGTCGGATAAAGTTATGCAACACAAAGCATGCATTTATAATCCTAATTTGGGTTTTGATGTCGAAAAATGAAGGGGTACGCAATATACTCCATCGCTTTTTTAACAACCCAAAGGACCTTTCAATTACATTCCTTGCAATTGAATGACGCAAATTAAATAATTCTTTGTAAGTTTCAAGCCGATTGTTTCCAGTCCATTCATTTAAGTGATATCTAGTTCCTCTGTACAGTGCCAAAAAACCTTGTCCATTAGCGTATCCCGCATCCACAAGATAATACTTATCTACAATACAAAAAAGTTTTAAAGAATAGTTAGTTATTTATACCTAAGTTTGTGCTTAATTAACAACTAGTATGATAAATTACCACTTGGGACTTGAAACGGATTATCCCTGGCTAAAGCATCTCGCAAAACACGAGCGTCAGAAGCAGAACCCTCCCATCCGGATAGTACATAGATGAATTTTAGATCTGGATCACAAACTCCTAAAACATTGGTGGAAATATCTCCCTTTCTATTTTGATATCTTGGTCTGTCCTCAGCAGACACTGTTACTGGAATGTGAGTTCCATCTAGTGCCCCTATACAATTCTAATGACATGAAATAAAAAACAAACAAACAAATACTCTTATTAATGTAATTACAAGAACATACTTTTCTTTAGTTATAGAATTACCTCAAACCACTTCCACTTGTCTCTTTCTGATCCACCTATAGCACATGGATGAAGTTTCAAGTACTCTTCACTTATTCTCATCATAGCATGCAACACACTATTAAATTGTCGACTAATTGTTTCTTTAGAGCGATAGTAGTCAAAACCAATGACCCTAAACTTCAAGTTGTGTGCAAGTATATTTAAGAAAATAGCCACAGACTCTTCAATTGAAACATTTCTTGTTGGAGTCAATCCACCTTTTCCATGCAAAATAGTGCATAAACTCTTAAATGCATTCTTGCTAACTCGTAATTGTTCAACCCTCCCATTATACAGACGGTTCAAGTAACATCGTCTTTCTTGATCCCAATCACATGAAGGCTCTTTGACTAGATAAGTTTCATTATACCATGCTATAACTATAACAATGACAGATGTAATGGTACCAAGAATAATTGACATTTTGTCCCTATTTTCTTCTTCATCTCTAGCACGCTTGCGACTTAAATGTGTAAGAAAATTATCTACATCATCACTAGCCATACCTGTTTATATTTTCAAATAATCTTATTATATAGTCATATCAAACACCAACAAAAAGCCACACAATTTTAGCAAAGGCGGAAATTCTCCAAGATGAGATGGAGCAGTAGAGGATAATAAAAGAGAGTTTGAAGAAACAGACACGAAAAAGAAAAAAAAACATAATGATTCATCTGCCATATATTCTGCATTTCTTGTTTTGCAAATAGGAAGCAAAACAATTCTAACTTGGCTACCCAACAAAGAAGAAATACCTGTGGAAAAACCAAGCTGACTAGTGCTTGTTGGCCACCAAAGAAGAAATAAAACAATAATTTCTATATGACTTCAGAAAAGAAGAAATAAAAGGTCTCCTAAGTGTGTTGAAATGGGTTGAGCTATTGTAGGTTGTCCTCAAATATGATAAACAGCTTTATCAGTTAAATAGTTGTTTCACCTGGAAATGTTTAAAGTACTCCAAAAAATCATATATACCTTATAACCACCAAAATATCATGGATGGATACAAAATAGTGCAATACTATGTGCTGATGGAGAAAATGCAGTTGGATATTACTTTTTAGAAAGTCACTAAGCAATAGGATATTTAGCAAAAAAGTTTGGAAATTCAATGGTATCCTGGCAAAAATGTGATGGAGCAGTACCTTAGCTAAAATTGATTCAAACAGACATGAATCTTAGCTCAAACTAATAATCAAATAGACATGGTTGTCTTGGAAACATGATTCAAACTAAAATTGAGCTAAGGTACTTAACAGACAGAATCAATTTTAAACAGACATGAATCTTGGAGAAGATTCACCTTTAGAGGATAATAAAGGTGACTTTGAAGAAACAGACATGAAAACCAAGATTCAAACTTGAAGAAAATGAAAATGGAAAGGAGGTATTATTATGTCTATGAAAACAGAGCAAATCATGTATGGTTGTAACAAATTGGCTGCCCAACAAAAACAAACCAAAGAGCATTGGAAGACCCGTGGAAAAACAAACATGAATAGTGCTTTGCAATGACAAAGCTACATTGACCATGTTTAAAAGCAGATAAAACTAGTGAAGCTAAATATTTTGTCTTATGCAAAAAAATCCCAATTTGCAATATTACATACCTTTTTCCACTGGTTTGACAAAACACAGAAACAAATTCTTAAACCCAAAACTTAGTCAAACAAACAGAAGAAGAGACCATAACAGAAACTACAAGAAATTATGCAAACTACAAGAAACAATAATTTCACAACAATAATCTATCCTTTATTGGAACAAAACAGATTGAAAAGTAAGGATAAGTTGAGAGACTATACCTTTATTGGAGCAAACAGAGTCTTAGATTGAAACGATGGCAAAATCTGAAAACCACTCACTCTGTATCAGATAAAAAAAGATGATTAACTTCTTCTTTTTTGGGTCGAATTCTGGTTTCAAAAAGAAACCATAAGAGAGAGAATACGAACAGAGCCCAATCAAACCCATTAGATAATGAATCAGATAACCAAAACAAAGTAGAGATAGATCAAACCCATTAAATTGAATACCCATCAATAATATAAACAAAAAAAAATTAAAAATTGCAACTAAATTGAAAGCTTACCAGCGAAACTTGGAAAGATGGCCTTATTCTCCCACTCTTGTTAGAAAACTGATATAGGTGTCTTTGTTGGCACGCAGCAAATGGAATTTCCCCCGCTCTTGAGATTTGCACAATTCCACCAATTATGAAAGGCTTTAAACTTGGGATTTTGGATTGGGAAATCCCTCCATATTTCCCGCAAGTGATTTGCCAAATCCCTAGTAGATTTTGCCAAACGCATGGATATCCCTTTTCCATCGGTGAAATCCCGATTTTTTTTCAAATCCCGTCTTTTTTTCCTTTTGCCAAACACACGGTAACAAACAGCATCAAAATCAATCTAGGAATTCAATCGGAGTTGATAGAAATCAATTGAAATACATTGAACTCTACAAACTTTATAACTCCATTTAACTCTTTTAAAATCTTAATTGAATACACCCTCCTACAATGTGAAGGGAATGGCAATCGAGGTGTTTCAAATCAAAGCTCACAACAGGTGTTCTGGAAAAGGATTTGGAAACTGGAGGTGCCAAATAAGGTGAAATTATTTATCTGGAAGGAGATCGTGGATTCACCGGCGTGCACGAGGTGTGGTTTGAGTTGTGAAGATTCGGGGGATGCGTTGTGGAGTTGTAAGAAGAATAAAATAATTTGGTGTTGTACAAGCTTTGTGGCACGTATTCAGGCTCATGGAGGGTCTTTTGCTGACCTTTTTGAGTTGGCTTTAAAGGCGCTTTCACATGACCTTTTTTAGTTGGCTTTAAAGGAGCTTTCACATGACAACTTGGACCGCTTTGCATGTTGTGCTTGGAAAAAATGGCAAATGCGAATGATTTTTTGCAGGGGAGAACTTCTGCTGGGGTTGTGGATTGGTGGAATGTACCTGGAGTGGCTTGCGCAATATAAAGCTTGTATGGAGAGATCACAACCCATTGTTTCCCCCTGCCTGGTTCGGAGGATTCGCCCACCTAATCACACCCTTGTGCTCAATTGTGATGGCGCCGTAGGAAAGGAGGGCCGACACGAGGCTGGGGGGTTGCATCCAGGATTATAATGGCCTTTTTCTTTGTGGTTTTGCCGCTAGAGGACCAATGGGTTTGGATGCGGTTGGAACTGAGCTAGCGGCCATAAAGTAAGGACTCCTCCTAATGCGGGCCAAAGGCTTCAGTCATTTTGTTACATCTGATTCTCAAGAAGTTGTGAGCATGCTTAAGGGATGGAACGAATGGTGGAGCAATGTTGGGAATGTGGTAGAGGATATCCGAAGACTCATGGTGGACTTGGAGGTAACAGAAGTGCTCTTTCAACCCAGGTCCGGTAATGGAGTGGCGCACGCTATGGCACAGTTTGGATTAATGGAAGGTACTACTTTTGTTTGGGAAGATATCGCTCTGCCTTGGCTAGAGTCGAGTCTTGACAAAGATATGGAATTGGGCTAGGTTTTTGTGTTTAGTTCATGACGGAGGAGTTGTGGCACTCTTTTTCCTTGACTAGATTTTCCTCCTTTGGGGGTTTTAATGAGGCCACTTTTTATGCCCTCCTGTTACGTAATGTTGTACTGGCTGTTTGTGCCTTTAATTGAAGGTTAATGAAATTTTCTATTGATCCAAAAAATAATAATAATAACCGTCTTCCTCAACCAAATCTTTAACACTTAATCACGCAGAACAAGCATGGATAATTGTAGATTTTGCCACATTCAAGAATTTGGCTGCTGATCATCCTTTTCACAAGGAGAGTCTTACAATGACTTGGGTGTTTCGCAAGAGGGTTGGTGATTTGCAAGGCGGGCAATAACCATTATCGTTTCCAGTTCACAAATGAAGATGATATGAGGGGGTGCTGGCTTTGGAACCATGGCCGCTCACCCAAATTTTACTGATTTTGGAGATGATAATTTTCCCAACTCTATAACAGAACCAAGTAAGACCATGCTATAATGTATTCCTTTCACCCGTTAAAAGAAAAGTATACCATCCCCCAACGCCCCAGACACCTTGCCCAGACTAATTCTAGGCCTAACCTAACATCACATCCTAGCATAGAAAAGACCATCTAATGTACCTAAACACAAAAAAGATCACAACTCAAGTATCATCAGGCCTCTCAATACTTGAGAAGATAACCTCCAACACATACACTCATCTTTTCCACAGAGAAGATTTTAGAAGATTTTTCAGGCCATAAAAGAAGATTGGAAGATTTTTTATGTCAAACACACTGAATCAATGTGAATGCCCTTACTACAAATTAAGGCCATATCAGTCAGGATTTTACTATGACAAAGCATAGTTAAGTGCATAGAGTTTCAAAGAGGACAAAAGAAAGAAGAAAAATGGAGTTCGTAATAGGAAAATAAAATTCATTGAAGTCTTAGCCCCCAAAACATGGAAAACTCTGCACAAGTTGACCAGAAATCAAACACTCTATAGCCCAAATCAATGGTGCATACAAATAGGAGTTCATAAACCATCAGCAAGTCGAGCTAGGATTGAGGGCAAAACCGATTACACAACAAGATTGAATTGCAATATTAGCTCAAGTTTACCAGTAATGTAAATTCATTTATTCTTGTTAACAGTTATACTTACTGCAGAGAAATGAAACACTGCAATACCGAATAACGTAGTAACAGAAAAACAATTATTTTTGTCCAATTAACCATTACCCGTTAGATGAAAGCATATATAAAGGGCGAGGATGTGTGTAACTTTGTGTGTTTTTCTGTGTGTCCCTTGAGCGGGACTCTTAGTGCCCGTTTGGCATTGGTTATTTGGGGTGGTGATAAGTGATTTTTTAACAAATTTGGGAAGCTAGTTAAGTTCACAAAAGTAGAAACAAGAAGGGGTTTATCGTAATCAACTTGAAGCCTCCTCTAGAAACATGAGTTTAAGAAGGGGCTTACCTCATCTCTGAAATTAAAATATGTAAGAAAAATGAATAAATCAAAATCAAATGGAGACAAATTAACACCAAGGATTATCTTCGACTAATTGGAAAAGTAAACATAACTATAGTAATTGAGCCACCTATCAGCAATGAAAAGACTTTGAAGTTAAAATTGCACATGGCAAGAAAGAACAATTCCCCAAGTAGCATTGGCGTATATTACCTTTGCACTCTAACCTGCAATGACATCTCTGAATGAAACAAAGCATGAAATATGGACACATCTTGAAATATGGACACACACATCAACCAATGATGGTATCCCTTGGAGCTCTAACCGGCGATGACACCTCTAATTGAAACAAAGCTTGAAATATGGACACATTCATCAACCAATGATGGTATCCCTTCGAGCTCTAACCGGCAATGACACCTCTGAGTGAAACAAAGCTTGAAATATGGACACATTCATCAACCAATGACGGTATCCCTTCGAGCCCTAACCGGTGATGACACCTCTGAGTGAAACAAAGCTTGGAATATGGACGCATTCATCAACCAAAGATGGTATTCCATCAACCTCAATGGTCACAACACTCCTTGTTCCAGGAGTATAAGCCTGCAAGTGAGACCCATTTAAAAGCAAGACTTGCCCGTCCTCTGTAAACTTCAATACTCGAGAAAAAGATGGAGAACCAAGTATGTCGCTGCTAATTTCAAGCTCTTTGGTCCAAGACTCATGAATGCCATAATCCTTCATCAGCCAAACAGTGATATTACTTCTTGAGCGAGATCGAACAGTTACAGAGAGGGAACCATTCAAGACTCCAAGGGTAAATTGAGTGTCTAGGAAATCTAAACAATTAACCGGTAGCTGTACATCCAAATCATAAGGCGGTAGTGACAACTGCTGGAAACACTCGCTTTCAACATCAAAGGCACATATCAAAGTAGAACTATTCCCATACTGACCAACCCAATGAAGAAATCCATTAACATAAACCCCATACGGTTGAAACCGAGAGGAAGGGAACACAGAAACATTCCCAATGCTTCTCCAAATCCTCGACCCAACAGTCAAAACCAAAACTTCATATTCATGAGATTTACCGCTTGAAGACAGATACAGAACAACTTTATAGGCATTGTTGATGGGACTATACCCAAATCCACAATAATATGGATTATCAATTCTCTCACGCTCACAATAGGTGATAGTAAGGGGAGACAATGTTAGTGTTGGAAGAGCTAAAGACTCACTAGTTATGGGATTGGATATGTAAAAACAGCGGCGGTTCAATTCATATATGCAGAGCAAACCATTGCAAGAACCCAAAATTCCCACACGAAGGTTCTGGACATTAGGATCTTTATACAGCTTGAGTGTGAAATCGTTGGGGCTTGAGATCTTATTGAGGTCAACCAATAAGTAGCCCTCTGATTTGGGGTTTATGGGGCCACCGCTTAAACCATGGAACAAAAAGGAAGGGGGTGTTCGTGAAAATAGGTCTTTGGTAAAGTGGGGGTCTGAGAGCGAATGGCGCCAAGACTTGCACACACACTGACATTGGATGAGGGTTTTGATTGGGACTTTGCAGAAGATATGCACTGTTATGTGGTCTGGCAATTGCAGAATGTAGGGTTTATTATCATGTTCTTCTTTCTCAGTGTTGGTTTTCTCCATGGCTACAGGTACAGCCATGTATGTTTGCTGCAACAGAATCACTGCAGACTCTGAAATGAAGGTTCATCTTTATTAAACATTCAACATGTACCAAATCCACCATATAATGAGAGTGAAAACGGAGACTCATTTACCCAACAATTTTTTTCTTTTGTTAAATCCAACAACAATGAGGAAAAAGAAATGCATTCTTAAGTCAGAATTTTCATAAGAAAGCTTCAACCCACCATGAGAAAACAAAGCCATGAATCCAAACCCACCATTCTAATCAGAAAAAAGAGCGCCCAAAATTAAATACCCAGAATAAGATGCACCATAGAAAAATAAAATGAAAATGAAACCCAGAAAACAAAGACAATCTGGAAGAACTCACAGTACCTGATGTGCCGACAAATGGATCTGACGAACCTCTGGTGGTTGCCTTTTCTTTTTCTGCTTGAATGAAAGCTCTTTCTAGCTAGTGGCTTCAACGGGAAGGGAAGAGGGCGTAAAAAGATGCTGCCTCTCAACCTTAAAACATTCGTTAGCTCTAACTTCCACACAGTGAGCCTGCCTCCTTATACTCGAGTTCGAATCCCACTTTTATAAATTATACTCGAGTTGGAATCCCACTCCTATAAATTAGATTAATTTTGACTACTTCACTTGCCTATATGTTACCCACTGTTGTGCTGAGGTATTTGTGTTGCGAGAAAATTGAAACCTCGTGCCCATTTTGATAACGAGGCAAAACTTTGATGGTGTAAAATGCACTTGGACCTAGAAATTAAATAGTTGTCTTACGTTCTTTTGAATTAAGGGTTTTTCCCCACCACTTATCATAGATGTAAGTTCTTGAGAAATTACGTCTATGAACGGAAATGTATTTTAAATGTTTTTCATTTTCAAAAATACTGAGAACATTTTAAAGCCAGAATTGGTTGGTGTTTTAAAACAAGAATCTGTGAAGGCCAGCCTCATGTCAAAATGCTTCACTTTCCAAGTTTTCGAAGTTGTCAATGCTTCTTCGAGGAAAAGAATTTTGACCAGGAAACAAAAATAGCTTCTAAAATTTAATACCACACAGGTTTTCAGATAAATAAATAAAGTTGAAAATATAAGATAAATTTCCAAATTCTAGTTTTTTTTCCCCAAATGCGTAAATTAATCAATATTTATCTCTCCTGAATGCTTTCATAACTCAGCAACCGCCATGATCAAAGACAAGACTTTCACTTGAATTTGACTACAATTTGTCAAATACATCTAAATTCTCAAAAACAACATTACATTCCAGTATGGTTAGTGGATTGCCATCACAAGATACTTTTTCTTTTTCTTTTTCTTTTTTAATGCAGAACAGCATATACATAATTTTATTACAAACAAAATAAATAAATAAATATACATTGTATACAATTACACCTAGCATGCTAAAACTATATACATTTTTCCTTTTGGTTGAAGGAACCTGCTAGTACAATCTACCTTCTTCCAAGCGCCTGACCGAAAATCAACCTTGGACGGAAATCATTTACTTAAGCGGGTGATGCAGAAAGTAGAAAGTCTGGTTGTAGTCTCTGCAGCAGTATCCCACAGAAGGGGCACAATGGTTTTAAGGATACTTCTAGCAAAGATGATGATGTGGTCAAAGATTTGAAATTAAAAGGATAACCAGGGATTGCAAAGAGAGTCTCTGGTGCCAGTTTGAAAGCTCGTCTATGACAACATATGCAAAACCATGTAGGAGTAGTAGGACAAACCATCATAGAAATGGCACACCTAACTAGTTTGTGTCCCTTGCCTCGACAGAAGGCAACTTCGGGAGATTCAAATGGAACTGATGCAGAACAATAGCTGCACTTCTCCGCTGCCAAGTATTTACTGGACTGGAGCCTGTCGTTTGAGGAGGAATACATAGCCATATTGATATAAGTATGTATCAATTATAGCGAAAAGACAAAGTTGCAAACCTAAAAGCCACTTTACCCAATGACAAGGCAAGATAAAGGTCAAAAGCTACAGGAACATAGCATTGTCAATTATAAAAGGAGGCAAACAAAAGAGGGCAAAAGAGACATCCATGTTGAAACAACAACAAAACTCACATTTATTTGAATTTAAGAATTTCTTAAATTATTTATTGTCAGCCACAGTAGTATAGTAAACCTTTTTGTATTTCAAACAAAATTTAGAACGAGTGTCAGAATAAGCATGTTTTTTTAACCCCTTGTATGTATGTATATAAGTGCAGCATGCAAGGTTTCCAGTAAAACTCCCATTATGTCATTTGTACCAGCCTTCTAAGTCCTAATTTTACAAATAATTTGCAACGATCACGCAGGTTACTCAAACTAAAATGCAGTTCTACGTTGTAAAGAAAACTCTTCCCATGGTAACCCTAATACTTTTGGAACTTTTTGTTGATTGCTTCACTCCAATTACAATATTTTTATTTATACAATCATCAGACTATTCCCGCCATTTGCAAACAAAGAATTAGCAACCCAACAATCTCCTAATGACCTTAACTACCAACCCATTACGAGCTGATGCTGGCACATCATGAGGAATATTACACAGTTACCTGAAAAGGCAATTGTAACATATAGCCAAAGGCTAATGAACATACCCAAACCGTTGAATTCCAGCAGCCAACTTCGACAGCCAGAGATGTTCTAAGCTTTACCATAAATAACAAATTTAACATTAAATGAAATACGGAGTCTTTTTAAGAATCAGATTACGTAGGGACTTTTTTTTTTTTTTTTTTTTTTTTTTTTTCTTCTACGCGGAACAGATAAATACGTAATTTTCTCTACACCATGCCTCAGAGAAGTATATTTCATGCAGTTATTTTATGTCAAAATGGCGAGACAGAACAATGCATGGTCCTCGACGACTAAAGTAACAGGAGTCTAATCATATCACTAAAGCAGGAAAAAGTTATGCATGACAAAGGATAAAAAATCAGGGTGTACCTCCCCTCTTGCTTTCCAACTTCGGATGCAAGGACCTTTAGCTGATCCTGCACATGATCACAATTAAGCTCAACCCACTGCTCCATTTGCGCTAGTCCAACAGGAAACCAATTTCCAGATGGAGAATTTGCAGCTGAAGTAGGCATCAGACTTATAAATGCAGAAAATGCAAATCCCACAAGCCTCTCACGGAGTTCTCTTTCACTGGCCAAAAGCAGATTAATCCACAAAGACCTCTGCTCTTCTTCAGCCTCGTGTACTCCTTCCAAGTTCAGCAGTTTACTGTTTATTTCATCAGCCTTCATCTCTGATAGCATTATGCGTCTACAGATTATGTTGAGTAGGTGTAGCTGGCGAGAAGTGAATTTTGAGAAACTTCGGGAGAGACACAACAAAACCTCTTCAGCAGGAAGTCCCACATGAGATCCCACATAAGAAATAGAGAGCCACTTAATCAGTACGTGTTCTACGTACTCTGAGTTAGAATGGTTAAACGCCAAAAATGCTGTTACAATATCCCAAACAACAAGAGGCTTCTCTTGGGTTTCATACTGCTTTAAAGACCATAGAAAGTTAGACTCCCAATAAACAAATTCCTTCTCAGGAAAACCACGAATAGATTCAGTGTCAAAATCAGGGGAACTGTTTGACAAGACATCGACTTGCTGCCCACCAATCCAAAAAAACTCAACAATGGCCTTTTGAGTCCTGAGAGCGTTCCCCAACATGTAAATTGATCAAGAATTATAGAAGCAAAATAAAATAATAATAAAATAAAAATCAATAACGGAACTTTATATTTGGTTGCTTTTGTTATTTTCTATAGGAAATTGCATAACATTCTTTTATGCATTCTTCTTCTTCCTGCAATGACTATGACTTGTACAGTTGACGTTGGATATGCATTCTTCTTGTGCTTCTTTGGTTCTTGCAGTTTGATTAATTCTCATATGTGGAAAAAATAATTATAAAAATAATAAAAATAAAAATAAAACTCACACATTTTTATCTCTTTTCATCTCCTCCATTATGTTTCTATGAAATCTATTGGGTTCTGTTTTTATATTTTCTTCCTCCCCTCCATTTATAACCAATTTGGTCAGGTGCTTTGTTTGTTTTTTTTTTTATTTTTTATATAAAGCAATCTAGTTTGCATAAAAGCTATCTCACCTTCCCTCGTACATTGGATTTAATTTATCCACATCAGGATTACGAACCTGCCATTTTCAAGTACAGATATTTTAGTTGACGTCTGTATCCATATTAGAATAACTACAAAGTATTAATGGATATTGGAAAAAGAACATGAATAGCACCAGTAATGAGCATGAGGTGTATTAGAAACAAAAATGAGTAAGAGATGTATTGGGTGAAAGAAAAAATCAGACCCAAGCAATCACAAGATTTCCAGGGGACACTGCCAGACCGAAGCAAGAAACAAATCCATCTGGAAACTGCAACAAGATTTTTAAATTATGTTACACTAGAAGGAAAACATTATAGTGGAAAATAGAAACATTAAATAAGGAGACTTAAAAGGGTAAGAATTTACATCAGTTGAGCTTCTCAGACGAGGAGTATTTGAAGGAATAGATACTTCATGGAGGGAACTTCCACTTAAAATCCAACAGCGTACAACATTATCCTAGTATCATTTTAAAAGTATTGTTGCCAACTGAATAATGTATAGGATATGTTCAACTGGAAGTCCAAATACTTACATACCTGGCTGCAGCTGTGCAAACATTTCCCATCAAACGCCCAAGCTAATCCTGTAACCTGGTCAGTCCTAGATGCGTGAATAGCCAGCAGTATATAATATAAGATTTCGACGAATAAAAAGAGACTTACGGCCTGGTTATGCGCGTCATATGGGCCAATTTTGTCAATTTTTTTGCTAGAGATATCACATATCCACAATTCAAAAGAGCCAGATCCTTTTCCTACTGCTAAGTGCATTTTGTGCGGAGACTTAGCAGGCACAATGACTGAAAGTGCTGAAACTGGGACAAAATCCACGGTTGCAACCTATTTAAAAGTTCAAAAATAAAAGCACAT